TGTTTTCAAATTGACAACACCTTCTTCCTTAATTGAAGTGGAATTTCATGTCGATGCTGTGATGTTGTTTATTTAACGCTTGTTCGTTCAATACTGACAATACACCCAGTGTTACGTATGTATCATTGAGCTCTATAAGACCTGGAGGGGAAAAGAGGCCTGGACCCCGTGGTCAAAAACATAGCGGTAATGGCGGATTTTGGTTGTCAAAACTTCCACTTTGAGAAAAATTTTTAACATTCGCTCCCTCCCGAATGCGGATCTCTATTCCTGCTTATATTAATGACAACCAGCGAAAACAACCACGATACGTAAGCATAAAATATTGAAAATAATGCTTCAGGTTTTTGTGAAATAGACACACACATTTAAATGAGGTAAATCTACTGTAAAATAACGTATATTTTGTCAAGTAATGCTTTAGCTATATGAGAAATAAATATCAAACGGCATTTTTTACACTGTCAATGTGTTGTTAAGCTTTAATGCATAATCCCATGCGCATTACTTGTGTTTTTGACTGTTTGTTAACAGCTTGGTGCAACTGTCTTTGCTGAATAGATGGGTAAATCTTAGATAAAACGTCCAAAAAGGAGTTAGAAAAAGTTAGCTTACCCCTACGACTTAGGTCGACTGGAATTATATTATAAGTAGGTATGTAATTTTTTTGAGTTTTTTTTTTGGTAGGATTGATTCTGGGTGTCTTATAAGGTTTTATGATATTCTGATAAATCTACTTCTGATATAACTTATGAAGAAAATATCTTGAACTAGGAGAGCAAAAGAACGAAATTCAGAAATTCTATAATCATGTTGCTGGTTCTGTTTTGAGCCAAGATATTAGAAGCTGGATTGTCATTGACAACCATGGATCTACTACTGAACAGAACTACATTAATTTCCCATTGAAAATACGATTTCATAAATTAAAGTGCATTGGTTTCTCTGACATAACACTTTTCTTATTGCTGCATTAAGGCAAAACTATTTAAATAATTAAAATGTAGGTGAAGATATTTAGAATGTTGTATAATTGATATTGTACAGTCATTATTTATAATATTATGGCCTTGTGTAATGTATGTCAAGAAGAATTTATTAATTCTCAAAAATGCTAACCTTCTTGCACTACTTTTCTCTTGTGTCCTTACAAATTGCAGTTACCTATACTAATTTTTTCTAGGTTCAAACAACTTGACAAACTTTTGAATTTTACATTATGCCTTTCAATTTTTGTTTCCGTCTTTTGATAAAAATATCAGTGAATGACTTAAAAATAAAGTTTATCTAAAATAGTATTTTGTACAAAGAAACTATACATAATTGCAAAAGTCTCATGTTGAAGACAGATGTCGCTTCTTTTACTAGATTACTACTCATATTCTTTTAAATGATATCGTAATTCTTCAAGACATAAAAAGTTTTTTGCCATCAATTTTTGCTTGTTCCACATTCAACTTCATTGCAACCAATGCATCTTATGTGAATTTTTAATCACCTGGAATTGAAAAATGTATGGATTTTGTCAGATGATGCAGTACTATATTTAATGTTTCATGTCATCATAAGCTTTTCTTGAGCAAATATTTCAAGGTAGGAGCATAATTTGGCACATTATTGAACAAAGTAGTTTTTATCTTGATTTTGATGTACTAACTTGTTTACTATAACAAACAATTCATTAACAGAAACACCCGATGGCATTTATAAAACTTTTAGCATAAAGCAAACCTTTACACACCATCATCATGATTGTCCTTAATCTGTCAAATAGTCCAGGCTAGCTGTTTAATACAGGTATTTTTTATTGTACGACATGTACCAAAGAGCTCATTAATTAATCCTGCACTGCATTTGATTTCGATACAGCTCTGATCTTAATATTTGCTTCATATTTTCATAAAAATATCATGAAAAAATCCTCCATATCTTGAAGGTAAACTCAGTTGAAACAAGGAGTTTTATGATATGCATATCTCGATAAGAATTGGTTGCTTTGCCTCGTCTAGCAAGCGATTAAATAAAGAAAAAATAAGACTGGATAAACATAACTTAAATTATAACTTAGGATTAAAAACATTCACAAAATATATACCATCACACTTCAAGTATTGACTTAAAACGTAAATAATCTTACGTTGCTTACCGGGGTCATGAAATGTTTCCTTTTCTGGCATTACTTTAGCCTCCGTACACCAAACAAGTTTGCAGCATGTTTTAAAGATTAAATTTCTAAAAGTTTTTCTGCTTGGGATTGATAATTTATATAATCGCAATTGTGGTTGTCAAATCCGGGTGGGCGAAAAAAATTTTATTTTATGAGCCCGCGTCTTTCCGCTGACTTTGACAACCAAAATCCGCCATGTTTTTGACCACGCAGCCGCGCGCTAATAATTTATAGTAATTTTGTTGACGTTTCCCCTCCAGTTATTACAGAACTCAATGGTATGTATAGGCATGATCACGTGACAGGCTTAACCAGGTGATCATTGAAAATGCGATATCCATCCACGTTCATCATAATAAAATAATCACTCGTGATTGTAATTGCCACTTGTAAATCTAAATTTTTGCGTAAGCTTTAGCGCCTCAAACAGCCTCTATGACCAGATACATTCATTTCATGTCAAGCATATAGCTACTTGAGACATATAGCAAAGCAAGTGATGACAAATAAGACAATTTGATGGCAATTGACAAAGAGACGCAGATACTGAAGATAAAATGAATCCGTGAATACCTTTGATGGAAAAAAAACGCCATATATAGCTTATAGGGTTATGAAAAGAACGATTTCAATTCGTGACCTAAATTAGCCCAGTGGCTGAACACCATTCTAAAATTCAAGTATTCGAACGAAGAATTCAAAAACAGTCGAAATTTTTACATGCAAGCCTGCACGTTGATAAAAAAACTAAATCCAAATTGCAATTTACTTGTTTTAAAAAAAAGGACAGAAAACAAAAAAAAATCGTGACGGGAAAATAAAGCTTTGTAGATCTTTGATTACTTCCAACGTTGACAAAGCGCCTTAATTTGTTAATTGCTTTTAAAACTCGTCCACTGCTCGGGATAACTGTACTTTTAAGGTTTTCATTTTAATTCAAGGATAGATTCTATAAAAGCAGAGTCAATTCACGTGACGTCTTTTTGTGTGTATATGGACTCTTACAAATCATGGCTCCGTCCAAATTATAATGTTTGACAAGATTTCTTCAATTAAGTAAATGTTTTGAACCCGGGAGTATCGTTACATGTTTGTAACTGTAGATCGTCCAGGTTGGTATAGTCTTGAGAAGGACTGTTTTTGTTGTTGTTGACTGACATTTCGACGACAACCTTAGCGGTAGTCATCTTCAGAGTCAAATGAGGAGTAAACGTCAGGTCAGCCGTATTTGTTATATGGTTTTTACGTCATTGTATTGTGTGTACAGGAAATATGTGGGTGTCAATTGTGTATTGTCATTGTGAATTAGTGTGAAGTGTAATGTTTTTAGTTGTGATGTGTGATTTAGGTGCGATGCTTTTTGTTGTAATGTGTGGATGTCAATTGTGTATTGTCATTGTGAATTAGTGTGAAGTGTAATGTTTTTAGTTGATCGTTTGCATTGTGAATAAGTCGTTTGTAAGGTGCCGGTAATTACTGTGATCTGTTCAGGGGGGTTTGTTCCAAGTTGGTAAACCAACTTGTTGTTGACTGACGTTTCGACAACCTTAGCGCGGTAGTTATCTTCAGAGTCAAATGAGGAGTAAACGTCAGGTTCGCCGTATTTGTTATCTGGTTCTTACGTTATCTGGTGACTTACAAACGAGCTACTAAGAAACAAGACTAAACTAATCACATTGCCGAGCATCACCGAATCACAAAGCACAACATTGACTGGGACTCGGCAAAATGCATTACTTACAGTACTGACTATAGACAACGGCTTACATTAAAAAGTTGGTATACCAACTTGGAACAAACCCCCCTGAACAGATCACAGCAATTAACGGCACCTTACAAACGACTTGTTCACAATACAAACAAACGATCAACTAAAAACATTACACTTCACACTAATTCACAATGACAATACACAATTTACACCCACACATTACAACTAAAAACATCACACCTAAATCACACATCACAACTAAAAATATTTCACTTCACACTAATTCACAATGACAATACACATTTCCTGTACACACAATACAATAACGTAAGAACCAGATAACAAATACGGCGAACCTGACGTTTACTCCTAATTTGACTCTGAAGAGACTACCGCTAAGGTTGTCGAAACGTCAGTCAACAACAACAAAAATAGTCCTTCTCAGGACTATACCAACCTGGACGATCTACATTTACAAACATGTAAAGATTTCTCCAAGTTAAAATATAAAAGTTTCTTGCCAGATTTTTTAAAACGACCGGAATACTAAGAATGAATGATCAGAAGGAATTCTGCTGAGAAAACTCTTGTTGTTTGCCAACAAAGTCCTGTCAACGTAAAAAGCTACAAAGGCTTTAGGTTCAAAGCCGCTCTAATTATATTAATTTGACTAATTATGTTTGTAGACGTACATCGTACAGGTTAGTAGAGCCCTGAGAAGGACTGTTGCTGTTGATATTGACGGACGTTTTGTCAACCTTAACGGTAGTCAACTTAAGAGTCAAGATTTATATTATTTTGCAACACGAATGTGAATTATGCTCTTGCAAGTTAGTTATACATTTAGTTATACAAGTCTCGATTGCCCAGACGTTTTATAAGAAAAAGATCCACAAGGCAGATAACCACAATCCTCAATGGATAATAGAGCCTTCATAATACACTTTTTACATAATTCACTTTATAAAAAAGTTGTTCAATCATCTTCGAGATAAGGCGAAAACTATCACAAAAAATGACTTGATCAATAATTTTCGTTCACCAAATAATGGCGTAAGTATACATTATTGGAAAACTCCTCTCCGCTTTCCAGTTGCTGGTTCAATAACACTCTGGAGACTGTATCTTTCGACAATTTTATTGAACACACTCACAAGTCTCACTCAAAATCTCTCTGATTATTTATATGTATTTATACTTATTGTTTCTTGCCACAGGAAACAAGATGTTTCGTGCAAAGTTCACAGCACTCCATTAATAAAAACTGAGTGTGTGAGTCTTCAGGAAATTATGAGTACATACTACACCTACCGGAACATACACCTAAAATATCTGCACATAAATCTGTGCTTTTCAATGGTTTTAATTTACATATTTTCTTTCCAAGTCATGCAATCTGAATTGTCTCAATCCTATCTGTATTCACAAAGAATTCCTTAACATAGAGTAGTGCTCTTCCTAACAACACTACGAATGAATAATCTCATGTCAAAGTTAACTATTTTCTGTACTGACGATAGATTCAAGTAACCATTCGACGATTCATGACGAGCGTGACACGAATTACGGTACAAAAAACCATTCACTAGTTTTTCATCTGAATGTTTAACCAATGCCAACCCGAATTAACAGCACTGTGTACGTGCGTACGTAAATCTAAAGTATTCATCGATAATATTGGCTTAATTTGTGAGCGGAGGAGGTATGAATCAGGAAAATTACAATTTCATTTCCGATTACAATGAACGAACGCCAACCGGAATCCACGGAATGACATATTAATCTGAACTGAAGTTTTCATTCATGTCGGCCAAATTTGTGCGCGCGAGAGGGGGTCTTTCATCATTTCAAAAAATACCATTTCATTTCCGTTAATGTCGAATACACGTCAGCCAGATTTAGCTGTATAGTGAGATGCAAACCTTAATACAATTGTTTAAAGCTTCACTTCACATCCTACATATTTTGAGAAACATAAATAATAATTTTCTTGAACATAGCCGGATCCCTTTTTAACGCGGTCTCATACATATGAAAGATAGCTAGCAGGGATAAAAGTGGCTAACTTGGGCTTGAAGTGATGAGACTGCACATGCTCTTGCTTCATGTGTTTACTTCAGTATGCCGACTAATCCAAAACAGCCACGTACATTTGAAAAATACGCGTGTTAAAAAATTCCACTTGATGACACTAAAATTGCCGGTAGCAACATGATCATGTTTTTAAAACATGAAAATGCTCCATAGTACGAGTCTAAACAAATTTGAATCTTCCCGCGAAATACAAAATCTATTCGCCGGAATCGAATACAACATTTTAGCCGGGACAGCCGGGCTCATGTGAGTTTCAACACAAATTGGCCCGGCATACTATAGCCAGCAAGGCTAAAGCTGGCTCGTCACATATCATCCAGGGTCTAAGTGCGCGCGACGGGTGTCTTCCTTGATTGAAGACTAAATGACAAGGATCACAGTTTCCGAAGAAATGTCGTTATTTGCATGATAATACGTGCAGGTTCCTGCTGACTACTGATAAATCGCATGATTCACACAATGGCTGCGACAAAGGCAGTCATCCAGTTTCTTCAAAAACAATAAAACAATAAAAGAAAACTTACGGACATAAGTGACGTGTCGCTGATTATTGTCCCATCTTGTATTTGTGGTAAAATTCTTCCCATTGCTCCGTAAAACTCATCAGCGCTTTCTAAATCTTCTAGTTGTCTGTTGTAATGATACAAAACTATCAATAGAATATAAGTAGCATGTCACTTAGGATATAATGAACTGATTTTTGCATTTTAATCAACACAATGCTCACGGATACTCAAACGAAGGCAATGATGTGGATTATTTACGTTGCTGAAACGGAAACTCGACATGCAAAAAATCAATCTTTGAAACTCGCAATTAAACACAGCTGCTCTTGTCTTAGAATTTTTAGAAGAACAGCTAAGCACACAAAAGAAAAAGTTTATCTCTGATCACGCTTACTAATACTCATTAAGAAGAAAAAAGTACATTGTAGCCTTTCGGAGCCACCTACATTTTAAATATAGATAGCCAGTTTCATTTGAAAGGCTATGGATTTATCTAGTTATGCAAATTAAATAAGACAATGCTGCGAAGGCTGAAGTACGTTGAGTATCGGTAACATTTTTAAGTATTTAATTAAAAAAGCAACTTCATGACTCTAGTTTTTTCGTACGGCGCAAATGGAACGCGTTTGGCTGCAAATGGAACACAAAAGCAGAGTTTAAGTTACTTGTGAACAGTACAGTAAAAGCAACTGATTATGAAATTGCTTGTTTTATGTCGACGATACAGTCGACTGGCAATCCACAAACTCTTTACAAAAGAATGACGCTATGATACTTTCAATGCATGCCAGTCGAAATTCGCACCCAATGTATAAAAAACACCACAAAGACACAAAGTCTACGTAGGTAGGTAGGATTACTTCGCGTTTCAATATTATTTGTTGTTATTGTACGTGCATTTGCTATATTTCTTCACGAGTATCGAAATTCAATCATTCATAAAAGTATTAAACTGTCGCCACTAATATTTAGTTCATGCTTGGTTTTACTGAAGACTTGATAACGCAAATCAATTCCTGTGATGAGGTAAACAGAAACCACTAACCTAAGGTTGGCCATAAGCACTCGACATCGAAAACAAAACACACCGCGTACTTACAATCCAATCGTCGCCCATATAGCCAAAGCAACCCTCAATAACACCTCGGACCCCTCGAGAAGGATACAGTCCCAAACCCTAAGAACGAGCTGCTCAGGTAGGCAAGTCGCAAACATGGTGAGAAACCATTGCATGGTGAACACGTTGGTCAATGGTGGCTCGAACGAGATTGACGCCAGGTTGTCCTGGGCTGTGGCCTGGCGCTGAAGGTAATGCAGATGATCTGAAAGATCCGGGAGTTTTATGGTCATGAGTTCCCGTAACACCGCCATGTCTATGGAAAGGCTGCGAAGATTGTTCGAGAAATAATTTGCAGGCAGGACAAAATCGATCAAATAGACCATCACCTAGAAGGATGAAGAAATACTTTTGAAAAAAACTTTGAAAATGGGCGCATTCAACAATGCCAGTCACTTTTTAGTATTCTTATATAGGTATGATATCATAAAGTCGCTTGTACATACGAAAAAAATAAACGCTAACACACTTTTTAAAAGACAAAATGACTTGAAACTCGAAACAAAACGAGATATGAAACTGTTTACTCGATGTCAATTGGAAATAATTTGGTGATTTAATTTGGATCGGCATCTGCGTGCAAACTTCCAAAGGCAAAAAGTAAGGCTTAAGTTGCTAAACACACAAAGATTAACTTGTTTTTTTTTTGCAAAATGTCAAAATGTGTTGTTTAATTATTCAAGCTGCCACAAATTAATTCTGCGAGACTTCACTTTCATTTTCTTCGTTGGTTAAACTGCTCGCAAGTTGCCAGCAAAATAATGAAATATAAAACGAACAAACGAGTGAAACGAACAAAGTCTTACCTTCAACGCATCTTCCTCGCAACGGTCCATCACCTGCAATATTAATGCAGCCATAACATTAAAACCCTGACAGTAACCAACACCTTTATTCCACCGAGCGTACGCCAGTAGAACTCGCTTCAAAATTGCTCTCTCATCGGGAGTCTCGAACTCACAGAACCAAGAGCAGCCTGTTCTATGAAGATCCTAGATGTTGAAAGTAAATATCAAATTTTAGGGTATATTTACTATACACTTCTCAGCATTTGATATTACTACATTATTTATTATAGATATTACGTATATGTAGTCACAAAGGCTAGTCTGCTACGTTTTTTCCGAAACATTTCGAAGTCAGAGAATGTGGTGTACACGCAGTGCGCACTAATGGTGGATTAGCTACATAAACAATGAATACTTCAGAACTCTTTACTCAGATTTCTCGCCATTGCTACATGAAAACATCTCAAGAAATATAACCTACATACAGGTCATCAATATTAGAATATAAGGCTTTTTAGCTGTGAATAAGATTGTGACTTAAGAGTTAAAATTGCCAACGTCATTTAATTGCATCACGGAAGATTCTATATAATAATGAAATGAAAGATTCAAATAATTATTGTCTTTGAAAAGGCTCCTTACTCTACTGATGACGACATGTATTGACAGTTTACAATAAAATCTTCAGCATATACAAAGTGTCTGACGCTTTGTACGTAACTCATCAAATAATTTCAAGGAGTAGTAAATGTCTCCATTCTGAACAAACTCTTGGTACGTTGGTCAACAGCATAGCAACCAAAAGAAACTGCGGTGGCAAGAGAAAAATTTTGTGACATCATGAATTTAAAAACTTGCAACTGCATGAAGTGAGAGCAAGATATCTTGAAAGTCAAAACAACTACGATTGCCTTAATTTTAGGCATTTCATTAAATCATGGGCCACATTATGGGTTAACGCTCAAGAGCAAAACACAACGCTCCTCTCGACAAGCCTTGTCACCAGCATATGCCTGAATTCTGAAAATTTGCTTGAAAGATGACTTGTTTCACCTACACTAAATTATCCACAAAAAACTTGTCACGCATATGGTACATACGCATGAAAAATCTCCTAGAATTATAATAATTTCTTCGGAGTACAAAATTGTATATGTATATCTAAAATTATATGTATATCTAAAATTGTCTTGTTTACCTTAACAATTTGAGCACCGAGGTTGTCGTCATCTGGATTACTTCTTTCATTGAAGCAGAACTGCGATGTTTTCTTCCAGTCCAAGTGAGAGAGCTTGTTTTCGGCCAAGATTAACCACAGCTGTGGAGATGAAACATACATTAATAATAATAAATTTACATCAAAAACTAAAGTATTTGAGATTAAAAATATTGACTGAAGTACACATAACTTGTCTTAATCAGTAATTGAGTGTTGACACAAGTTCACTTCGAACGTTAATGAAACAATACGTCATAGTTATCATGACAACAAGTGTATTAAATTGTCATAGTGTTCTAACCCTTCTTCTCCAGGATGATGGAACCCCACGAGGCAATCTTGAAACTGCCTTGAATGAGTCCAACCACTGCAAAAATAAACCAAACAGGCAGATTGAATATCAGTATAACAGTAAATTTTCATTAAGAACATAGAATCAATGTGCTGCATACTGGACACTAGACAAACTATTTTGCTACGGTTAATCAAATGTCAGAACATTAGAAGTCTCTTAAGGCTAATGATAGTAAAGACATAAATAATTCCATGGAAGGAATACATGAACTGGCTGGATGCTTTACAAATACTTGATCTTTGTTTTTCTCCTATAACTAGCAAGCTTAACGTAATATCAATGGTATGGCATATGTCGAGACTTTGCGAATAGTATAAAAATTGCCAAACATATTTAAAACAAAGAAGTGGTACAGTCAAATATTGGTCATTGTCAAATCAGGACAGGAAAGACCATTTGTATTGCAATGAATTATGAAAGCGCTTACCTGCCTAAAACCTTTTTTGCCACTTTGTGGAATGAATGAAAATTTGATTTTTGTATCAACACCTAAAAAATAAAGAAAGTTAGTCACATGAGTCAACCAAGTGCAATTTTACACTTGTACACAGAATCAACTTGTGCAAAATTTATATCACCAGGTCGCAATTTGGCACATGCAGGTAACAATGTAAGTAAACCAAGTAAACAAGATCCAAGTAAACAAGAAAATTAGTTTTTGAAGTCAATTTTCCTCTCCCTTCAAAAGCAATATCTGTTGTTTGAATATGTTGTCTTAAATAGCCCATAGTATTGAAGACCAGTTGATATCTAATAAAAACTTAATTTCCTTTTTGTAAAAAAATTTGAATACATGTCAAACTACTCTGAATGTGAGTGCCAAACTGGCAATTCTATCATAAGTTTCCATGTCAAGAGAAAATGTCTGGATGCTCGATGAGTTAGTGACAGATTTGGCAAACTGTCAATCCTCTAGCATGAGGAGGTTGGATGATCCACAACACGTTGAAAACTTGACAATGAAATATAGGTCAGATAGCCGACTTTTACTATAGGTATGCTGAAAATCCATCCTCATACTTACGGCGTTTAAGTGAGACAGCTTGAAGAATTGCCGTGAGCACATCGAAATTTCTTTGCAGTCTGTACGCATTCTTGTCACGTCTCTTTAGATGTCGGACAAGGCGACCTGATAGAAGGGTGACATAGCTATTCAATTCGTCCAAAACACGACGGATTTCGCCCACATCTAAGCAGAAGCAAACAAAAGTTCGTCGCTATAATTCTTCGAAGTGAATGAAATTATACGAAGAAAGATTATGTAACTTTTTCAAATTGAACTCTACAAAATTATTCCAATTTACAATTAATCTCTAATTGTATTTATGAATTCTTTTCACCAGACATTTTAGATGAGAACGTCGGCGTGCCAACATACAAATTAAAAACTGGTAATCTTGCGACGCGACCCGTTGCCAAATGAGATTAAAAATTTGAAGTTTTAATTGAAAAATTTTTCAAAACAAACGAAAGCTGTACTGTAAACAACGTGATTCCATAATCACAAACAAACTCCCATGGACGCTTTACAAAATAAAAGCGTTCGAACATTAGAGAATATTAACATGTTGAACAGTTGAAGTGACATTTTGCGAGTCTTTAATACCCACGCTGGTCAACACTTTACTCGAAACCTAAGAGTGAACACGTGCACAAATAAATAACTTACACCTCCATCTAAAAAACATTCGCAATTCATCGTTCGAAAACAAGGAGGCAAGCATAACAACTTCCATACCTTTGTTGTTCAATTGTGTGCGAGACCACCTTTGTGTACGTTCGTCTAGCTCGAATGAACCGCTGTAGAATGAAGTCGTGGAATATTCTGTCACATTGTCGCTATCACCTGACCTTGATCCATGATGATATCGATCGTAGATTTCGTTCAAAAGGCCATCGACGATAGATGATTGTCGACTGACCGTTCGTTCGCCAGATGCCTGCAATTCCTCATCCAACGAGCTTTCCGTCGTTTCAAAACTGCACTCGGAATCTACACTGTTCGGGCTTGAGCTTTCATCGCTGAAAATGCTATCAATCTCCCCAAGAGACGGCGATCTAGACCTGTAAGCAATCTGCTGTCGTCCTCCGTCGACAGCCAGATCATCCATTAGGTATTTATGTTGACGTTGTCTGATCCGAGCCCAATCAGGCCGAGTTTTATTTGAGACTGCAATTTTACGCAGCGGATTTATATACGCGGAAAATTAGTTTGTTCGACGAAATTCCCTTTCTTGAGGAATGTCAAAGACAGACGAAATTGAGTGAAAAAATTATGATCTTAGATAAGTGAAAAAGCGGAGGAATGCCATTCCTTGAGTCATATATGGGAAGCACGAACTATACTAAATGCACAAATATAAAGCGTTAAATGTCGAAGTGTTACGTAACAACAAGGAAAGTAGAGAAGTCACTGATATGTATATTAGACTGGGTAAAGCATCTCTTGCGAAAATTGAAGCCGGAAGATCGATCATTTGCTACTGGCTTCATGGGGGATATCGGTCCTAGTTTACTATACTTTTGTGCAACTGTGATTTTGTAATACTAAAGTATTGTAAAGAAGTATAGTAAAGTGGGACCGATACCCCCAGAAGGTAATAATCAGATGAGCCAACTTCCGGCTTCAATTATCTTACTATATTTTATACGTGGTGCGTTACCCAGTGTAATAAACATATCAGTGAGAGAAGTGGGTTGACGTAATTCGATGTAAGCGATTCAAACATCATGTAAAGGCGCAATGAAGACCAACTCTCTTTTAAAATGAACCAGCTTAAGAAAACTACATTTTGAGAAGTCAGCAAAAAGTTGCGCGTTGAAATTTTTTTAAAAAGAACAACAATGTTAAATTAAATACAAAAACAAAAGAACAGAAGTCTCGTTATCTTGCTAAACAATGACACTCATCATGGAGCAGAAAAAATAATGAAAGACGCCTTTATCCATGCACAACGAAGCGTTTATTGGAATGAAACAATAAGTACAGTAAGGGTTTATGCAAACTATCTTTGACAGTGTTCATCCTGTCTGAATCATTTTTAAATATAGATAAGCATACAGGGTGTATCAATTATGGAAGACCTTTAAAAATTAACCTATTGTGCTATAATTTATGCACCTTGGGCTTAGCATTAGTGATACATAGGCATATAAATTATCACTTATGCGTGTCACCTATTTCAGAAACGCTCGCCGAAGGCATTTGATAGTTAGGTTTAAGAATTAACGAGAAGCAGAAAACGAGAACGATTGCAATATCAATAATAACAAATAACAAAAATATGATTAACTAAGATGACGTGTGCCGGGGCACTTAAGTACGCGGGACTTAAGTGCTTAAATTTTCCAACAAAACACACTCTGATGGAGCTAATATCATATAGTTCTTATATAAAGGACGCCTGACTATATCCGATGTTCCAACAATCTTGAGAACAGTAATACTACGTTATGTTTGAAAGAGAAGAGATAATTCTACAACGTAGAAAAGTTGAAAAAGATAAATATTGCTACAATCATGTTTTGGGGTTGCTGCAGTATCCAAATCACTAACATTACGAATGTTATTCTTCTAACTCCATTTAAATTACAGTCCTATGTGTACATTGTAGTGGCAACCATTTAAAGTTGATTTGCACACTCTGTTTCATTCAATCTAAACTTGCTATATATTTGCTGTCGCCAACATTTCTGGCGATGGATTCCGGGAAAAAAGTTTTGAAGTCCACGATAAAATGCGTGTGTCTTTAAAAACTGAATACACTTCAGTCCAATCACTCGTTTTCGAGCCTTGCCAAATTTACGAACTTCGGCTTTCAACAAAAATAAGTGATTGAATCATTATGGTGCCAACATTCAAACGTCCGCTTTTAAAATATTTACAAAACAAAAATTCTTTGTGAAATAAAGAAGTCTTTTCAGGGTGCAGCACAATATTGCAGCATTTTGTTATTGACAACGTTGAACAACGTTGATGACAACTTGTAACAACATGATGATTTTTACGAGTGTAGAGAATGTTAATGGTAAAGACGTAGACATAAGCAACGTCATGTAACCATACAATAGACTTTTCAACTTATTACTCCGCAACAGTTAAAATCGAAGTCATCACGGCTTAACTTTTTACAATGTCAAAGAATATCATACTTAAATTGATTTCGAGTGTTTTAATTTCCTGCAGTTAAGTCTACGAGTTACAAAGAACCTTTTTACGCGGTTGTTGTCGTAATGTACATACTCACAAAAAACTTCCTTATCTCATTCGTTCTTTTCTTTTAATTGCGGCGACTGAAGTCTACAAGGAGAGAAAAACTTTAGTCAAATCTCGTTCAAACTGAACTATATAAAGAAAATGAATGCATTGAAACAACAAACTACACTACAGAAAACAATTTTCATGCGCTTTCTTTGGGAATGTTGGGAATGGGAATAAGGTAACATTTAACGCAGCTGTCGATTAACGAGGAAGTAATCATGCACGATATCTTTAGCCATGAAAGATATAATACTATATTTACTGCATCGTGGATTTATCTTGTAGTAATATCAAAAACATTCCTGGTTACTCAGACTACATGACTCAATAGGCCTGATTGAAGTGCTGGTGATTTGCAAGCATTAACGTATCTAATAAAGACGTTAACCCGAGTCACTGATATTCAAGCGAATCCAATGTATTATACTTTATGCCAGGGTCTTCAAAATATATTACTAATAGATCTAGAAAGTGGGACGTTCCAAATTTTCCGAGCGATTTTAACAAGTTTTTAAGGGAGAGGGGGAGGGTTAGGGTTAGGTTTAAGTCTGCCCTGTCCCTATCGCCATCTGTCAAAGCTACTCGCACATGATTTTACAGTTCATTATAAACGACGAAAAGCAAATTTCTATCCCGAAAAGTAAAGAAAACAGGTGAGTCCATCTTGAGCCTGGTCTGAATACTGGACAATCACACTCACATCACAGAAAACGGAATTCTATTCCCTGAGTTGTGTTATTGTGCATAGCAATTCAAGGTAGATGAAGTCCTGCGTGGCAATTTAAGTTCGCATGAAGTGTAAGCACGAACAGTCGTTGCCTCGAAGTTGCGATGGCCAAAGTTATCGTTTTAGCCCTCGTATTCAATCATGTAAGTTCAAGATCAGCTTGACGATCGAGAGAAAAAGGACACGATTTGTGCTTTCGAGAAAAAACGGTTGTACCTTCAAAAACCTGATGGTGCGGGACACTAAAACAAATAGATCATGCATGCACAACCTTCCAGATCACTAACGACGTAGTTGAGGTTCATTTTGCAATTACATATTAGAAAGTTGCGAAATTCATTCACGGTTTCCCAAGGTTCTTGAAACAACTTACTATTTGAATATTATGTTTTCCAATAAAATATCTGAAAATAAGAAAAAACGTCGCCTGAACTCTGAACTGTACTCTTTGAAGTCGCTTCTTTTTAAGAAAGTCAAAATTTTTACTTGAATTTCACATGAATGCAATTGATGCGATTGAAAATCTTTGTTTATACTTACAATTACCATCATGTTTTTTTACTTGAAAAGAAGCTTTTTTGGCTTTCTGTCGTAGAAATCTTAAAGTATATTATCATAATGATAAAGAAATGCACAGCATTTTATTCTCGACTGTTCGAGGGAAGGATCTTCGTCAAAAAAACTTCATATTCAAAGAAGTAAAGCGTTTAAGACAAAATTACCCTCATTTCACCAGAAATAGGCCATGAAAGGACATTTCAAATGATATAGCTACATGGTTCATACACATTTTTTCAACTTTAAGAGATGTATGGCTTCAAACAAGAATAAATACAGGTTTCTGAAATCGTGGCCGTGAGGGGTTTGGTAGCGAACATTGGTAATGAACCATTAATTTTGTCTCGATCATATTTTTACTAATTCGTTTATAAAGCTACTTTCCCAAATCCACAAATGAATGTAGTTTACACGATAAATTACAATAACATATATAAGTGGCTCACAAAAAAACATAAACACACATACACATATTGTACGAGGCGATTATTAAATCGTCAAATTTCTATAAATATTCATATTATTTTCTTGTAATTAATTTTAAATTTATTTCCTATAACTTTTAGCTAAGCTCAACACCTTAATGTGGAAGCGCTATTTTTGTTTTCAGTGTTTACTTTTCTTCCAGTGTGTTAACAAACATTTAGCATTATGAAAAATGAAATCTGTTCGAATATTCCCCAAAGTCAGAGGTACTTCAATGTCGACCCGCAACTGAACTCTTTCATTGTTTCAAATGAAATTTCCATGAAAAAGTGAAGCACGATCCAAATTTCTTTGCATTTTAAACGACTCTTTAAACACGTAAATTTCCTGATGCCGCTTGCTCGGTCCTAGCCATACTTAGCTGATTTTGCTTCAACCAATGAAACAGCGTCTTGCTGTCACGGGGACCGTAAACACGCGTAAACATGCGATCGTTAACCTATTCAAAAAGAAAAACGTTGCAATTTTGTTACCGTGACTTCACTGATTGAAGTTCAATAACAATTCCAAGTTCAGAAGAAAACATAGTAATTGTTTAGGTTGTCAAGTAAACCTTCCCATGGCAACAATCGTAGACTGAGCGATATGCCTTGAGGTAATTGTGGATATCAAGCCACTGCAGAAAGGGACCTAGAGTTAGGCAAAATAAATCATAACCGCTAATTTTGAATTTAAAATACCTTGATAACAAAGTCATTGGCAATGAAATTCAAAAGAAAATGGCGCCTGTTCAGGCGTACACTCGTGCTCTGGTCAGTCTGGTGTTAAAACAATTTCCCTTTTGGACGATCTTATCAAAACATGAAAGACTGAGGGAAATCATGAGCCGAGGGCGAGTGATTTTTACGGTTTCTTAATTTCAGAAACATTCCCAAGTGTTTGGACAGGACCATCGGCCATCTTATTGATCAAAAATTTGAGAAAATATCAACATGAGGGTAGTGCTACAAGTATTATTAGCGAAAGTATGAAAGCTAAATCCTCCCAAATGCCAAATTGCAGGGATAAAATCTCTCAAGCAAAGAAAGTTGTAAAATTTTGTAAACAACAAAGTTAAAATATCAATGACATTTCTTTCTTTCATAAAGGAATTTAAAAGTATATATTGCACCAAGCATTATGTTGTAGCGTAGCTTTGTCTTCTGTGAGTATATATTTTGAATCTTTCGTATTGTTTGTAAAAGGATGGCTTTACTTGTGTAGTCGAAGCCCACTGGGTACTCCCATTGTAGTCGCCATATTATGAAAACGCAGTGCATTATGGGTCAACCATTAAACTAAAATACATGGAACGCTACCTGTAATAGAAAAGCCTAACAGTTTTTTGAAGCTAAATCTTACACCAAGCCACGCGAGGTTACATTCAGCAACGCGAGATTACACCCGGCCTCGCCAGATTACATTCAGACACGTGTGTTTAGTAGTTCAATCAATTTTCACTCCGCGAGAGAATCTCGAAACACTAAACACGCGTGTCTGGGTGTAATCTTACGTGTCTGGGTTTAAGATTTGGCTTAAAAGGTTTGCTTCAGGTAGCGTTCAATGTGTTTTAGTTGAATGGGGTCAACAAAGTCGATTTCGATAGCACGAGTAGTAAAAATTAACTAATCGATGTGTTCAAGTAATTTATTTTGCCTACAGCTGAATCCGCCCCTGCAGCTAAGAGCGTCGGAAGCAGTGTGATCATGTAAGTAATTTTATTACCAGATGCGGTCGGATGAGCTTAAACATTCCCCCCTATTCTGAACTTTGCATCTACATAAAGCAGGTGGGAGAGTTTAAGCTCGTCAGACCATATCTTGTAAAAAATTGCATATATGCCACACTGGTCGGTAGGGAAATAGAAGTCTGCGTGTCTGTGGGCGGGGGGAAGGGGGGAGGTGGCGGAACGGGGGAATTATGAGTATCAAATTTTCAGTAAAATGTTTTCTGTTTCATATTGTATGAATCATATATAATCGAGCAGTCAAAGTATAAAAATCAGAAAACGTCAGACAAGGTGTTTCTCTTTAAAATAAGTTTTCATACATTTATGTTGATAGAAAACGTAACATGGGGAATCTGACGTAAGGAAAATGATGCCACCACTGTCATGTGAGAAAATAAAATTGTGTTGTTTTGAAATCGTTCTGTGTCTCAGTAGGTAATGTTAATATAACAAATTAGACCAGCGAAGAAGAATTGAAAATATTTCCAGCGCAAATCTTTAGAAGCCCACTAGACGAGTGCATCGTAGATACGTACCTTTTAAAGTTAAAATATACCTACAGCAAACATTCTCTTTCATACTAAATTTTGCTATCAAAGTGAGGAAGCACTGCCCCTTTTCGAAGAATAGTTAGTGAGTCTTTCTCTCCCCAAGTTCTTAAATTTCGCAAGCTGAAAAAAAATCTTTTACTCCATAAGCCAGAAAAATACTACTGATTTATTCATTGTAAAACAAAATATCTCCAAGGTTACCTTAACACCACACGTGTTCAGAACTGACGACCACAGAGGTAGCAACTAAAGATAAATATATAATGTAAACAAAATACGAACGATGACGTATACCTTAGCGCTACAGAATTATGACTTCGGTATACGCTCATTTTGACAAACAAATATGTACGTAAAATGAAAAACACGTCAGCCAGCTATTGAAGGAAACGATCTCGGACTTAAAGATATAAAAACACCACTTTCTAACGGACAGCAACTTCCATCATTAGTAATCGCTCCACGAAGAGCTCGGAAGACTCACGTCACTTATTTATAAATACGTTAGTGAATTAGCATGATCTTATAAGGAGAATGAGTGAGAGTTGACAAGAGAAAATGTAGAAGAAGTGAAGGTACTTTTGTATTTCTTCTAAGTTTTTGATCGCAAGCATCGATAGCGAGATTCGCAGAAAATTTGTAACAGCAAATATCTAGAGCAAATTCGTAACAGCCGGATAATATGGCATTTGCAGGCAAAAATTAGAATCATTATGCTAATAATTTTTAAGTCAAACCTTTGGTAACGTTGCTGCATTCCACTCGGCCAATGAAATTAAAATATGAGAGAACTGTTCACCAACTGTGTTTCGAAACTATAACATAAATTGAAATCATGCGTTATCCGACACACGATGAACACACACTTGAAGTTTAAGTCTAAGTCCTAGTCTAGTGTCTTTAAAAACTGGCTGCAAATGTCAAAAAACTCGAAACGTTTGACGCATAAGGAGTCTTGAGCATGCAATGCCATTGTGATATCACATATCGAGGTAATTTTCTTGGGTATCTGAAACGAAGAAGCTGAAGTCATGCGCTCCAGTAAAGTGTCTTTGATAGAACTGATCTAGTTTTGAAATACGAGTCTCTTTAATTTCGGTCAATGTAGAAATAAAAATCGTCATATACACTCAGTAGCGAAGCCAGCCCGTTTTCTACTCCCAGATATCAAATATTTCTTTGCTTACTAAGTGAAAAAACAAGGAATGTAATAGCTTTTCTAAAGAAATGAATCTTAATAATAAAAAAACGGATTGTAGAAGTAAATAATCCGGCCGACTTCGTTACTGCATACACTCCAATTCAGTGTCATGTGAAGAAGACTGATGCTAAAACGTAAATTTACTGTAAGTAATTCTATTGTCTTTGGAACACATTCATGTTTGCAGTGTGCAGTAATCGTTTAAATACGTCTATTTGAAAACAAACAAACTTCTTTTGTGTGCTGCAACAGATGAAGTATTCCCGGTGTGACTCGTGCCCAGAACTCCATGATGACAGTAAGGGAGCTATCTAGCATTTCACAACCTTCGTTATGAAACTGATGTTCACAATACAGAGTCCACAGCTGAAGAAAAGCAAAAAAAGAAGCATGAAACATGGTAACACAAGCTATCATTCCATTGCAAATAAATTATTACAATTAAAATTATTACTAAGCGCTTATTAACCGAGCGCGAGATATTTACAGAGAAATACCGAACCGAAGAATTTGTGGAGACCGAGCACGTACCGATATCTCTCAGTAAAGACCGGGCAAGCGAGATTAAAGGTTTATTATAGGGCATTATTTGACCAGGAACGAAGCATTCTTTTTTTTGTCCTAGCAGTTTTGCGAGGCTTTCACTTTCAGAGTTTTCGTTAGTAAAAAATAAATCGTTTGAAATTGTTTCAACAGTGAGTCTTCTATTTGTACATGGTTTTCTGTTTCATTATTTTTTCGCTTTCTAAACTTCAGCTGTTTGCTTTACAAAGTTTGTTTAGTTTTAACATTAAAATTACGCGTATTCGACCGTGGTCCATTACGGGAAAATAATGGACGCGACAAATGTTTCCTTAGCCGATTAATATATTATATGTATTCTCTGTTGATGGCTTTGGAATAAAGTCGAAACACGGTGCCATCCAGTAAACTACTATAGTGGCGAGAATCTCTTGTCCATACGCAGTTTTAAGAGATTTGACTCGTCTCCAATCCCTGTGGGCTTGGTAGCTCAACAGGTAGAGCGGCGGACTAGTATCCCGAAGGTGCGAGTTCAAATCTCGTCCAAGTCACATGTTTTTCATGTGCATATTAAAAAAACCGTGTTAGGATTAATACATTATATGTATTCTTAGCCAATTAAAGCGCACCCCATTTTGCCGACAATTACGCTTGCCATATAATAAAGTTGGTTACTATCTAAAGGTCTTCTTTCTTTAATACGTTTGATACATCCAACAGAAGCGTGTGAACGCTGTCAAGACAGATACGAGCAAACAATAAAAAAACTCTTACCAAACACAAGTTGAAAGCGTTTAATAAAGCTGAAATCCCAAGTATATTGTCCTGAAAAAAAATACTAAGAATTAATGGCTTTGTGGAAGTTGGTCATTTACAAATAAGTGCGAGCTATTACCTGAGAATTATCGGCAAAATTCGCTAATATTATTAGAACGAATTCGGCAATGTGCGTGCTCTCGTCCATTTTGATTGGACACGACTTTACATATGCATCTGGAAAGTTGATCGTATGAGAGAGAGAGCCAATCAGAAGCCACGACAGAAGGCGAATATTTGTGTCGCATTCATGCAACGTAACGCGACTAAAAACAAAGAAGTCAATAATAATTGCTTCAATGCATTCACACTGACTAATTAAGCCTCGCTTAACTTCTAAAATAATTCGCGCCTCCCTAAATGATAATCTAGCTCGACAAATGGCAATGCCAAGCATTTGGTAGAGACAGCAGATAGCTTAACGCCTGCATTTGAAGAAAGCTAACTCCCACTGACACTCGCACTCCCTGGGCACAACATAGAAAATGGGCTCTCTCTAATCAATAGCAGTAGCACAGCCTGCCCGTTTTCTACTCATATAAATATATTTGTGTTCAATCACTAGAAAAACAATGAATTTAATGAATTTCCCAAAGAAAAAAACAATAATTTTGTCGAAAAATTTGCATTGCAGAAGTAAAACATCGTGCTGCCATCACGATGTGGATAATGACAAACTCATTTCACCACAAAATGGCAACATTTTTCCAAATTATTTCAAATGAAGCAATCAGTGAGGTTAAAATACCGTCTTCGAATTGTTAAGTGGCGACTTTGCCTTTTGAGGCCTCACTCAGTAGTTTGAGAAAGATTAAAGAATACGGGCGTATATAAGTCTTACATTACCTTAGCTGTGTGGCGGTAGGAGGGGTCTTAAGCCAAGACAATGTTTTATTATACATTTTATTATGTCTACATGGTTTCGTGAGTTCGATCGCCCAAAGCTGAGAGATAGTCGCCTTGAGATGAACACCTAAACAGCGCATGCCCAGTTCTGGTTCCTCCCAGTCGTTGCGGACATCCTAAACAATAAGGAAAGGTCGACACAAAAGATTTCGTGAAGTGAATCCATTTCGGATGAAAACTTTAATAAAATGGAGCAACACGATTACAACGTGAACTTAGTTCAAAAAAACCTACCTAATGTTACACACATGAAAATAAACTCATTAATTGGAATAAAATATTGACCTACCATTTTCTTTTTCCTCGTAAAATTCCAGTCTTTAATAAAATCCAGGGCTTCGCTGATGTGATGTTGAAAATTATCCATGGCGTGCGTATGAGCCTACAAAAAAGCAAAAAGTATAGTCCCGGATAGTCTTTGTGTTGACCCTATTCTCCACAAAACCGGATATGCTATGGACTAAGCTACATTTCGTTTTGTTGATACTGTTCAGTCAAAAGAGTTGCACTCGCTTTTCTTGTATAAAAAATCAACCTTTCACTCTTTTAAAAAATCAAAACGAAGGTCAATATGTACTTGAGATAACTATTTCATAGCAAGACCTCGGTGCTTATTACGCATAGTGTGTCCAAGTACATGCTCCATAACACATCGTAGTCAAGTTTCTTTGTTGTTAAAACCTGGTAGTAAGTCAGGTGATAACAACAAACGTCAGCATCTAAAACTGACTGACACGTTGTTGACACTAAACCTTATTGTTATTATCACGCTATTGAAGCAGGTCGATTGTCACTGCTTCCTCAAAACAGAACTACCGAAAAACTTGTGGTTATCGCCCAGCGAATCTACTCGTGACACGAGCTGCGAATTTACTCGAGATAATAGACACTTCGATGAATCACATCCGATGTGAATCTTACAAGCTACATTATACTCACTATTGTTAATACCAATTGCAACCGAAGTTATGTAGACATTTACGTTAAATACACAGATAGGCACCGAAGAGAAACAAACCCTAATCAGAGCATGACTTAAGTTTTCATTTTACCCAGCTCTGCATAAAATTAGCATTACAAAGCCAGACAAATGAGTGACATGGACCATTTCTTTATGGTACCAACCACGGGTACAAATAACTCACACACGAGTACAAACAATGAATGTTGAACAGCATGAGAAATGAACGTTTTTGTCAAACGCAAATATTTGTTTGGAAAGATATACGGCACCTTATATTCATTTATCTTCCAAGTCGATAAATTAAAGTAAGTAATCTGGTCTTACCGATGCCGGTAGATCAATGTAGAGATCATCCCCTTCGATTGAATATAAGTAACGAGTGCCAACGTCGAAACAAAGAAACTAAAGTCAGAGAAACGTAGATTTTAATATTCGATGAGTAGTCGTTGAACAATCGGCGAAAATTTGCCAAACTATCTGGAAGCGTTGCTTCGAAGCTTCACAGAATTTGAAGATGTTCTACGAGGAAAACTTAATGAAAGGGTTATTCTTACTAATTGTATATCCAAAGAAACGAAAAACCATTGGTTAGGGTTAGGACTAGCATAAACATAGCAAGCTGACAACTGGGAGGGAGGAGGAGGGTGGCTATATTCCTAATGGCATGTTAAAATCCGTATAGAATGGATTTCAAAGGACCTTAAAATACAGTGTATACGAATATTGCCTGTACCCCAATTATCGATCTTGCTACGTTCTTCATGAAGACAAGTAACGTACACTAGAATATGTAACAATTGCATAGCCTGCCGCAAGTTTGGTTATATGATGTTAATTTTAGATCATTGCCATTATCTAGTTGTTCAACTCTAATGTTTTTATAGTCAGTAAACACCAAAATATTATGTCGGCAAACTTGTGTGCGGGCTGGCTACCCCTCAGACGTGTACAGCTGTTGTTTTCATTGTCTTCGCTGACATTGGTGATAAGTCGACATCTTGAAATGCTTTAACATGTACATCATATACAACCGTACTTGCATAAGATATCGAATGGTCCTTTCTGGGAGAGAGGATTTGAATCTCAAAACTAGTAAAATTTCTTGTAAAACCAGTTTGGTGAGATATAGCTTGTTTCGCTCCTGAAACACAAAATAATCAGTTAAACTGGAGGAGATGTCACATTCAAAGGGAGAGTAGGGTCTGCACGAGAACGACAAGGAAAATCAATTAAACCATACGAATAAAAAATATACGTGTGTTTGTTAGCTTACGTCATTCAACTACGCGAATTCCTCACCAATTCCAACAATTTAGCTATATTCTACAATTCTTAGAATAAAACTAAAACTACTATGTTAAAAGACGGATAGCCGACTTAACCTCGGAAAATTGAATTTCATTAGTGGAAAACGTATAGAGTCGATTTTTTAACACACACGAAAACATAACTTAGACTACGTCTACACAACTGACGGCGGAAAATTGACCGCGTTTACACACCTTCGTAAAAACGTCATTACATCTAGCGCAAAGCTCCATGAGACGTTTTAATTCGAACGTGCAATCGTGCAGTATCTTAAGCAAAACGTTTCCATACGGTTCCAGGAGTTCCTAAAAGTTAGAAATTTTATAAGCACGAGATAGATTATTGGTAGACAAACGGTCTCTGGCAACTCAAAAAAAAGCAGTATATAAGTAGCTACACCATGATGAGATAGATACCACCGCGAACTTGTACCTTGAACGATGAATTAGCTGCACTGATAAAAGCCAACATTATGGAAATTACAGGAGTTGCATCATACTACATAAAGGAAACAAATTTAATCTCACATCTTTCTGAGAAATTACGGCTTATACATGTGTCAAGTAGTCCTACGCGTGAAACAATAAAAATAAGAAAGTTTTGCTCTCTTTCAATTACAACAAACACAATTCTTTAAAAGCATGACTTGAGCGATATGAAAATAGAACAAATCTTTGGTCATCCACAAACACCTTACATTCTTAGGTAAAAACGGCAACAACTTTTGAAGAAATCGAATGAACTTTCCTAGCTGCCCTTTCCACATATCAACGGGATGCTTATTTACATTCTCGAGGTACGCAGCCATGTTGGGCAACAGCAACTGCAAGCGATCAGGAATAGTTTTCGAAGATATACTCTAATGAAATAGATATTGCTATTATTATAGTTGTTGTGATATTAATATCGCTTTCTTCGAAACCGTAAATTAAGGCCCACTAATTTCGACAGTACACTATTGTCGAAATTAGTGGGCCTTAATTTTGGGCCTTAACAAAGGTTTATGTGTTGATGCCAATCAGGTAATATTAGTTCGATAGGAAAACTCATCACCAGCAGGGATCAGAAAGGGAAATGAGGGTGTTGCGATCCCAACAAATCCAGAGAAGTAAGTCAGTGCACATCATTACTCTCACCTTTCATCATGTGTCCTCACTGTGTCCCGAAGGACTACAGGTAAGGATCACCCTACTGATGATAATCAACAATGGCAAAATAATGCATATAAAAGCAATATCGTTATCTGCCGCTTGTGGGACAAAACACTATGATTGCGCATGACCCTTTCATCTAGTATTACGACGTATTATTCATAGAGAACATCACATAATAGCATATTTAATATTAAAAGTAGCATTATTAAAATATTTCACTAATATTTTCTTTTATTAGTTTAAGAAACGAGTTTCCCGCAATGCACATGCGCACAGGGGCGGATCTAGAGTATGTCAAATCCGTCGCGCGACTGATGTTTGAAATTCAAAAATTACCTATTCATATTAATTAAAAAATCATTAATTATTCTTATTTTCTTATCGCATTTACTTCGTGACAGTGAACTCGACATTTGAATAACTGGAATGATAACCGAAGCCAAAAATTGAAGCCAAAAAATATTTTTCGTCATCATTCGTCATCACACGTCAGGCTCTAGTCTCTCGCCTGTACATTTTAATTTTTTTAAATCATTTGTCCCTTCGTAATGGTAGAGTTCAGATCTTGATCAGAGCGTAAAAATAACGAATTTTTTGGAATGAAAACGTTCACGGAAAGTGAATCAAAGTGATAAATCGAGAGAAGCAAGGTCAAGTGAACTTAGTCGACCTGCTCTTACGCTGCGGTTTTCCTTTAAAACATATCAAAGTCTTTAAGGATATTCAATTATTGATATCGAGATGAAAACCATTTGGTATTTGAAACACTATCAAAATCGATGAAAATGACAATCGCTTTGTAAAAAGTAAAAATGCGAGTTATAGACTCAACATTTTTTATGAAACTGGGTATTCAAGTTTCTTTTTTCTTCGGAAAAACAGATCTTTAAATCCACTTAAATAACAAAAAAGACAAACACTGTCTGACACCGTTTGAAAATTTACCTTCGGACGAAAGAAAAGTTTATGCTTGAATATTTTCTCGTCATATTTTCTTATTGTATTGTCTTTTTAGCATACAGTGTAATTTTCAGTTGGCTTTTCCTCGTTACAAGTTGTAAGTTACAACAAACTCACTGTAGTAAAGTTTCAGCTGTAAAAAATAACCTTTTGCGAGGAGTTGGCCTCGTGTGTTGTTTGTAGTGATGTTGTTTATACGTTTATGCTTTTGCAATTTGTATTCAAATTTATATTGGCCGTGTATGTTTGGCACTCAGGGGAATGAAACTGACGTACAAACCGCGTGAATATTCGACTTTGAAGGACTGGAACTGACGTACAAACCGCGCAAGAGACTAGGACTTTTGCTTCAATTTTATATCTATAAAATGTACTGTCGTTATCATTCCAGATATATATATATATATATATATGGATTTCACTGCTTCGTGATAAAAATCCCGCATTATTTATTATTGAAAAGTAATAACTAATCAATGAATATCTCGTTGGTAACCAGATCAGTTGAATTTTAATTGACCTGGAATAACCGACTGATAAGCGGGGTGGCTTGACTGGTTCGACGGATAAAGGAGTCTATGAACGTCAAAAACGCTTATTTTATTGGTCAATAGCCAGATCAGTGGAGAGTCTGGAATGGTCTCGACTGATAATAAGGGTGGCCGGACGTATAAGGGAGTCCAATTGCTATCTTACAATTGGTTCATTTGAATTTTTGCTTTATTGTGATTGGTTTGACGAATTTCGACTGATAGCCAACTGAACTAACATAGTCAAGCTCACTGTCTGAATTGAATGTTTGATCGTTTTATAGTAATTTTTATAAGCATGATAGAAACTAAACTACAATCAGATGGAATTTATGGAAATCTTTTACAAATTCATATATTGACATGAATGCTGCTGTCCAAAATGTGAATTTTTTCAAGAGGGTGGAAATTTATGGATTTATGGATTAATTTTAAATGCTTGGCAAAGACGATCTCGCGAGCGACATTTCAGTCATTGATGTTCAAAAGAAAGCCAACATTGTTTTGAGTTTTATCAGTAGAAATTTACATCCAAAATCGTAAGTAAAGGACAAGTGAAGTGTATGCATGAATGTAATATATCAAAGTCAATTATGCGAGTGTGTGATGCGATTTATGTCAATATGGCGTATGGTAAGCAGATTGATGCTTCTGAAATTGTTGTTGACGAAGGACTTTTAGCTATGATTTCTTTAGTGCTTGGGGAATCGTGGCCGTTATACGGCAGCGAAATCCTACATTCCTGCAAATATATTTCAATGGATAAAAAATCTGTAGCCATAAGGCGCCATACTATTATTTACTTTATCATAAACAAATGTTTGGGGTTTTCAGTTTATGATCATTGATCATTCAATCATTGGACAGTTATACTACATATTGTTTAAGATTTGAGAAAACTAACATTGATTACATGAGAAGCTGTTTACTATAACCTGTGATTTTGAGTCTTCTGATCCATGAAGCTTTTTATTTTGACAATTTGACTGGAATGGTATTAAACCTGAGTATTTCACATACATGGAATGTTGTCCCATGTCACATATTGTCCCCTTTTCTAACTGAACACCTCATGTAGAGATGTAAAGGTGTGTTAATCTACGGCTCATGCCAGATTGTTTGCCATAAATTCCAAAGGGCTATTGATGTATGAAAAGCATTTTCTATAAAGTAAAAATGTCTTTCTATGTATGCAGATAAACCTTGAAATTTGGCAAAACAGCAAAGTATTTTTCAAGATCACTAGGTAATTTTTCTGATGATCAATATAATTTATAAACTAAATTATTTCTGATTTACATTTAAACAAGCTTTGATCATATGAAAAGATATTTATAATAACCAGTAAGCATGACACATGAACCAATTTTTACATTCATGTAATTATATAATTAAAGACATGTTGGATATATTCTGTTTGTATTTGCAAATACAATGCTACTAGTGCTATATAGCACACCTTGCATATACTTACAGGAGATAATAGTCTAGTGAAATACCTAATAAACATTTATGGCATTAAGCTGTCCTTAACTGCAAATTTTCACTCTGATAATTTTTGCTTAACCTTTGGCAGAAAAAAATTTTGAGTTTTTTCTCAAAAGGTGAATTTGCTGGCACTGATGTGGAGATGGGTAAAGGGTTACAATAAACTTGCATGGTTTGAAGTCTGAGCTTTTCTATACCTATGAACTGTCACTTGTAGTACCAAATTTCTAACTTAACTAAACTCGTTACATAGAGGTTTGAATGAGGGTCTCTATGGGGGTCTATGCCTGACAACTTGGTAGAAATTTTTGAAGACTATATCTGTTTTTGAATAGCATTATTGTAAAATAAATTTTACGTTCCTAGACATGCTAATGAGCCATATATTTGGCATGATAATGAGCCTAAATATTTGGCAAAACATTCAAGTATTGTTCACTTCATTTTTTTTTTTTTTGAAAAAAACGTAAGCAAAATGTGTTGTTTTTACGCAAAAATGATGCCCACAAATACATTTTGTATTGCTCTAAAACGCTGAAAATGGCATTTTCAAGGCTCTGAAATTCAAAATTTCTCAGGGGAGAATGCCTCAGACCCCCCAGGTGCGGAGCGCCTTCGACGTTTTATGACTGATGTTTGAAAAATCCTAGATCCGCCCCTGCATGCGCAAACGTGTCATACGTTAAAAACATCGAATATCTTAATTATAATCTCATGATAAAAATCAAATCCCACTTTACATGAGTAGTAAGTAAAGGATAAAACAGAGGAAAGAAATTTATATACGTTTCCTCACAACCCGCGCCATCTTCTGACACTGTACTTACAAATTTGACAAAAAATAGTTTACCCCCTTCTTTCAAAAATTAATTTTTTAGCTTCTCATTTCATTTCCATCGCTCTTTGAATGTGCGATTTATGAAGGATGAATGATATTGTGGCCGTAGGTGGTATTCTGCCATATTTTATTGTATTATATACGTAACAATACGCCAAAAAAGATTTTTGCAGCTGTAACTTGCCTTATTTACGTTTAGCTGGCGGGTAGATTTGGTAGAGTGCCTTTAGACAACAGTCACACATTAGCAACAATGGTCAACCTCTGTCTCAATTAATCAGCCTGCCAGCAAAACGTAAACAATTTATCCCTATCTATACTTGGTAAGTCATCCTAGGCTACGGTGGCTCACAAGGGCCACCACACAAAATAAAAATATTAATACACACACAAAATAAAAATACACACACAAAATATATTATACACACACAAAATACATTATACACACACAAAATAAAAATACACACGCAAAATACATCAACACACAAAATAAAAATACACATAAAATAAAATACACACAAAATAAAATACACACAAAATAATACACACACAAATAAAAATACACGCAAAATAAAAATACACACAAAATAAAAATACACGCAAAATAAAAATACACACAAAATAAAATACACACACAAAATAAAAATACACACACAAAATATGATTGCGGCGCTTGCAGTGTCGGATGGTCTGACTATCATATTATCAGTTTGTAATCAGATATGTGTAATTCACTAATTGTGATTTTAACATGTGGTCGACTTGTCGTCGTATTTAACTGTTTCAACTGCGAAACATTTGAAATTACATTTGAAAAGGAATCGAAAGCAAGCTCTTGCATAATCCTGGCATAATTATGTTTTGTGCCAACTGTGGTGCACAATCACTTGACGAAGCTTCTTTTTGTCACAAATGCGGTGTGCGTTTGGGAAGATTAACTTCTTTGCCAAAATGTTCTGAAGCGTCAATGACGAGTAGCGTCTCTTCAAGCAGTTGCCCTTCGAGCTCTGCTAGTCCGTTAACTTCAACTTCAAGTACCCCAAAGCTGTTTATAACTGGTACAGGACAGGCTAGACCAATAATGTCCTTTCAAAGGACAACACATTAACCTTAATTTTAACCAGAATACGGGGAGCAATATCGTAAGCAACTTTGAAATAATTGATCACAGTGAAATCAGTGAATTTTGTTATGTACTCTGGAAGTTGGAACCATTAGAACTTTGAAAACAAAAACGATCAATTACGAGCAATTCCGAGTAAGCCACACTGCAAGCGCCCGCAATCATATTTTGTGTGTGTATTTTATTTGTGTGTATTTTTATTTTGTGTGTGTATTTTTATTTTGTGTGTATTTTTATTTGTGTGTGTATAATGTATTTTGCGTGTGGATTTTATTTTGTGTGTATAATGTATTTTGTGTGTGTTTTTATTTTGTGTGTGTATAATGTATTTGTGTGTGTATTTTATTTTGTGTGTGTATTTTATTTTGCGTGTGTATTTTATTTTGTGTGTATAATGTATTTTGTGTGTGTATTTTTATTTTGTGTGTGTATTAATATTTTTATTTTGTGTGTGTATTTTTATTTTGTGTGTGTATAATGTATTTTGTGTGTGCATTTTTATTTTGTGTGTGTATTAATATTTTTATTTTGTGTGGTGGCCCTTGTGAGCCACCGTACTAGGCTACCTATAACTGTCGTATGGTACTATTAATTATTGAAGAAAAGGTTGCTCCCGCATAAGTCACATCCGTGTAAGTTGTCGCATAAATTATACTGCTTAATTCAAACTCAAAGGAACGGCTTCCACTCTGATTTGATATCATCTTTGCTAACTTATTAAGTTGTAATTTTTGATAAAAGAAAGTTGAAGACACAAAATACAAGCAAAATATACGGCAAAAGGTACGCCACCAAGCTGTAAATAACGCATTTCGCAATAGCCAATAGCTTTTCGAATTGGATATTTGCAAATTAAAAGTGAATCATTTTTGAATAAAGCAGTATAATTTGTATAATTTTTTTCGACAGTTCAAACAAACGCGACGTGCATTTGTGGGCAAGCTAACTGACTGTTTTTGTTAAATCGAACACTTAAAAGCTTTGCTGTGAAATAACATTTTGGCATGTTACATATCATTTCTAATGACTGCTTTCAGCATTAAAACCATAACGTTTTTAAAGATTGATACAAATTGGTACCGCAACTTAAATGATCCAATAAACAAAGCAAATGTTTTAATTTTTTATCCAACACGTATGTATCTAACAGCACACGCGTCGCATTTTAGTTCATTTATAATTAAATAGTGTGTAGTCCGTTGGGCTTAGATGACGTATCTCAAACAACATTAAAGATAAAACACAAGTCAACCCCGCCCCAGTCTCCCCTTAGAACCGTTCAAACTTGTCAAACGCCCCGGGCCTCTTATTAGATCATTTACGTTGATCACACCAAAACAGTGGATAAAACAAAAGCATTGAATAAGACATTTAGCAGATTCACATACCCGCAGGACATACGATATTGGCCCCATTTGATTAAACTGAGGAAAATCACTTAAGGCAGAAGCGATGGCTGGAAAAATCGTCGGATCTACGAAAAAAAAAATGAAGCTGCAACCGAGCATCATGCACTAGATGGTTGGGTGAAATGAAATTTGAACGGAATAGATCCCGCTCCCATTCGCGTGGACAACAATTCAAAACCCTACTTCAGAAAAAGCAGGATTCGAAAGATGGCGACAACGACACATTTGTTGATCTTTTTTTCCACTTTTTAAACGTACATGGTTAATTCGTGTTCTCTTAATATCAGTGACAAAACAAACATTTTCGCAACAACCGGTGCTTAGTTATAGATGCACGTTGTGTGAAGTCAAACAGCAAACATTGAACTAAGGCCAGACAAAGGCGCAACATTCTTTCTATTATTTACGACAGTCAGTATCTTGTCGTACGTTGTAGCAGGACCTTGGTCACGCCACGCTAGAGCAAGATTGGATTCATGGCCATTTGGGGACACCGGACACATGGTGCGACGTTCAATTATTAAGCCAATTATTATTGTTACCACTAGCCACGTATCGTAACGTATCGTAGCAAAACGTAACATGGCGCATGCGTGCTTATGAATTTGATGGTCAATATGAACAAGCACGCATGCGCCATGTTACGTTATGCTACGATACGTTACAATACATGGTTAGTGGAGAACAGGCTTAAAATAAAATCGATTCACATTTTTTACAGGGTGTAGAGTGCCATACCCAGCTCATATATTGGGGGAGGGGGAGGAAATCATTCTGGGGGTGTATATTCCTATATACCCGGGGGCATATATTCCTGTTCTGCCTTATTATAAGTTTCTTTGATTCAATTGCTTTCTGCAAATTATAACATGTATATATAGGATCATTTCATTTATCCTACTGTATACTTCTCTACGTCCGCAGATTCTAGAAACAAAAGAGGTGGTGATTATGTGCGAAAGGCGCATTTTAAAAGAAAGTTAATGGACTAATAATAATGGCTATGTTACCAGACGTTGAACTTCGATAAACACCTTCGATAAACAGTTGAATTGAAATATGAAATCGACGTGTCGCCATATTTTGAATACTAATTCTTGAACAGTAAAAAATTAAGTTAAATTAAACTAACGAATAGTTGAAGCCAAAAACAGAAACCATCTCAACACGGCAAGTGAAAAGAAAAGCAAAGAATGGAGGTCAAGATATCTTATACCAGGTGTATTCTGTTGGAAGTCCACGAACCTACCTTCAATTGGCGTCCTAAACAACTCAGGAAAGAGTCCGTTCGGGGCGAATTGAACAAGGACACACCTCAGAAATTGTTTTGCTATTTCGACACTTGAGAGTGGCGTGATGATGTTGCTAAAGTAGAATATTTAGAGGATATGAGTTCAGGAAAAAAGCCAGCAATTACAAAAATATGTGAATAACCTTTTCAGTTGCCAATGATAAACGGTTTTTACGACCTTCCTAAAAAAAAGCATACGGTAAGAAGAAAATACAAGATGAAAATTCATAGGACTTCTGACAATTCTTTACAATATATGTGAAACGCTGAAATAAAATAAATGTTCGAACCCGGGAGTATCGTTACATGTTTGTAAATGTAGATCGTCCAGGTTGGTGCAGTCCTGAGAAGGACTGTTTTTGTTGTTGTTGACTGACATTTCGACGACAACCTTAGCGGTAGTCATCTTCAGAGTCAAATGAGGAGTAAACGTCAGGTCAGCCGTATTTGTTATATGGTTTTTACGTCATTGTATTGTGTGTACAGGAAATATGTGGGTGTCAATTGTGTATTGTCATTGTGAATTAGTGTGAAGTGTAATGTTTTTAGTTGTGATGTGTGATTTAGGTGCGATGCTTTTTGTTGTAATGTGTGGATGTCAATTGTGTATTGTCATTGTGAATTAGTGTGAAGTGTAATGTTTTTAGTTGATCGTTTGCATTGTGAATAAGTCGTTTGTAAGGTGCCGGTAATTGCTGTGATCTGTTCAGGGGGGTTTGTTCCAAGTTGGTAAACCAACTTTCTAATGTAAGCCGTTGTCTATAGTCAGTACTGTAAGTAATGCATTTTGCCGAGTCTCAGTCAATGTTGTGCTTTGTGATTCGGTGATGTTCGGCAATGAGATTAGTTTTGTCTTGTTTCTTAGTAGCTCGTCTGTGTTCAGTAAGTCTTATGTTTAAGTTCCTGCCAGTTTCCCCGATATAGGAGGCGTGGCACTCAGAGCAGTTTATTTTGTAAACTGCACCTTGTCGTTCGTTGGGTTGTTCTTTGTACTTTATGTTCGTTAGTACTTGTCGTTACGTTGTGATTGGTTTATGTGCGACACGTATGTTGTATGATCGTAAGATACGCGAGATAGTCTCAGACGTACCTTTGATGTAAGGTATCGTTGCTGTTGCACTGAGTTGTTCGTTTCGTTGAGTTCGTTGGGGTTTGTAATTGTTGCGTTTGATGAAGTCAGAGTTATAGTTGTTTTTGTCAAAAACACGTTTGAGATGGTTGTTTTCGTTGGGTAGAGCAATCGTGTAGAGCAAAGTTAAAAAGCAGCGAGTTAAAAACAAAACAAATTAAACCGCACAAAAATCTCAACAAACCTCCCAACGCACAGCAAAATTCTTAAAAGCCAAGGAGTTGATACGGTGGGGTATCTATGTACAAACGTGGCAAGAACAATGATGGACAGGTTTATGGTCTCTTCGTCGAACTGCTCGAGACGCAATCCACATCCAGGACATGAATCGAAGGGATCATATACATTTGGCGACTCTGGTGCAGTAACCCCAGTGTGGACCAGTGGTGGCGTATCTACAGCCTCTTCCTGGTCGGGTGAGTCGAATTCTTTGCTAATTTCAGTAGCCATTTTTTGGATTTCCAACGACGCTACTCTACAACGTGAGAAGGAAGATTAAAGAAAAACTTTCTCAACGAAAACGAACAAGACAACACGGTATTCAAGAATAGTCCCAAAGAAAACGAACAAGTCAACACGAGATTCAAGGATGTTCTTTAAGAAAACAAACAAGTCAACATGGGATTCAAGGATGGTCTTTTAGAAAACGAACAAATAAAAACTGGATTCAAGGTCAAGGATGATACTAAGTTCCAAACAATAGCTGCTTTCTTGAAGCATCCTTTTTAAAAATATTCAGGAAATTTCTCCAACTTTTGATCTCGATGTTTCATAAGAAAAACATACATCAGGCAAGCAAAGAAACTTATGATAAAATTCTTGTCTTTCCTCGACTGATTCAAAGGTAATATGGTAATAAAAATAATGTGGTAACGTTCCAATGGCAGTGGCGGATCTAATGTAAGTCAGAATACATTTAAAAAATCATAATTTAAATTCAAAATACTTTATAAACAATTCTATTAACAATATTTTTTGATTCAAAATATTCTTCAGAAATTTTCAACACACAGAATTATTGCAATGGTATTTTGAATTTCAAAAGAGGTGATGTAACGTATTCCGACTTAACCTTGAACCCCTCCATTGTTCAATAGTAATATGGTAATATTCGATGTTAATATGGTAATAATTAATAAAGTATTTGACCACAATTAATAACGAATGTACAATGATTATATGTAGTAGCCTAAATAACAGTTGGCTACATTCAAACTACTCAACTACTTTCAAAAAAGCTTATGACTGATACTCAGTCATATTATGATATTTGTAAACAAATTGTAATCGTCAAACATTTCACTATAGCTATTACCAATGTACTGTATTGGTGTTTTCTTTCATATCGTATAAATGATAAATGATGTCGCACAGTTTGAAACAATTTGTATTATTTGTATTTTTCTGTCATTATATTAAAGTTAACTAGTTTGAGTTTTGAAAATCTTGACTTTTACCAGGTTGCTGTTCAGATAAAATCCTAAAGCGTGATAAAGCTATTGAAATTTCTGTACATCTTCTCGCAAGCCACCATGTTTATATAATGAACAAAACCGTAACACATGCGCAGTCGCGGGTTTGTGCAAAATGTACATAATTTGAATGTTACGCAATCCTAAAAAGTTTCTGGTATAATACTAACTGTCAAAGATACGGGAAGATAAAGGGACGCCCAACTTACTTTTTAAATTGATCTGTGGAAGATGGTGTCGACTGTAATGTGTCCTCGTTGGTTATACTAGACCCGACCGTCGTTTCCTGTTCATCCTCTCCGTTAATCGACTGCTTGTTTAGATTATACATCAACTGATCTATACCGAACGATGCCGAGTCTGAATTGACACTCTGAGCCAGCAGCGAACTGACGCTAGATGATCGCAGCTCAAGTTCTATAAACAAAGCAAAACATTAGATAGCATTAATAAGTTGGCATTGACGTAAAAACCAGGAGATATCTACAATTGACAATCGAAAGAATAAAGTTAAATTAATCCGAGAGCGCTGTAAGGAATTCCCCAGAGGTGCAATCTAACCCCACAACTTTTTTCATTTGCCTCTTCAATGCCTCTTTTCGCTCCTGTTCCAAGTTGTTGTGAATAACCATTGCTTTAACGTTTGCAAAATAGAATGTCCAGAAATGCCATGGACGTTAAGATTGAGATTAATAAACTCAACTTAAAAGTCAACTAATCTCCAAGCTTAATCCAGCCTCAAATCCAGAGCAAGTCAATTCGGCTAGCTCCGCTGTCAACAATGTTCCTTCAATTCGACAAAATTATAGTACGAAATTATCAACGTATCATACGACAATCGCCTTTTTAAGAATTTTAACACGGATAGCCTTATTTATGTTCGAAAGATCGGGCGAGCTTGAGAAGATAGCCTGCGTACAGGCTTCTCAAAGACCGCCATCAAAACCTTACGAAACTGGAGGAATTACGTCGACAAGTGCCAGTAACAGCGCTTACCTTTTCGCCTAACTCCAATGACAAGTTCGCTTTCTGCTGGTGAGGGAGCCGCTGCAGATTCACTTTCTCCTGTTCCAAAGATTGCGGCCAATGTACCACGTCGTACTGTCGGCTGCTTCCTTTGTTGTGAGGTAGAGTTGGTGTTGTCATCGACGCCCGATAAACTTCGGCCGACTTTCTGAGCATACTCGTCTGAGCACTCGTGATTTTGAACGTTAATGGTGTTCATGACAATTTGAATGAGATTTTTTGTCAGTTCTTTGTGAGTACCGATGTCGTACTAAAAAATTAACTGAATTAGATCTCGTTTTTATAAGGCTATGCCAGGATTTCGCATGGAGAGGGAGGGGCAGTTAAAGGGGAAAAGGTGGGGGGTCAGGGCTGTCGTTCACGCAATGCAATGTAAATAAAATATGATATTTTATGAGAGCCAAGAATTACACTCCCGGGCCCCGTTCTGGCTATGTCACTGGGCGCAGCAATAAACAACGCAATAAACATGGTCAATAGAAAAGAAACGGTGCGAAAACATGTGCACGAGACCTCCCGTATGTTATTCACGTGTTTTCCATGCACACGCTTATTCGATGGCGGTGCTAGTTAAACAAGGCCCAGTGACATCACGATGCGGTTTCTTACGGCAGTTCTCACCTTGTATAAGTATATTAACAGCGTCACAAGCCAGGAGTGTCGGACATTGACGTCTAAAATGCCTAAGGTGTAATTCGGCTTTCGACTCTTGTTGACGACTTCGGGAGCAGGACAAAACAGCAGCAATTGCAAGGTAAGGGGTAGTACCTCCTTTCCCCAATCTGGATTTTTATCCAACACTTGTGGAATACTGGAGATGAACGCACTGAAGACAGGAGTGGACCTGAATCATACACAAAACATGTAGTAATATTTATGATAAAATTTACATGAACTTCTGAAGGGTTTACTGCTTTGCAATACAACAATCTATTTTTCCATGGCCCAATATCGAGTTTTTTAGGAGGTAAGGCATTTTTGTGCGCTGTGCGCAATATTTACACACCGATCCTCTAGATTTCAAACTACCGTGCAAGGTGAGGCAAGGACGCCATCTTGAAAGGTGGCATAAAGCAAAACTCAAAATAAAAAATAAGCTAAAAGAAGGTTTAAAACCCAATCCTATCTAAAATTTTAAAAATTAAACCTAGACTATCAACTTTGCAACTGTATCTCAACTCTGAAAAAGTTGATATTAGTCGTAAACATCATCATGTTGCCACCTTTCAAGATGGCGGCTTGCCTCACTCGGAACTATAGAATTTTTGCGGAGTCAGGTATCTAGTAGATTGGGTTCGAGGTCATTGGTTGTGTGTTAAGGAGATGTTTTGTGTATGTAAAGCGCCATTGAGCATACATGCTAAGAATGTATTCTTCACGAGGAACAATTTTTTCATAATTATTTGCCAATCAACCGTATTCACGATTCACTCAATGCATACAAACATGATGTGAGATCGAAGTTGCAGGTTGGTGTTTAATATATGCAAATCATGATTTAGCTACTTTCTGCTACATTTTACTTCCGCTTTATGATGCGAGTCTATCAAAGCCTACGTGTTGGTTATCATTTCATGGAAATGTTTGTATATGAAACATTAGGTTCGACACTGTGACAAAATGTATTGAGATCAAATGCTACCTCTGTTCATAGTTAAGTCTAAATTAAGAAATAAAACATGTTTACTGTGTTTGCACAGGCTTATGAAAACCGAGCAGACTGTTGGGAGAACTCGAGAGCAGATCAGTGCAAGCCCGAGACCGAAGGTCCAGGTTGAGGTTGGCATAAGAATCAAACAGAAAAAAACTTCTTTTATTTCATTTATAAAATAACAATAACGCGAAAAATGACAAATTTAAAACAAATTGATGTGCAAATTCTCTTTGATTGATTGATTGATTTGATTGGTTTAGCATAGATCTGTTTTGCACAGGTTAATGCAAACACAACTATACAGTGCATGCGTTGTGTTTATTTTATAAACTCAGATAGTATACCTCAGTTTTCGTGGACTTCCGGTGAACTCGCCAATCGCAGTGACGTTGTATCCCATCTGCAATCCAACATGATGTTTGATTTGACTGATGACGTATTCTTGGGTGCGTCCAAATTCGTTATCGTTCCTTGGGTTGCTCATGAACTCACACAGCAACGTCACCAATTGATGAGTCACTTCATCGTCAAGTGTGCGAGATGATGTTCTAGAAACGGAAATTACAAAATTTGTTATTGATGTTTTTTCATTTCATGCATGACGTCACTCTCACTTTTCTTTGAGTAGTACCCACCTAGTACTTCTAATACTTTACACTCTACCTTTCTTCTATTTTGAAAATTACCGTACTTTCATTTGTGAGTCTAGCTTTATGAAATCTGCCTTACTTTCATTTTCGACCTCTTTTAAAGTGTTTACGACTGGTAAATTTATCACAAATTTGTTTCATTGTTTTGTAAAGAAAATATAAAAAAATGACTTTATAAACCTCTTCAGTAGAATTGCCTTGTTTCGTTTTTTGCCAAAGATATTTAACTTCATTCTTTATAAAATTAATGGTTTGAACCCGGGAGTATCGTTACATGTTTGTAGAGTCCTGAGAAGAATTGTTGGTGTTGATGTTGACTGAGGTTTCAACAACCGTAGCGGAAGTCATCTTCAGAATCAAGACTGAAGATGACTGACTCTGAAGATGACTGCCGCTACGGTTGTTTAAACGTCAGTCAACATCAACACCACGACTCCTTTTAAGGACTTTATTCTTTAGCCAAATAACATCGTCATTATACTTCTTAAACAATAATAGTACATTTAAGATCATCAATTTTCTACATAGCAAGAACATTTTATGCGCAAATACAACAGTTTACAGAATACGTGTGTGGATGAATATTTGTAAATATGCCAAAGTTCGATATTTTAACGCAACGTAACTGTCAACAAAAATCATACAATGTGATATCAAAACGATGTCATTTGCACATTGAAGAAAAGTTTCATAATTCTAAAAAGAAATCAAACAACACAATTCTATAGAAGAAGTTATGTCATTTTTAATTGTCTTCACAATGCAATAGCTAAGAAAACACTATCTTAAAGTTTAATGTTATTAACAATGAATGAAGTGTGCCTATCTTCTTATTTGAAAGACTACCTCTTTTCTATTTCAACTTTCCTTCATCTTTGTTACAAAAGCTATTCTTGTATTTTGAAGTCAACCTCCTTTGTACTCTTAAGTCTACCTGTTTCATCCATCAGATATTTCTGAGTAATAAGAATGGTTTGAAAAGAGCTTATGAAGATAGTCATGACTGAACTTTCTAGACAAAATGAAGCAAATCAAGCAATCTATAGCGCACCAGAGCTAAAGATAAAAATCAACGGCTACGGTTCACAATAAATTCGGTAAAAAGCACCAGCCCAACTGAACTACAAAGCCACCGTACCTTTCGTACATTTTCCCATCTTTTTCTAACTGGGTCGCTTCTCTACCTGTGCCATCCAAATTTTCTTCAGCGACAGGTGATAGATAGCCTTGTGCCGCCATTTTTGCGCCCTGTAACATTTGGTCTACTGATTCAATTTGGGACAGGTCGAATTTATATCGTTTTGTATCTGAAAAAGTGGCAACATTTTCATCTGAGCACATTTAGCGAAGGGGAAATCTGACTAAAAGCGAGTTGTTTGTAACGTTCGCTCAGGTTAGTGTGGTCCGGAGAACGACTGTTGGTGTTGATGGAGATAGACATTTCGACAACCTCACTTCACTATGACGATTAATAGCGCTAGGAGCAACAGTCTTACTCAGGACTCCACAAAACTGGACAATGATATACATATAAAAACATGATAGTAAGCTTAATCAGAGACATTTTGAACAACACAATCATTACAGTAAGCTTCACATTTTCCACGGATAACTTTCAACGGAGGAAACGAATATTCTACTGGCCACTATCCACGTAACTTGTACTCTTCCTCCTCGTTGTACGTTTATGGGAATTCGCATGCGCTAGTTCTAGCTAATTTCATGGTCAAACGTAGTAAACTTTTTTAAATTTCAATTCAGAACTGTACAAAAGGAGAGGTTTAACGGCCATGATGTCAAGGTATCAACAGAGCTTTCGCTGTCAACAACATCCTACCTCCTTCCAGCGGACTGGAAAATTGTCGCGACACACAGGATCGTTCAAAGTTTAGAGAATAGCCGCAACGATTGGTCGGTAGCGAATTGGATCGCCCTACACGACCTGCATCAGGGCATATCGTTATGCTACTGCTGGTCGATGAGAAAGATGTCAAACGTTGATTCGCACCAGTAGTACCTGTGAGAAAATCGAGCAAAGGTTAGCATTACAAAACATGTGTCCTATATACTACTCAGAATCACTAAAGGCCGAGACACACTATCGCAGTCGCTTGGTCGTTCCCACAAAGCGACAAGCCTTGTCACTGTGCCTTTTCAACATCGCCTGCGAATTCGCTGGAGCACACGGAATCGCTACGTCGCTGAGACAAAATTCAAAATGGTGTCTTCCAAAGAAGCTTGAATAAATAGTTTTCTTATGTATCCTGTCCTTTATGACATGACTTTAAAGGATTATAAGAATGAAAAAGTCAAAGCAAATGTATGGGATCATACAGATATATTGATATCACGAAACAACCAGCGTCTATTGCAGCTCCTACGTTGACGTCTTTTAGTCTCATCTTCCTCAATTCGTTTAAAATTATAGCTAACAAAGTAGCGCGTAATGCTTCGTTAGTCGCTATGTTTGAGAGAAACCGCGAAAACCATATAATGCCATCGAAATTTGACCAGCGACAGTGTGTCTTTACATCATTTTTACATCGCTATGTCGTTATGTCGCTGAGTGGTAACGACCTAGCGACAGCGATAGTGTGTCTCGGCCTTAAGGGGTTTCCGTGTTTGGATGGCCGGATCCAAACACGTGGGATTTAAGCGTGAGTTAAGAAAACCGCACCGCTTTGCATCGCAAGGAAAATTCCCTGTGTTTGGATCAGGCCATATAAACACTTGAAAGAGTTTAGTAATTGTTTTATTAAAGAAGAACAAGAGGGAAGTGTTGTAAGCTTCATTTAAATAAGCTAAAATATGAAAGAAAAATTCTCCCAGGCGAAATAAAATTTAGTAGTAAAAAACAAAGTAAAACAAAAAAAAACACGAAAACGTACATATTTTTACAGTGAGGTTATTGATTTTAAAAGTTTAGAAAAATCACCAATCTTGATTTAAGTTAAATATTACATTGCCTGAAATATACTCCAAGTCACTTTTGAATGAAATCGTCATGGTTTTCAGGCATGTTCGAAATTCTTATGACCAGAATCGCGACAGTTATTTGAATTTCCGTGTTTGGATGGCCCAGTGGAAGGCAAGTTCCAAACACGGGCATCGACCAATCAGAGCACGAGTTTTGCAAAAGTTATTGTATAAACGTCGTTTACAATACATGTCCCATACATAGGCGTGTACCAGCTAATATTTTTTGGAGCAAAGGTCGACACATTTTCGATCTTTAATGGAGTGGCGAAGCCAGCCACAAATTTGTTCATGCTATGTAAATTTTAATCACTAGTATCACTCATTTTGTTTAGAAATCTATTATTATTACAGTGAGCACCGAAAAATTTACATAGAACGAACAAAATTTCGGGCTGGCTAACACCACTGCTTTGATGATTCTAACAAATTCTAACACATTTACCCGATTTTTCGAGGAATATTATTGCTCGACAAAGCATATCTGCTTAATATTGCTCGACAAAGCATACCTGTTGGGCAGCCTGGCACACCAACGATTCTAAATACATGCTCTATATGCTCATGTTATACTCACTTATAAGTAAATATTAGAGTGGATACCGTATGTGAAAGGGTAAATATTGATTTATCAACTCAAAGACTCTTCAAGGGCATTTAAACTGTCCCTTTAAGCAAAAATTATTAATTGCGATAATAAATTAAGATGTGATTTCCAACAAAATGGTGAAAAAGTTTTTAAGTTTGTAAAATCATTCCACTTTTATGGCTGACTAAAGTTGGCAAAAACGGTCCTTTTAAAGGACCTTCGAAAAATCTGGAACGACTTAATTTTGTGACGTCATGAAAGGGACTCCTCAATACAAAATATATAAGCCAACTCTACCTTGGATGACATTAGAATTTGGCTTGACCAATACTTCATGACGGACAAGGTCCGCTCAAAAGCAACTTTAAGCCGCCATAAAGACGATTTGACCAAAATAAAAAACTTTTCATCGATACTTTAGACATCGCACCAAGTTTAAATATACGCAAATGTTTTTGCCGATAGGGCACTTTAAGCACCTGCACGAATCGCGTGACGGTGCTCAACACAATACCTTTTCCTGTTTTGCGAGAAGTTTCGACCATTGATGAAGTGTTTGACATAGACGACTTATCACTCATGTTCGCTTGTCGCGACAGGGTGGAACGAGCAGGATTTGAGCTGGCAACTAACGAAGTCTTCTCCACAAACAGCTGTGTGAATCGTTTCAAGAAAAAATGCCCAGACAAGGGAGTACATTTCGGCAAGGCATTATGAAGCAACCGAAAAGTGTGGATGATCAACAAACGGTCCGAAGGAAATTTGTCGAACTGGCTTATTAAGCTGTCGTACACGACCACTAAACAGTTCGGATGTATAGTCTCTAGCATGACAGCCACGTGTAGGGAGACTGAGTTCGAGAGATCTTCCAGTGAGCCCACGAGATAGGCAAAACTGAGCGCAAGTGCCGATCTTGCTAGATCGTTACCGAGGATGTCTTTTTGTACGTAACGCGCAACAACGACAACCTAAAATGGCGAATTAAACAAATTCGTGCGAAATGTCTTTGATTATATTGACATGAAGTACAAAAAACCAGGATTGATTTTACAATACATTTGCCTTACAAACAAAGTTTCGGGATGAAGTTCATATTCAGCAGATTGTTTTTAAATCGTGGCAATTTTTAAATGGACGTGATGTCAATTAATTCTATGTATATAGTCAAAAGGCCAAAAGCAGACTAAGGAAAAAACGGCACAAACACAAAAATGGTCGGGAAAATATACAGTCAAACTTGTCTCCCTAAGAGATTTCCCCTGCATCCACATAAATAGAGGTTGATCTTCAATGCAGGTATAGTAGAAAATGTCAGACTCTTTATTAAAATGACGAAATTAGTCATAAATTTTTGCTGTTTGTTGCCGACTGCACAAACATCAGTGAAAACTTCGACAAGTTTCCGAATATAAGATTTAATTATATATTTTATTATGTGTGCTGTACTTTAGCTGACCTTTGATACAGTTTCAAAATAATGAAATATTAGTTTGGGACCTAGTTGGAAAAGGTGACGGCGATCGCCCAATAGAGGAAACCATTCATTAAAAGTCACTTAAATAGTATTTATATTTTTTGAAATTTTTGGGACAGTACCACATGACCGCTTCGATTATAACATGCTAGCCTTAATTAGAAATAGGTATACGCATTGCCAAAAGTACCTTTGACACACCATCGAATCTTACTCTCCAATCTTTGTTGGTAAACGTAGACTTGACCTCATTTACAAGAGACTCGGCACCACATGGAAGACTAATGCAGTGCAGCAGAACCGGAACACAGACCTCGCACAACTCTGAACGATCACACTTCAACAGACGCCAAAGGCTGAGTAAAGAGAAAACATGTATCTTTTAGTCAATATTCCACGAACACGGTGTACATTAGTTACGATGACCGTCTCAAACTTCGTTAACTTTCAACACGGAATGTTCTCAAAGACAAAAACGTAATTGTTTGAACACAGGTCTTGTTCATAATAGGCTTATGCTGTTGATAATATCGAGTTTGAATTTGACGCCCGTTCCGCAACATGCAAGAGAGAAATTTAGCAAACACCACATGCTTTCTTCGGATTGGACGCTATATAACGTTAATTTGGGAGAAGAAGAAAGAAAGCAGTCGTACACGAAAGAATGTATGAAAAAACGCCCCTCTCAAATTAACTAGTGTCATACTCAATGACCGTTTGCCGTGTTTGCTAAATAGCTCTAAATAAGTCATTTAACAAAAGTGATTTCTTAACAAGTCAATGAAAAAACAACGAAAAAAAAACATGTTTCTGCAGATACAGTGCTTTTCATAGCAACTCCGGGCCACTAAAATCAAAAATAGAAGGACCCTGACAACAAGTTTCGCACATACATACTTTGGAACAAGGAATGCTTCTTGTAAGTAGGATAGAATATCTAGATCTTCCTCCGCAGCGATTCTCAAATAGTCAGCACGAAGACACATAACATTTAAACATTTTACCAAATGCAAGATGACAACTAAATCTTCTTGTTTGGGTAATTCCTAAAAATAAATGTTTTATGACACACAACATCACAAATGATCCGATGTTGAAACCGACTGCTATATTACTACATCAAATCCTGGTCTTATGGTGTATTAACCCACCCGTCAAATTGAATGTTAAAATACTTAACTAAATCTTCATCTTATTGTGTAATAACCCACCTGCCAACCTTCCTATCGACTGCTAAAATACTAAACTAAATCCTCGTTCTATTGTGTGATAACCTTCCCGCCAACCTTGATCTTGACTAAAATAACTAAAATAAATTCTGATCCGATATTATAACTATCAGTATACTCATCGAGTCAGTTGATGTCGAAGATTATGTTCGTAGTACCTCGAAAACTTTCTCGTGATAAATCAAACCTACTTTTAAAACTCCAAGTAAAAATCGGATATGAGGACCCCGTTCTGCAGCACTTTCGAAAGACAAAGCCGATCCAGAACTTTCCCAAGATGACCTCACTGATCCCCTGGTGTTGCCCACACTGTCACCAGTATCGAAAACACTGTCAGTCATTTGTGAATTAGAGTCGTCACCTACATCAAAATTTACGATCATAAGATGTCAGAACTTTCCAATAGAAAAACCCCTTCACAGGAATCAAGATTTAATTTATCCATTCACCTGGTCCGTTTGATTTAGATCCATCGCTTTGTTCCAACACGACGTCTTCGGCATTTCTTTCGTCTCGAAAATTGTTCTTTTCTAGGTAAATAGGGATTACAATAGGAAACACAAAGGGCGAAAACTTTTAATCACCATATTATATGAACAGTAACGAGGGCGAGTTAAAATGACTCTCATACGAAGGCCAAATGTCATAAATTTTTGAATTCTTATCAGTTTGACGAACAAGGAATAATTGAGAATAATATGCGCTGTATATTAACATACCCAAAGCTCTGAAGCTTGACGATAACATTTTGAAGCATTTTGAAGATATTAAATGTAAAATTGAAATGTATCATTGCTTGTTATTTGACATACCGATCAAAATATCAATTGTGTAATTAGAATTGAAAGACCTTATTCAGTTTTATTCACTTCTCACTCAGCTGCTAAATTGACTGCAATTGCACTTGTTTTCAACACGTCAAATGCATTTCCCAAAAATCTGCCCAATTTTTGAAGAAATTTTAATTGTTGGTAAAAGAATGTTTTAATGCTATTCACAATTGATTGTGTCGAAAAAGCCAATCAGATTAGAGCATTCTGGTCTTTGAATCTTGCTTCATGCCTTATTAGGCAAAAATTTAAGCAATTTGATGAATTGGGAAACCGAGAGTCAGGCAGTCACGTGCACTAACAAATATTGTAGTAAGAAACAGCCGGGGGATATTTTGATAGGCTATTCTTACCACTTCGTAGTGAATTTCGGTTCAGTACCAAACTACTGCTGTTTTTCGCCACAGTGCCAAATTCTTGTCCCAGGCCATCCAGATTGGTTACTAGCTTCTTGGAGAAGACACGATTCATCAGCGCATGCGCAAGTTGAAACCACATAGCGGTCATTTGGCAATGCCGACATGGTCCAGAGTGGTTGTGAAAACCCGCCCAAGGAACATCCAACATACGTTCCATAAGGCGTACGATGCCCTGCCTTTCCAAAGCGTTCGAAACACGTTCGCTTTCTTCGTACTGAAGTTTTATCTAAATTAAAAACACAATAGATAGTTGAGAGATTAATTGAGAGATTGTTTAGTGGATGTTTGGTTTAGTTAAATTGCAAATAGTTTCTAATGCGCAAATTGAGTGTGTTTAGGGAACGCAACAAAAGCGTGGCGTCAAAGTGAAAACGTGTGACCTTATTTAACGCATGCGTAACATAAACAGCAATATACCTGCTTCGCTATGATGTCCAGCATCATGATGTACGAGGCAAGCGTCGAGTCATTTTCAAGAACGGCAGACCATCTGCCTGAGTTTATGTGTTCTTCTTGCGTTGCAGGCGAAGCGGGTTCGCTGTCCTCCATGCTCGGATGTTGCAACGAATCCATCGCCAGTTGAAACATGTTCACCAACATGTGAATCTTGATGATAATATCAAGTTCGGACAAGATCTATGGATGAACGTGGATATCATGCGATAATTAGTGTCCTAACACACATGTCTTCCGGGAGAAAATCTATCGATAAACGTGAATATCACGAGATAATATCACGAGATTATTAGTGTTAGATTTTTCAAAATCGTCAAAGCAAAGAAGAAACGTTAGATAAACGCCTATTATTGGTCTGATGAGCTTAATCTCTACCTCCTACATTATATGTTGCAAAGTTGAGAACGGGGGGAGTATTTAAGCTCATCCGACCGACTATCGTAAAGAATTCGCATGTATTATCACACTGGATGCATATTCCGTGAGCCCTACAAACCTGCAACCACGTGAGTGTCTGTCTTTGCAAACTTTCTGAACCGGATTCAAATCCGTTCTTGATAAACGCCATGACAACGTCCATCGAGACTTTGAATGGCGATACTACCGGGTCAAACAGATCGCTGAAAGGAAATAAAAAAAATCAAAGAAAAAAACACGTACGAAGTTCGATTTGCCAAGACAAGCCCACGACAGAATCACGAGGGACAAAAGAGAATGTTAAATGCTGTTTTTTCTCATTCTACCGGATAACATATGTAGTACACAAACCGAAAAATTCTTCGAACTCTATTTACACCTGATTTGGCTAGACTTTACACAAAATTCTATAAGTTAAAATATTAATCAACATAGACGAGCAAAACAAAATCCCAGTTCAAATGCAAGGTTAAATAAAATGCAATATGCGCGAAACATGTCGTGGTGTTACGTATTTCAATGGGGAAGGTGACAAATTGTATTTTAGGAGGGTACTAGCACCTGTGCAACCTCACCACCCTCAACCACGAAAGTCCGTAAATGTTTCTACCTCAGCAGGCTCTTGAACTCCCGAAGACGTTCAGGCGGGACGCCACTTCTTATCGCGTTCATCCACTCAGGCATAATTCGTTCCCATACCTTGGAATGATAATAATAATATTGTTTAGTGTTTTTGCGCTCTCTATCATGGATATTACCAAACTTTACAGGCATCCTTCTTCAGCATTGACCAAGAACTCCAGTATATACCTGAATCCGAAATTCTAAATTACGAGTGAGGCAAGTCGCCATCTTGAAAGATCGAAAAACTGACGATATTTGCAACCAAAATCTGCTTTTCTTGCATTGATATACCGTTGCACAGTTGTAAGTCTAGGTTTGTCTTTAAAATGTTTGATAGTATTGATTTCTCAAACTTTCTTTATGCTTTTCGATTGAGAGTTTTGACTTTTTCAACCTTCAAGATGGCGTCTTTGACACGGTACTCAGACATCCGATTGTTGCATGGCGATTAGTTGCTATATCTCGTTGCAAGATCACCTTTATTGACATCAACTTACGATAACAAAGAAGTTATTTATTTTTGTAACAAACTTTTTCGCGCGGCTAACGTTCCAAAACCATATAACGGAAAAACCATCCAACAAGTTCGCATGCAAAAATTGTGTCGAAAACTGTTTTGATCCAGAGACTGATTACGTACATTTCCTTTGAGGATACCGAGTGGCAAAATCACAGAGCGCTTTTAGTTCCAGTGAATAGCACGTTGGTACTAATCTGAAGACTTCAAACCGTTCAAAACAGTAATATCAAAACAGCAAAAATTTATCAAGTTTAATGTCACAACAAAGTGTACGCAAAGTTCCGAGAAACAATCATCCATCTTCCTTCGCCTACGCACAAGACAAATTATAATCGGCAACTTGTTTGAGCATTTTGAATTTACTTTACTCGTGTACGACTGCTTTTGCAAACAGTAATATTAAGCCCTTATTGACCGAGCTCGAGGTCTTTACGGAGAAATATCGGCAGAAGTTTTTTTGTACAGACCGAGCCCGTAGAGCGAGGTTTATACAAAAAAAACCAGATCTTTCTCAGTAAAGACCAAGCAAGCGAGGTTGATAAAAGGTTTATAAAATGCATTATTTGACCTGAAACGAAGCTTGCTTTCTTTCTCGTCCTTGCTGTTTTGTACAGGCTGGCTTTCACTTTTCTAGTTTTGTCAGTAAAAAAGAAATCGTTCCAAAAGTTTCTTAACGTTTTGAGGTAAAAACCGTCGTCACGAAAACGAAATACACAAACCGTTCCTCTCGGGACATATTTTTAGAGCAGACCGTCGAAACGTCAAAAAACTTTTCACTTTTCGTTCTGTACAAGACGTTTGATAATCAGCCCAAAACCGAGTATTTGATGGTCATAGTTTCCCGTAAATCTCACTCACCTCTTGCGGAATCAGATTGTACGGAATCAGACAGCAAATCCTGTATAAACCCTCCTTCAACAATCTGATACTATCCGACAGCATATCTGTCGTTTCTTGCATTTGAACATACGACGGGGGATCGGGAGACAAACACGTACAGTACAACTCGAAGTTTGCTTTCTTCACGTTATTCAACCAATTACTGATATACTCCTTTTTTAAAGTCTCGATCTTCGCCCGCACTCCTTTATCTCCAATGTCAGCAGTTGCCGTCATCCAATCGAAAACGACTGAGATCAGGTAGCCAAGCCTTTCCTCGCTCTTGCACAACGAAACCGTGCGGCATTGAGACGCTAAAAGCCATACGCCAAAACGACTAAGCAACAGCTCTCTGTTCATATCGTCCGTGGTGATTTGTTGACCGTTCTCAGCACTTGACATTTCCACAAAATCTGGCTCGATATCGTATCTAGGGAGGCATTATAAAATAAACAGTGAGCGCATAAAGTCACGAATAAAGAATAAATTGTCAATTTGAACTTCCTTGGCAATTTAGCTGTCAATGAAATGATATCCGGGGCAGGGTTGAAATCATACCTTCGCAAAAAGAAACGCCATTTCAATTAAAGTTTTATGTACTAAAACAGAGACTCTGTCGTGGTAACAAATTTAAAAATTGTATTATAAAGAGTAAATACTATGGTGAACACCTGATGAGTAGTCTGCCGAAATGCATAGTGTCATTTTAGCTTAAAAAACAGTTCTGGCTTAAACAGTTTCTTTAAGAGCTATTACGTTAGCATTTGACCACTCACCATAGTATTTACTCTTTTTAAGACAATTTTTAATGAAAGTTTTGTAAATTAATGAGGAGCATAGGAAGTTACTTCGTAAGATTTTCTGCTCATTTCATGCATTTATTTTATAAAACTATGAATTTAAATCGTCAAACAAAAAACGTTCGGATTCCTTTCATCATCAATGAAAGATCTGAATCAATTAGAAAAATCACAGCTAGTATTGATAGCATCTGACTTTATATGAGCCGAATGAATTAAAGATAATAGAAAATGTAATAAAATTCCTCATTATCTTCTGTTTTAAATGCATTCGGCACATGTAAAGTTTGACGTTTGATATGGGCCTTAGTAGCAAAATAGTAAAAGTACGAAGAAATCTCGATAGGAAACCTCTATAAGTAATTAAACAAAAGCTTGCAAGAATGAATCAAAACGCGGAAATGCTAAAGATAAATCTGTTGGAGAGATAAAAGAGACGATGAAGAAATGTTGGAGAAGATTGTTTGTTAGAAAAAATTACAACTGCCAAAAATTATTTTGGTAAAACACAAAACAATTGACACTACTGCGTATAAAGAAAACATTTTATTCAGCATGATGACATGTAACACTTGTCGAAACGTTTAGAATTAAAATGATTACCTTCTACGTAGTGCCGATTGTTTTGTGTTTTATTGAAAGAGAATTCAACTTGTTCGTAAATTGCTATCAACTATTGAAACGGCACAACACCGCAGGAAGAAGCTGGAGTTAATATAATACTTTCAAACAAAAGCTGAACGATTTTAGATTCGTAACAGCAAGAGACTTATCATGTCGCTCGAAAACATATACCTATTTTCGGGGGGAAGACAAGCGGCGATTGATACATTGGTTTTATAGAATACTCGCTGAAATAAGAATGAAACCATCATAAAAATGTAGTTCATCAAAGGCAAGAAACTACCTTCGAGTCAGAAGATTTAATTTATAAAGATGGCCTATCAATTTAATTTATAAAGATGGCCTATTATGTGTGAAACTATTTTTGTTACAAAATCTTTGAAAGAAAAGTTTCAAATGCCTGACAAAAGAGAGAAGGACAAAGTTGGGATTATGAAGACACAACCTACATTCAAGATCAACAAAACAATCAAAAGTCGATGAAAATTGTTTCCATGGATAGTTGGTGAAGGTCTCCAAAAAATGTTTTGTTCTTAGTATCGACTCAGGCAAAACAAGACGGTCCAAAATGATTACAGCTTTTACAGAAACAGCAGAACCTTAAAAGTGACATGAACCTTGCCTTGTGGACAGGAGTATCTTTCTAGGGATGTAAACTCTTGCTTAGTTAGCGGCAGCGAAAAGAATTCAACAAGTATGTGAAATACTAACCCGATTTTTCGCAACCTAGTTGTCTCATTAGGAGGGGCTTGCTGTAACAAACGAACAATAGCATCGACAAGAAACGTCTGTTCCATGCCCTCGGTAATCCAAGGATCGGGGAGTGCCCCTTGGACGACGTGACATTGACCCTCGCCCTCATCATGGTTGATGCGAGTGCAAACACGACATTGAGCCAGCGGTCGATTTCTGAAATTGCATGAAAAGCAAAACAATGTTCATCAATTATTTAATAACTACTCGTTTATCTACTGTTTTTGAAGAAGTTTTGAGTATAATTAATAGTAAAATAGCGTTTCTCACGAAAATAATTTTCATGGTTTTGGTTGCATTCTTTCTGAAACGCAGTTTGAAGAAAACAGATATGAAATGATGAAAAGTCTTAACTGATCAATTTTTCCTTAATTTTCAATTTTTCACCTGCATTAAAAATCGAAATTCACCTTTGTTTCTTGATACAACTTTCAGAAAAACACGTATATTTTGCCGTCCGGTCGTCACCTTTGCAAGGCTTATTCTCACACGAAGCGGCCACTTCTCCTATTGGCTGAATGATATCCAATAAGAAATGATCTCTTGCCCTATTCGCGCATTTCTCACAAAGAAAAACAGGAGGTTCGGTGTCACACACGCTGGAAGCAAAATGAGCATCGATGCAGAGTTTTGTCGATGTTCCAACACAGCTGGGTACATCACACTGAGAACTATTCCAGGCATCGTAATAAAACTGGGTATCGTCCATCGCTCCAGCAAACGAGAAAAATATATAAGCTGAAATAGACAAGATTGATTTTGACGACAATACACAAAACATCATTTTACAATTCAAGGATATAAATGGCGAACACATAGCGGCACTTTGACTATGGAATTCCTGTCCAATTTGAATCTGTTAAGACAAACTATTTGAACAGTTCTAGCAATATGCGATCAGTGAAATTTTCCGAAAACTGTATTGAAAGTTGACATGGTTCACATGTTCACAGTTTCCAATTCATCAACAACACGAACCCGAAATACTAAAAAAACAGACGCTTGAATGGCTAGTTAGAAATCTCACATAGAGTTAGAGTCGAGACACTCTGAAAGCTCATTCCTCAAAGTTTCGAGGTAAATAGAAATACATGTTTTGCATGCAAGAACTAAAATAGTTAGATACTACACAGCCGATCGGAAAAGAGTGGCATTTACATCAAATCGTGTAAAGTTACCGGAAAATACGTCAAGTAAGGCAAAGCAAATCAGCTTCCCTTTTCACATGACATAAAAAATTTTTAGTTGACATAAATTTTTGAAGTAAGATTCAATGAAAACATTCAAAAAAGTGCTGTGTCGGAAAAAGCTAGAACTCACAAAAAGAACAACCTGACTAACTACAAAAAGAAATATTTTTTCATCTCCAAAAAGTCTTTTTTACAGTATGAGCAGTTGAGAATTGTTAAAACCTAAGCTAGATCGATCTAAGCATAGTTTAGCGTACTCACCAACATCAATGGAGGGATAGTAATGGAACAAGAGTTGCACAGACGGTTGAAGAACCTCCGTCGGTCCATACGCCATAACCGCGAGCAGGTCGAGACAAACGTTCTTTTTGAATCGCATCATTGTTTCCAGGAATTTGGCGTGTTCTTTGGGATCGTTACAGCACAACAAGACGGACATTATGAGAGAAGAGCAAGACAACGCGAAGTGGCTGTCACTGTTATCGCCACTTGAAAAATTTCCTGTGGTTATAAGTGTTCGAAGATTAGACTAATCAAGCGTTAACACTGTTGAATGCAAGAATCAAAGTCTCAGTATATTTATCATATTGTTCCTAATGAATAGAGATGCCTTACTACGTAGGGAATGTATCCCATGAACTCGAAATTTTTTAAAGTATCGGGATTTTTTTCTAATTTTTGAGATGCCCAATCTCGGGGTTTAAGGTTTTAGGAATAACTATTTTGGAGAAAATGGTTTCACCAATAAACGATTGTGTGAAAAACGTGATGGATTCTTTGACTTCGTTTGCTGGTACTAAAACTCTATAGCTAGTTAACCCTAATGACTTGCATACTATATCAAATCGTTGTCAGATTTAGTTTGAATAACATTGTTCAACAAATTATACAACCCAAAATGGACAACTCATCATTGTCCTGGCGAGTTATACTACATGCATGTAATAAAGAAAAAAAACTAATTCCGGTAGGCTCGATAGCTAAACTGCATGGCAGAGAAGCGTCACTAACAAATGGCACCAAAATCAAAATATATGAAATAACGGTCTATATATACAGAACGCAGTGACTCGCTTCTCTCTCAAGGAGCCTGGTGAAGAAAGCACACAAATTGGGATTTTTAAAGCGTGAGTGCCAACAATCGTGCATTGAGTGCAATTGTTCATTTTCACACCAGTCTCATCACTGTATTTCACGCTAACGCAGATACATACATACTTTCACATTTCCTCTTACAAAAAAATATTAAAATAATTGCAAAATAACATACATGAACTATATTTACTTAGAAATGAATAACTGAACAAGGATTGGAGTCATTATGAAGGATTAAATAACAATCACTCTTGCCACTCAATTTCGTGCTTCAAAAAATTTCATGCATAATGTATGATGGTATGACACTCGCTCTCTAAGGAATCTCGGGATAATTGCGACATTCATAGCTTACTTGGGATTCTTTGCAAAATTAAAACAGAGTTAAGCATCGCAAACCGATAAAAAACATGGGGCTTGAGTATGGGAATCCCCCAGATGTTAGAAACAAGATTGGAACAAAGCAGAGGTTAAAGAGCTCGAGTAAAAAAGAGATTGGTACTGCTGCAAAAGATAACTCACCAAGCAACAAAGGAAGAAGATAACCGCAAATAACGTTCACAATGCTGCCATGGAGACTTGAACTTACGGACGTCATCATGTTGGTTAATGTTATTGGAAGATCGTTGAGCCATTCTTCTGGTAGGAATGGAACCAAAGAAGCCATAATGTGGAGAATTGTAAGAGCGCAGTCTGCGGTGGAATTATTATAATAAATCTTTGTACCGGATAAAAGCATGGTTTCGAGTACAATTTTTAAAAAAACATTTTTCTAAGACTATCAAAATTGCACAAGTCGGACGAGTGCAATTTGAAAAGCTCTCGAGTCCATATTATCCAAATTGCACGAGAAACTACACAGTGTTACTTAATACCGTGTCGTATTTGTCAATTGCATCAGATATTTTTTTCGGAACAGCATTGCTTCCAAACACAGAGCCAAAACGAGATAGCTCATTTAGGAGAAATTGCTATTGAGAGTGTTTGTATTTTTGCAAATGTCTCGTAAATGCTGTAGGACCCGGTCGCCGAAGACAATCTACTTGAGTAACCAATCAGGAGCGTTTTTAAAAAGAAATTTGCACTGGTAGTGGTATTTTGTATTTTTGGAATGGTATTTACGAAATAATAATATACATGAAAAAATTTCTCAATTCTGATTGCTTAAGAATAGTGCAATTTATCGTAAATAACAGTGCAAAAATGTGAAACACAGTGAAAAAAAAAGAAATACGGTGCAATTTCTTTTTGAAAAATACGCTCCTGATTGGTTAGTCAAACCAAGATTGGTTAGTCAAACATTTCAAAAGCGTGAAAGTTAAATTATTGTAAACAAAGCAATTACAACGGCTGACGTAAGTTTTAAGTAAATTTTCTTTAGCGAAGCAGTTTACAATTCACCGTTTGTAAGATGTTTCTGGACGAAAATAACAAAACTGCTAAAAGTAGATACCTTGTTTTAGCTGCGTGTGCGGAAGCTATGGTGTTGTGGAAAGTAATATCTGACGGAATTGAAAAATACAAGCCGGTCGATCGACGGTTAAACTCGCCGGCTGAATTAATGTACGTACGTGCATTAGGTTGACGTAATGAAAGTCAACAGAGTTGAGAAATTTTTTCATGTATATTATTAAGTAATAGCATGGTTTATTGTGCAATTTGGAAAACAAGCACTCGTGAGTTTTTCAAAGACTTCAAATTGCAATTTTGATAGTCTTTGAAAAATTCACTCGTGCATGTTTTTCCCAAATTGCACTCTAAACCATGCTATTACCTATACAAATTGCCCTGCTCTTAACAAATCAGAATTGCGAATTTCTTTTATATTTTTAAAAACAAAACAACATGATAACCCCTGTTATACTAGTAAATTCCATGAGTTCTTTTGCCAACCTTATTTCAAAAGTAAGACAGTAAAAAATCTTTCCTCAAGATGGGACATTATATGTAACATACATGCCAAATACGTAACATGGCATTTCTGTCCAAATTCAATATTTGTTCAGAAGCTTTCACATATCGTTTTTAGAAACCTTGCTATTATTTGATTTTTTCACATCCAGCTTTAATAAATGTAGAAACTATTATTGGCAGATATGTCATACCTAAAGATATCAAGAATTATTTGCAGGTAGTTCACCAATCACAGCCGACATTGTTTACATAGTGAATAATAATAATAAATAATTTGGCGCATAATGAAATCACAAAAATTACCAACCTTCATGGCCTTCACCTATGTTTTGAAGAATGCGGAATAGATCAACCAGTGTTGTAAACAGGCCAGTGTAGTCAAGTTCAATAACAGATTGGTGATCAAAAGAGCTACCATCTTCAGAAATTTCAGGTGCATCTTCATTGACCAAACTAAATTGCAGTGAAGAGCTGTCATAAAGAGTAACAAATATTCCACCAGAAAATTTTCAACTCCATTAAAAAATAAATGTATGTAATTTAACATGGGTAGATTTTTGAGGAGAGGAGAGTTTATATTATTGTTTAGCTTTCATGTCAATGCCATTCAATGCAAACTGGTAATCCACTCTTGTGACTAAGGCAAAGCATTGTATTCCTTGCACAGGCCAAAAAGACCACTGAAAATTGTGGTTAATTGCTGCATTCCTACTAAAGTATAGCTATTGCGCAAAACTGCAAGCTCACTGACTACAGTATTACAAGAAGGGTCAATGTTAAAAGCATAGTATGACAAAAATAATATGATTTATTAACAGATAACAACATACATGATAAATTGACAATGTCAGCTTGTTGCCTAATAGATCTGAAAATTTTGTCATTTTGTGCATTTTCTGACTTTTGAAAGCAACACAAAACCTGTTTTAAAACAGTGTAATGATCCAGGTCTTTGAAGAGGGTGGGGGTTGAGTGTTACAACACACTTCATGTAAAGCAACTAATGTAGTTTTTATGTAATCATACCCCCATAAGTAAGTATTATGTCAAAGAGCACAAAGGTCACAAATCTGCATTAATTATCCTTACAATCTTTATAGTTAATAGCATTCCTTGTTTTCTAAACATCCTATTCTTTTCAATTCCTGAAGTTACTGTTTGGGTAAAACATTTGAGAAAACCATATCTTTAGATACAGAAATTTCTTGGTGAAATTACTAGGTATATTAGACAAATTTTGATACTTCACACCATCCTACTGCCTATATAGTATGAAAAAATTCAAAATTGTCAAAGGTTCAACTTTAATACAGCAACTACCCCCAATCGAGGTTCTTCATACAGTTGAACCAAATTACCCAAGGATTCTGCCTCTTAACCAAACCCATCTTCTGCCACCTGTGATCCCAAGTAAAATTCAGGTTGTTTTATGCATATGCTTTTGATAATACAACTTACTGGACTTAACCATACTGTATACCAATCCTCAAAGTGAAAAAAGCTTTAATCAAAAATTAAAAGGCAGTCTACGATGCAACACAAAATCTTATCAATATTTAAAGGATAATACCTCAACAGAATCTTGTGAAAATATTCCAGGTAATCAGTGACAGCAATTGCGGAAGGAAGTGGGTATGTTTCCTCCTCAATACGTTTAAAGATCTGACGTAAGCCATGAACTCGTCCCTTAACTAAAAGTGAGTTTAGAAAGTTGCTTTAGGCATAAAAATGGAGTGCAAATTTTGACAATCATTGCTCCCATTAAAAAAAAAATACAAATTTATCAGTGCATAATAGAACTAAAGTTTTCAACAGAAAATATCCCACGGGCGTTTGACCTTTTTAATCAGTAAAATCAATTTTGCATACATACACAAACTGTTGATGCAGACAATATAGGCTGCCTGATGTTCAATCACCACACTTCAAAAAAAATATTCAACAAATATATTCATAAGTCAACATTTTAACGAACTCTGGCTAGCAACTATTATGTTTGGTTAAAGTTTTCTTAATTTTCTTAAACTTCAAGCAAATTGCCAAAGTAAGGCAAACCTCACATAGTATTCAAAAGAAAATAGCTGAACTCCAAATATTTTAATAATGGAAGCCAAGTGTTAAAAACATAGAAATACAAAGTATTATAGTAAGAGCTTTCATCTACTGGGGTTTAAGTCACTTTGCAGGGGATACAACATATGCGTATTTACTGAAATAATCTCTTTGGAGTTCTTAATCCACACACTTAAACTTAAAATCTCTACTGCCAAAAATATCGAAACAACAAACAAATCTCGTATATAAAAGTCAATATGTGTATCGAAAGTGCAATAATAGATTGTAATTATGCTGACAATCTAACAAAACAAAGGACAATATTCAGATTTGTTGAAATTCGAGGCGGCAATCAACAAAACAAGCGGCACTTTCATATAGCAGCACACGAGCTTTAACACAAAAAAGGCAACTCACAGTGATCTATGTTCGTAGTTTTTGCAGAAGACATATAAAAGTCTCTTCGTTCTGCCCAGACTCGGGTTTCACCAACAGATTTCAGATCTTTGGGCAAGCAATTTAGTCCGAATTAATACAATTAAACGGCGAAGTGTTTCGAAACTGCCACAAATCGACGACAATTAACGCAAATGTAGCGAAATTTGCGACAATTTGTACAAGCCTTGCAGCGATACGTCATGATTTGTTAAAGAAGTGTTTGTAGCATCCCCATGAACTGTAATCGGAGTTACAGACAGTGTTCAATGCATTCTTGAGACGTTTACAGCTGTCAAACATCAAAATATATGCACATGTTTTTATATTACAATTAGGCAAAACACATTGCTCTTTTGAGAATTGAGACTGGTCTTTTTGCGCAACTGGATGAACGAAAGGTGACGTCACGACGTGGAGGGGCAACCGCTGAGTTGTTAGCAGATTAGATCTTTTTTATTGGTAATTCCAATCTTAGATGATACATGATCAACGTTTTTATAAATGAATGTAAAATAGTTCATATATAAGAGCTGTTTTATCATTATAAATTTATCTTTGGTTCATAAATTTGATAGTAGATGTAAATTTAGTAAATTAAGGTAGAAAATGCATATAAGAGCATCTTTAGTACATAAATTTTATAATGGTGTTAATTAATGAAAGTAATGCCGATTGGTTGGACAAATTTAAATTGTAAAGAGTCAGACAACTAAATATTTTTGACATATTTTGAAATTTTACCAAATTTAATTTTTTATCATTATTTTCGTGGGGCAGTGAAGATGCAGTATATTTAAACATAAAATTGACCTCTAAAATTAAGATAATTAAAATAAATATTCAGAAAAAGTTGAAGTATATTGAAAAATTTGGTTAAATCCCTGACTTTGATTAAAACTCAAAATATTATAAAAAGATAAAATTTAGCATTGCACAAACTCCTTTGTACAAAGCAACGACTCCACCAGACACAAAGGAAGGCACAAAGGCGACACAGTGAAAATATAAACTCATATTTTCTGATTAAACACAACAAGAAAGTTTTTTCAAGACGTTGAACAGAAGCTTAGGTCATCGTTATAATGGAGTGCCAGTCTCCAGAGAATCCGGCAATAGTACGATCAAGAAATTTTTAAGTGAAAGTGATGCTTTCATGAATTATAAATAGGAAAAGAAAATGGTGATAATTAAGAAGTCAACAACAAAACCATCAAAAAAGGCTGTGTACGTGACATCTTAAAGTTGGAAGTATGAAGCTTGGGAGGATGACGATTTTCTTATTAAGGTTCTCTGACTCTCTGGTATGGAGATGATGATGTGTGTAGTGTAACTTGACTTGTGAACATTATCAACGGAACTAACAATAATGTCTTCTTATGATAAACATTAATTCTACGCTTATAACTATACGATTACGGCATTGGAAGCCTAATGATTTCCAAAATGCAGTGTCATCTGTTACAATGGTAAGAAAGTTCTTTTCACGATGGAAATTTACCTTCATTGGGACTAATCTTCCATTTCAGCAAAACTTATATAAGGCAAGTTATATCTATGTAAAAATCACCATCACTCTTCCCTCTCCTGTACTGAAGTGTATGTACCATTATTGATTGCGCAATAATATTATTCACAAAACTTTGTCGTTGCAAGGAGAACGTTCTCTAAGTATATTGTGATCTTATATGTTTTACTTGCTCTTGTTAAAGTTTGTTTAAAACCGAGTGCACTTGTGATTTTTCGAGGAATATAGTCTTCGAGTCGACAATGCTTACCTTGATAGACTGTAGTCCTTGACAATCATACCACAAGTATATAAACAAATTTACCTATACCACTAGCTACTTACATTCAGAAGACCTCCAGTTGGAAAAATTTAAAGTAAAACTGAAGCAATTGAATATCGGAGTACACCAAGCGGAAAAATTTAGATTTAGGCGAGAGAGGCGTAAGTGAGCGACATCTTGACGTTTTCGTAAAATAAACGAAAATAAGAGGATAAAAGTTTTGCCTTCAAATTATTGTAGGTTCAAAGGAATAGCCGAAAACATCGATCATGCTGTTAACCTTTTTCATTCAGCAGAACGTAAAATGTTTCAGCTGTACAAAAGTGAAGATGCAAACTGAAGCAATTTCTACATGACGAGAATAAAATGTGAAAACAAGGCGTATTGTTTCTTTAAGTTGTTGTATATTCTATTTCACAGTTGGTATATAAGCTGAGGGAAAAAACGGTGGTCGAGGTTAAATAAAACACACTGTTTTCCTCGACATCAGTCAATAAGTGATATTATGGCTAATTGTGATAAGTAACCTCTTCGCCAGTTTTTTTTTTGACAATGAAATTATCCTTTTTTGCTTTAGTAGTCGTTCCATTCTAGCACATCCGAACAACACCAGCAGGCTCAAACTTTCTTCACTTGCAATTCAGCCATGTTGGTGGTCAGATACAAAAGAATATTTTATCAATATTATTGTTGGTACCAGCCGACGTGGGCGAGTGACACTGTTTGGTAAATCTCAAGAGAACAGTTGCAAGTCAAGGATATGTATATGATTTTCATGGTTAAAATGAGTTAATATATTTCTTTATTAGTGAACTTGTCTTTGCACGTTATCCATATCAAAATTTATGATACATCAATGAACTTCAATACCTGACTATTTTTTATTGTATTGTTACAGTTTTCTTGTAGTTTTGTATCTTCTTAAAAGTTCTGATGATTTGAATTTGTTCACGGTAAGGTCGAAATTAAGTAAAAATTTATTAATCATACATGAATCTCAAAGTTTTTCTACTTACAAGTGAATGCTGGTGGGTGATCAATTATTCTTTTTAATAGGAAAGAGTTGTGTTTGATTGCACCAACAATAGTTTTATTGCTTTAATAGTAGATCTTGTTTATTCGTTCTAGGGCAAAAATTGACATCGAACAAACGGACCACTCGGCTGAAATCGTGGCGTATTTTTTCACTATGCCTGCGTAACTTCCCATCAAGATACTTTCACAAAATCAATATGGAATTGTATTGCACGAGAATGCTATTTTACTAATAATTCACGTTTAAAGCAAAAGTTCGCCGAAATTTTTACAAAATGTTATCATCTTGTGAAAGCAATAAGGCTCCAAGCTTTTGTAGTGCAAAACGGATATATTTATAAAAACACCTATATTTTCTATTGTGATCTAGCAGAAGTATCATGCTGGAAGGCGTGTCTCTATTTGCTTCAGAAAAGTGGGGGCACGAACATCAAAGATTCCGACACAAGTGCACCTTCTTTTAAGATATCTATTCTGTGTCCAGGACTTAGGGCCTGATCATATGGAGGCAAGCTAGCAAGGATAGCGAGCTAGCTCAATGATTTCATAGGATTGAAAGAGGCCAAAACTTCAAGGTTGAAAATCACAACTGTTTGCAAAGCACCGCACGTTATTCCGGTTGTAATCATTGAGTTCTATAATAACTGGAGCGGCTAAGTGTACTGGGGCGAGGGTGTCAAAAAATGGTGGCCAATCATTGAACTAAAATACATGGAACGCTACCTGTAATAGAAAAGTCTGATAAATTCTTGAAGCCAAATTTTACACCCAGACACGCGAGATTACACCCAGCCACGCGTGTGTAGTCAATCAATTTTCAGAACTCCAAACACTACACACGCGTGTCTGGGTGTAATCTCGCGTGCCTGTGTAAGACTTGGCTTCAAATATTTGCTTTAAGTAGCGTTCCATGTATTTCAGTTCAATGCGGTCAATGGACCTATTTCCGCTGAAATGACTGCTTTGCAGAAAAAATATTCTCGTCCTCCCCAGGTGTCTATCGTTAATTATATAGAGTTTTTTATAAACAAACAAGACATTTTGTGGCATTTCTTTTATAATGCCAATACTTCAATTGTTCAATTTTTGGATGTCGTAATTTCCACAAAAAAGGGCATCTCGCTTTCACAGGTGAGATGTTTGCTTGTTTTGTTTGTTCATGGAAGATTTAAAAGCAATTATACACATGAGAACCATAAAATTCTTAAGATCGTACTTTTTAAGACGTTTATATACATTATATACTGATATTTTCCTGGTTTTTTTAATAAAACACAGCATACTTTTCTGTTATTTGTTCATGTATAAAATCGTAAATTTACCAATCTATAGTAGAACCTGTTTAAGCGGTCACCTTTGGGGATTTCCTTTCTGACCGTTTAATACAGGTCTTCTGGAAAGAAAATCCCCAGATGGCCATGTAATATTTAATTTAACTAAAATCGAAGCAAACGGTATTGTTCTTTAACATACATGCAAAATATCCATAACAACACGATATAAAGTAATAATGTTTTCTCAGTCTCAACTAGAAAATAGTGAGTATTTATAAAGATGTTGCGGCTTAAACTGCGTGTCAACAGGGAGTTGTATATGGCTTGAAAAAATCTGAGCGAGTATCACATTGTTGGAAATACGTTTCTCATCTGAAGGGAAATTTTCTTGTCTTGAATGGCTTGTCGGGAATGCTTGCCTTCGAAGCTGTTATTCTCGACAAATCACAATATGGAGACTCGGTTTAAACAGAATTTTTATTATTACCAACAAACACTAAAAATCACGATATAGCTAGAGAACGTTCTCTCTACGACAAATGCAGAATTACAACAACAAGTCTCTATATATTCTCTACTTTAAGTCTATACTTATTGATATATGTAAGTGTTAATTTCCTACTATTACGTAAAATGTCAAGTCTGTTTATTTTCTCAAATACAGTTGTTTGGAGAATACAAACAATTTAATCCCCTACGTGCAGAAAATCAATCTTGCAGAAAGAACTCTTCAAACAGCTGAATGCAGACGGAAGTGCGTTGACAGCTCGTTTTTGCTAAAAACAGTATATATATAAGAAGAGAACATGAAAGAAGATCTCATTCAGACTCGTACCTTATTACGAGAGCGCAAACAACATTCGGTAATAATTTAACTTGACGCGTAAATTGATCATTGGTTTGTTTGTTTGCATGCATATAGCATGTAAAATTGGTGTCTACTCTTTGTGCTGTGATCAACCATCTTGAATTTGGTTGAAACGAAGAAGAATGTTTTCGAAACACTTTGTGCGCTGGGAAACACGCTTGCTTCTGGTTGTTGAAGAGATATTAAAAACGAGGTTGATTCGCTTGAGGATGAATACAAAGTCTTGTGGCTTAAAGTAAAAGGGTAAACATGTTATGTTCAAAGAATGTTTTTAAATCGTGACTTCGGCTTTAAATCAATACTCAAAAGAATTGAATTTTTATTTCTTGAGGTTGCAGGAAGTCAAAGCCTTTAGGTATAAAGGACAAGACGATACCTAACAACACAATAAATGCATCATCCGTATGGTCACGCTATCCACCATACTATATAAGACCAGGGCAAAGTAATTGCTGGTATGCACAATCTGGCAAGGAAAAAGTTCTTGGATTCAGGTTGACCTTGGAAAAGTGAAAAGAGTCACTGGAATATCAACACAGGGTGCAGCAGCGGATGGACGCAAACCTATTCACTGTCTTCCAGCAATAATTGACAAAACTGGTATGAATACAAGGAGATTGGCGTAACAAAGGTACATTTGACTAAATCGTAAAGATTGGAATAAAAATTTAACACTTATCGGCCTTTTTTGTATCTATCTGTTTAGCTTTTCGATGGAAATGTTGATTCTACAACCATGTTGAAAAATTATTTTGACCAATTAGAGCACGATACGTCCGATGGTATCCGCTTTCGTGGTATTCTTTTTATCCTTTAATACGTATGGAACTTTATGGTTGTTAGTTAAATTTTCAACATATCTTTTAGGCTACTGAAGAAGTTTCCTTAAATAAAATTTGATTTCTTCAAACTGTTTTTTAACTATTAGTTGATTTAATTCGTAGAATTAGAGTCGCAAAATAGATTATAAATCAATTTTGAATTTACTATGCGTTTGAAAATAACAATTATGCTAGTAAAATAATCAGAAAATCCCTTTTCGCAGGAATTAAACTTTCAAGCGACGCACAAGGAGAATTGATTTGGCTCAGAAATTAAAAACAGCAGATCTCATCATTATTTAAATCAAGCAATTAGGGTTTCTGTGTTTGGATACCCTGGTCTGATCCGATATGGCACATACGCCAGTCCAAGCCTGATTTAAGAGTTCACATGCAAAAATCATCATAGAGGCATATTGCACTTCGTTCACTTGCTTTTAGTTTTGACTAGATATGACACACAAACTTGACAATGAAGTGCACCATTGTAATATTTTGCAGAGACAATATCAGCTCTACAGTAAAACATCAACTCAGCTCATGATAAAAGGAAGCATGAAAATTCTGTAAACAACGTAAGATCGATCTCTAACTTAACATTTTGTAGAAAATCAGGAATTTAAAGTTAGAAAGGTGAAATAATAGAAGTTGGACTGTTCTTGTTCACACACTTCCTGACATACTGGAAAGAACACATGCTATAATTATCCTATTTATCATTAATGACCCAGCCCACCAGAAAGTAGATAAAGTGCGTGTACTCTTGGATAATGGATTGTAACCAACCTCCACGGAATTGTCAAACAATGCGGCTCGCCCTAGAAGGCTGTTGCCTACAAAAACATTGATAAGATATTCTTTTCTATTTGACCATCAACGAGTGAGTGCAGGACATCCTTTGCTTATGCTGTACTTGAAAATGTCCGCATGACCTGTCATCAAAAGGTGCTAATGTCTCGCCATCTTTTTAAACAGCCATTTCTTACACTTCAGTATTTAAAGAAGTCGTAGAAGTATTTTGTGTAATTCTGTGTCTTCCATCAACGCTATGAAGTTTGCAATTTTTGTTTTGTCAACATATCTCACCGTCTTCATGGTATGTATTAGCTTGATTTAAATTTAGTCTAACTATAACATTACTACACTGATCCCATTGGCGAGTGAAAAGCGGCGACGCAAAGCTCGTAATAAATTATGTTGTCAAATTAGTGTGTGTTGGTCAATCGTCATTGAATGATGTTTCATGTATAAGTGACACGCTATTGCTGTTCTCAAAAAGCAATTAAGTAAAATTTGACAGTTTCTAACCTCAGCAAACCTTTCTAAACTATTCTCCTGATCAAATAAATTTTACAATTAGAAACATTTGACAATACATAGAAGCACATATTGACTTTAATAAGTTCAGCTATGGCTGATAACATATTTCTTTTCTTTAAGGTAATACCTGTACTTTCAAGACAGCGAGTAAAGAGAGGAAGTGAGTACATAATATACTATTATTATCATTATCAATGGCGGATTTACCGATTTAGACATGACTTTTATTTGAAAAGCTTTTATTTGTTTAGTCGTTTTGAGAATGATCTAGCGTTTTAGTTTATAATACAATCATAATCGAAAATCAACTCGTTGATTCAAATCTTTCTCGTTATTTCTACTTTCTAGCATACAACATTACGTTAAATTACATTCATTTTGCCTAACGGATTTGTGACAACTCTTTTTCTAGATCATTGCAATACTGCTTGCATAGAAATTTATGCTCCTGTGTGCGGGTCCAACGGGGTAACTTATTCCAATGACTGTCTATTGGAAGCGGCAAACTGCTCAAATGTATGTGAAAATATCACAATTGCCCATCGTGGAAGATGTGGTGAGTTGTGTATTGTCAATGAATGACGAAGCAAAATATTAATTTTTCCGAAAACTATAGCTGTACATAAATATGTTGACGTAACGAGCGGATGTGTACGATACTCAACAGACTTCTCAGTGTGAAAGTTTTTCTCTGCTACCATTTGTAGATTGTAAACTTCAAGCAGTTGCTGGGCCTTGCGAAGCTCTAATTCCTCGTTACTACTTTGATGAGAACAAAGCCAAATGCTTACAATTTGCCTATGGAGGTTGTGGAGGAAACAGAAACAATTTTGAAACACAGCAAGACTGTGCACTTAACTGCCCATCTGGTAAGTAATGCAATGATAAATTATCAAATAACTTTTTAAAGCAAAATATGGCATTCTCCAAGGGGTGATTACATGAGCCCGGGTAGCCGAGATTCAGCCAAGCGTTAAATGATTTTGGCGAATGGAAACGATTCAATACTTATCATCAGATAAATCTTCTTGAGCAATTTGACAATACTCTGATTTAATAACTACGCACAACATTTAAAATTAAAACAACCAATTTGGCCTAATTTGAGAATTACAACAGGAATGAATTGCGGCATTTAACAAGCAGTTCTAATTTTTAATCTTGAAGTTTTGCCTCTATCAATTCCTCGAAATCATTTCACGCCTTACTTAATCCCGGTTAGCCGGGATCATGTAGACAGCCTCTAATTCTATTAGAGCAATTTATAAGTTCATTTCCTGGCAAAACAATGAATGGAGATGATTTTTAAAGAAATAAATAAAAACTTTCTTCAAAGTTTTACATTGAAAAGTTCACGTTGGCTTCGCCAGTGTATATGTTGATTATTACAAATTATGGAGAAAATGATCGCAGATTAACTTTGGCTGTCAATTGTAGAAAGCAGTACATTTATATGCAAATAAGTGCTGTAATGTAGCTTTCTGCATAAAAAAAGGTTATCGAGCATACGCAGTTGAAATAATCCTGGCACTAGAATAAGTAAGAAATATTCTTTAATAAGTGCACCTATTAACAAAATTTGTGTCTTTGTCAATCGGAAATTTGTCTTTTAGAAAGAACTAAAATGTACTCTATTCTCATTGACGCATGGCAGTAACGCTTTTGTCATTTGCATTAGTTTGGCTGAAAGTCCTCCGATTTGGCCTACTGAAACTCGATAAGTGGTTGAAATGTGTCCCCTGTAAAACGTTTCATTTTAGTGCCTGGAATAGTCTTTGCATCATTTTGTTTGAACGGTTTTAATGCAATTGGCTACAATCAATCCAAATATTTTAACATTAACCATTTATAGAACTGTTTTTGTTTTTCTAATTTTTTTCAGCGATTGCTTCACCTTATGGAAAGTGAAAGACGTACTGCATCACTTAAACTTAATCGTTCACTAATCAAACTTTTTGTACTTGGATATAACCAGTCTTGTGAAATTTGATTTGCATTAAAAATAATCATATTGCTTGTTTGGTTCTTTATTTATGACTAATACCTTCATAGTGTAATTAAACTTTTCTTCAGTGCCATTACAGTTTTCCCACAGTGCAAATGTGCAATTACACATATTCCCAGTGCAATTCCAGATAAACTGCACTGCACTTAACCAATCACAGTCGAAAAATATCTCAAAGTATATTGTTGTTAAGAAATAAAACATGTTTAGTGTGTTTGCACAGGCTTATGCAAGCCGAGGAGACCTTTACACCTGCTCGAGAGTTCTCACAAACGTCCACCAGGTTTGCATAAGCCAGTGCAAACACGAAAAATATCTTTTATTTCTGTTATAAAATAACAATAATCCGAAACAGACAAATTTAAAGTAAACGTTTTAATTTTTCTCCTAAAATGTATTCATGATCGATTTGCAAATTTTCTTTGGCTGATTGATTGTTATGATTGATTTTATTCGGTTGAGCTCAGATGTGTCTTGCACAAGCTGATGCAAACACAGCTCTAGACTAATTAGCGCACGCGTTTCATTGTTTTTATTTTATAATTTCAAATAATAAAACTTTCGCGTGCATACAAACTTTACTTGAGCGCATTATTTTCAGTTTCATTCTCAAATATTCACACCAAAGTAGCTTCAAAGATGAAATGTCAATTTGATGTTCATATAAAATTTTGATACAATTATATTGGGCTTTATTGCTAGTTGTAATTTGATTGGATGACACATGTACTGACGATTTTGACACTGAACGTTCGAACAAGTGAACGAACACGACTTAAGTGTGTCATCGTGAGACATTCTAGTGGCAAAAGTGCTGCAGTAAAATATATCAATCCATTAACTCAGTCTATAATTCAGGAAAGTCGGGCAAAGTGGCGTGATGGCAATTAGAACTGTTCTTGTGCACTTTGCATCAATTCTCTAAACATTGATGAGCAGTTTGTTTTGATCATTGAATAGTATAGCATGTGTTTATGTAAACAGGAGATAAAACACGCTCTCACTGTTCTTAGAAAGAAAAGAAACAAAATCTCACCATTTCTATCTTTCACAAACTTGTCAAAGAGGCTGTGGGTTGTCACACGCGGAGTTGTTCCGTCTAGGCAAATTGACCCGCTTTGCAGAGCTGACTCGCTCCGTATAGGCATTAAATAATGTGTTATATTGTTGAGAATCGCCTCCCATATCCCACACAATCACAAAAAAGAGACGCTTGAAATTTTCCTGATCGTTTAGAATTCCCCTTTTTTCGTTACAAAGTATGATTTGAAAATTACAACTAAAATAACATAGTGTAGGGAACTGGGACGATTTGAATTACGTAATAGTATAGTTAATCATTCGCTGTGTACAATCACGTGAGTAAGTGTATTTAGAGACTATTTTTGATAGGGATGGGCTGTAATTTTGAGTCTTTAGTCAAGTACACGTATTTGTATTTGAAACCTTGATTAATAAAATATATCAAACTTGTGAGTGTATTCACCATCAACTTAGCTTCTCTAGCGTTCCCAACATAAAGTGGCTCCTCCGACGAGATTGTGAGAAATGGAGGAGTTGTTGAAACAAAATGGAACAAAGCGCAAGTTGATCTTCAGCGCAAGAGAAACTATAAAACGCTCAGTCCAGAAGGGAAAGATACCGCCATAGAACGCAAAAAAACTACAGTTGGCAAACTAACTTCAAAAATTTATCAACTGAAACTCAGAATTCAAGAACTTCGAATTGAGAGAGGTGATAATGATGACGAAATTGGAAAATGGTTAAATGAAATGGATTTAGAGTTGGAGGGATTTGATCGTGAAATGGACGATGTAAAGCAGACCACCGGAAATTGGGAGAAAGAAGAAAAAAAGAACAAGAATTGCTGGAAGAAAAACGAGTAACCAAATTACGCCAGGATAAACTCAAGGAACAATTGGGATACGACAAGTTGCAGCAAGAACAACGGTTGCAATACGTGTTGAAAATGGAATCTTTGCGCAAAGACCAAGAGAAAGCGAGGTCCACTAGCGCAAAGCTACTCAGTGACAAAGTTCTCTTACTTGAAAGAAATACCATCTCCCAAAATTAAATCGTGCATAGACAGGTTACCTTTTTCTATCGAAGGATATCAGCGGGCGAAAAACATCCTACAGTCGAAGCTTGGGGATACCAGTGAAATAAACAGCGACTATGTACAGAACATCATGGATTTACCTAACGTACAGAGAACACACGGTGGCAAGATCCACACCTTTTATGATAAACTTTTGTTTAACATTCAATCACTTGAGACTATGGGAAAACAAAAAGATGGAAACGGGTATGCTCGCATGTGCCTTAATAAATTTGAGGGAATTCAGGGCGATTTAATGCGCATGGATGATGATTGGAAGAAATGGGATTTTATCCAACTTACTTACGCACTTAGGAAATGGACGGAGAAAAATATAAATCAAAATTCATGATAAGCATGACGTTAAAAGCAACATAGCAAGACGTCCCAGCATTAATGCATTGCAAATGCGCCAATTGACTCATCTGTCAATTGTAAAAAGTTCCTACGTCAGCAGAACGTAAGAAATTTCTCAGCGCTAATCATCTTTGTTTTAACTGCATTGGAGAGGGGACATCGGGCTTCTGAGTATCGTAGAGAATCCTGCTGCACTATTTGTAAGCGAAGACATCATACTTCTATCTGCAAAAATTCCAGTGAAAACCAACCCACCACCAGTTCAACAAATGACCGATTACTGAATATTAAGTCTAATGATTCTAAAGCAGTAGTTCATCCTGTTGTTATTGTTGGGTATAAATGTCGCGCTCTAATTGATACGGGGGCGGGAAGCTCTTACGTCTCCTCAACACTCCTCGACATTCTTAAGCAACAACCTATTAAGAGGGAAATCCGATCTTTTGAGATGTTTGGCACAACCACCAAATATGTGGGAATTTATGAAATAAAAATGACCGACGTAAAAGAGGAATTTCAAATTCAAACAGAAGTAATACGAGTAGCAAAAAAGGAACTTTTAATGCTTGACAATCAAAAGTATGCAAAATTAATTTCAGAGTACACACATCTAAGTGGCATAAACATGAATGATGATGACGACAAAGGAAAACTCCACGTACATTTAACGTGGATGCCCGGGAATTCAAACCAAGGAGAAATGCCGCAGCAGTTGCAGAGTGTCAGATACAAAATCAAGAAGAAGAGCTGGAGAGTTAAGAAAGAGAAGTAATACTTTCATACATTAGGACATTAACATTTCTTAATATTAATAAATTTATGTTTTTTATTATAAAGTTAGTTATCTAGTAAATGATTTATGTTTATATTCCTTTCAAACGGAAAAACGAATAGGGGAATTACGTCTTCATATAGTTAATCATTAGTAGCGTACAATCACGTGAGTACAATCAAGGGGTATTTATAGACTATATTCGATAGGGATGTGCAATAATTTCGACTCTTTGGTCGAGTACACATATCTGTAAGTGAAATCGTGATTAATAAAATATATCAAACTTGTGAGTGTGCTGGCCATCAACTTTGCTTCTATAGCGTTCCCAACACAAAGTGGCTCCTCCGACTGGGTTATGAGAAATGGTGGAGTTGGAAATGAAACAAATTGGAACAAAGCGCAAGTTGATCTTTAGCGCAAGAGAAACTGTCAAGAGCTCAATCGAGAAGCGAAATATAACCAGCATAGACGTGACAACGTGACGTTTAAGAAAAGGTTGTAAGTTTTGCACTTAACGTTTTACTCCTTTCAATTACTCAAAATCATTTCACGTTATGCCGAATCCCGGTTACCAGGCTCATGTGAACAGCCCCTACGACTGAAGACATTCTAAGGGGCCGATTACATGGAGCAATTTCAGCCCGAATCACAAAAAAAAACCTTCGCGAAATTAATAAACTCAACACTCCAGTGAAAAAAATGACGAACGAACTTAGAATGTTCCTATTGAACTCCTCGCAATTGATTCTCAATATTACGCACACTAAACATAGTTCGTATATAGGCTGCCCGTTATAAGACTTAAGTTGACTGTAAAACGTAGCCTCTAAAAATAGTTATGTATAAAAATAGTATATATAGTTATATGTATCCAGAGATAAGAAAATCTCTTGATTGAAGTTGAATGAAATCAAAGGGAAATGAACTGAATTTTTACAGAAAGCGCGAACGTATTCAAGAGTAATAATGAACGAAACAAGCTCTTACTGCGAAACACCTTTGATCAGGGACGTAACTTCCGGAAGGAAGTCACAGCCCTCCCCACGGTCAGAATGGCAGGGAAAAATTGGTTCTTGCAGGGCAAACGAGATGCTGCGCAGAATTGTTTAAGCCTATTCATGACTTATGAAAAAATATAATTGAAAAGGAATGATTTTAAGAATAAGTTTTTCGCTCTTCGTGTCTTTAAATTATTAGTTGATATGAAAGTATCATTCTAAAATATGACTTTATAATCGCAATCTTATAACGCGTTGCGAGACAGCTATGGCCGATTTGCAGGCTAGTGACACATGTATAATTATGTTAATTATTCATAAATCATAACAGTGAAATCTTTTTGAATGGAAAGAAACATGGAAGGCGAGACTGGCGAGTGTTATTGTTAATGATTGTGTTAATGAATACACATTCTACATTTTCATCAAATTTAAAGTGTTTTTTTAATATTTATGCTGTGAATATAATTTCTTACAAGTATATTAACCTATCAACAAAACAAAACTTAGAAAGCGAAGGATTTATATGCATATTGGCAAAAAGATTTGTCTAGTTAGGACAATGAATCAATACAAACAAATGGAACATGGGAAGAGTACGACGAAAAACGTTAGAAAGAAGCCATACAGAAGAAAGATTAAATTCTCACTTTGTAACAAGAAAATAACTTTACAACGATAACTTTCCCAAACGCAATTAATCAGCTCACAAAGGAAATGCAAGAAAAAGTTAATATTTTCAGAGACCGAAGTTAATATACTCCGAGACCGAAGTAAGTGAAGTCTGACATTTGGTTGATTAAATTCTTAATACTTTGTACCTACAGGCAGGTCAGCAGACTGATAAATATGGGCTAATATTCATGCATACATTTTTACTTTATTAGATTATGTTATTGATTAAAGATGAATATAAGAATACGAGCTCACCCAACCCGATTGTCAATCTTCCAGTGCTCTTATAGTAGGTAAACGTGCATATGCAATCACGCGTATCTTCAGTTTAAACTTGGTGACCCCTCCGTTATCTAACATACATTACTATTATCAAAGAATAGATATCTTGACAGAAGGTCCACTAGTGTCGAAACCTTTGATGTTCGTGTCCCCCACTTTCTGAAGCAAATTCTAAGAAGACACGCCTTCCAGCAAGATACTTCCGCTAGATCGCAATAGAAAATATAGATGTTTCTACAAATATATCGTTTTGCACTGCAAAGGCTTGGAACCTTATAGTCTTCGCAATATGATAACTCTTTGTAAAAATTTCGGCAAACTCCCAAAGGTCTCTTCGGTTTGCATAAGCCTAAGCAAACGAAGTAAACATCTTAACTAGAGCACACCAACCTGGTGCTGATGACGTTCAACGAAGATCCGTTGAGAGTGAATCAAATATATTAAATACACTATGGTTACAATGTTCATACCAATAGTCAGTAAATAGCTAATATAGTTTAAAGCTGACAAACACTTCAGACAAGGCTTACATTCTAATGTTAGATTAATTATTCATAGCTTTAAATTGTGCACTTGAAAAATAAATTACCAAAGTTGAAAAGAAATGGATTTTTTTATTATATATTTAGCACAATATGAACAAGTAGTCCATAACTTTTCAATACCTTTCTCAGCGTTTCGTTCAATTCTTGTAAATGTACATCTTTGTGATATCGCTTCAATACCCGCACAATGGCAAGGTTGGTTTTTAATTCATATCCTTTCAAGACTATAACCTGAACACGGATCAGTGCAGCAAAAATGGCTCCATAAGTAGAAATTCATTATCCTAGGTCTTACCTCATCCAGCTTCCTAAATAAAAGTACCATAATTTCATGAGTTCAAGCGACTATTGCATTTCAGCATCTACCATTACAAAATTCAAGTCAATGCCGAATGAAAAGATACAACAACATTGTGTTAATGCCGTCATCACGAATACAATACGAAGGTAAAATATTGAAACAAAATTTACGATACCTCTCGCAGATACCGATACTTTCCATTAAATCAACCATAGAACTTTACACTCGTAAAATTTCATATGGTCTTTTTCATAGTAGGTCCAACGATTCTAGTTTTGTATAAATCTAACTTTTCTATACTAAAGAGCTTGGAAGCTCTTACTTTATTAAGTTTTTGCATTTTGCATCTTTAGTAAAACGATTGGGTCTTTACGATTCTCATGGTTACGATACCTATAATAAGATTGAGTTACAAACCTCGCACTGACTCAGCAACTTCTACAAAATCTACAATATTACAAAGAGCTTTAAAAAAGATATAAGATGTACCTCGGTTATAGAATGAAATGAACTTTCTCGATAGCAAATGAGTTCTAGTTGACAAGTTACAAAGGTTAGAAGTGAAATGTGGCAGCAGGTTTGATTTTTCCAGCTTTGAAAGATCATGATTTTAGAAAAGATGCTACGTTTGTTTTCGTGAACAGAAAAACTCAGCACGCCTATCAACGACGCTGGGTGTAAAATTTGGCTTCAAAAAATTACTAGGCTTTTCTATTACAGGTAGCGTTCCATGTATTTAGTTCAATGGCCTTTTGTCGTTGATTAGCTAACTATTTATATAATATATATAGCCTGCGATGCAGGTTGGAAAAAGTCAGCCTAAAACTGGTCACCTGCCAAAAATCCAGTTTTTGGTAACTTGTTTTGTAAGTCATTTGTTACTATTGTACAGATATAAAATGTAAAACATGACATGATGATTTATCAAGGTGTTTAACATGAATGTTTAACTTGACAAAGGAAAACGTGTGAATTAAAACATGGCGGCAAAAATAAAGAAGCATCATGAAAGTACGTAAAATTTATTGTGATTATTTACAATGTGATGAACTTCTTGATTGACAAGCCTTTCAAAATATCAATAAAAAATATTATTGTAATGAGGACTACACCTGAATATTTTGTTGAGCATCTTCACAATGTTTTATAGTGTCATAAGCATGGCTCATGTGAATATTTTGGACACCTGCTCTCAACAAACAACCAACGCCAGTGCCAGAGAAAGATGAAGAAAAAAAGTCGATGCAGGGTTAAGCACAGGGCAGAATGATTACAATCTTGCTCGTTGATATTTTTAAATACTCTTAAAAATTGAAAACCAACATCACTAACACGAGTTTTTTATCTGGATAAGCTACCGGCTTTTTGAGGGTATTACATTCGAACGTCTGATTGGTTATCAATGTATCGTGTTTCGAAACATTGATTTAACACGCCTACGTAATTTGCTGATTGAAGTGTTGATGTCAGCGACGACGAGAGCACGTTTGGTGATTACGAATATATTATAACTGGTTGGGAATGTTATGAGCTTAATCTCGATAGGCGTATGGCCGTTATTGCACGTACCTACATGTATGTGTGCTGTTCACATAATAAATGGCATTGCATCTTTGTCGTTTATTTACAGTGCCTTTAAGTAATCACGTTATCATTGATTTCATGTTTTTCTTCATCATTTTCTCCGTTCATGTCATTTTCGTTTAGGTCGACGAAACCAGTTTGAACATCGTTTAATACTTCACCTTAAATATTATAGTACTTATATTTTTATACGCACAAAATGTCAGTGGTGTTGTTGAGCTGAAATTTTCCTGTATTCATTCATGGTAAACAATAGAATTCTAAAGAAATGAGTAATGATATTGCACTGAAATTTACAAAACAGGACCAAAACGTGCAAGCTGGCTAAGCTACTGTCCTCTTGATAACTGACCACGGCAAACGCAGCCAAATATAAAATATGAAAGTCAATGTTTTGAAAATGTAATGAGATCTTTTGGTGTAATATTCAAACTAACAACTCACCACTATTAGTATCCCTCGATTCTGTTTGAATTCCTTTCAGAAACACTCGATTCATTTCAAGGGTTTTCGTTGTATGGGACATGTATTTGAAATCTGTCAGCAATTCCCCATCAGCCGCAGTGCTTTCTGTAAGCAATGACAGAAAATTAGCTTTTACAACAGCCAAAGATTTTTTGTTTTAATTTGAAGATCAATACCATCAGCAAAAGTTATGTATATCTGTCCGAGTGCGTATCTTACCACATTGAAACGTCAGTTTAATACTTATTTTTTCGATCAAAATTTAGCCAGTGACTTAAATTGGAAATATAAATTCGATTTCTCGATAAACAAAAACAAAATTTCTGCAAAGTGTAAATTTTGTTTTTACAAATCAAGGTCTTTCACATAAAACTAACATATCAAAAATCAAATGTTAGCCCCATTCCAATATCAAGGAAACGTATTTGCCGAGCCAAGGATTCGAGCTCGGAATCAGGCACCAGATCACGTCGGGAGTGTAATTTGATATGCATTTTTTCCCAAATCCTATTTCTCGAATTGGAGCTCCGAGGCAAAGATCTGGCCATGGAAAACAAATTGGCACAAAATTGAAACGCGATTGCCACATTTTCGTAAAAATTTGTTTGTCCAAAGTCTAAAGCGGTAAAAACAATTTTCCTTGTGGAACAAACCACATCTTTTTTGCCTTTTTTCCGTCGAGCAATCCATCCCTCTTTTGGTTTTCAACTCTTTTTATTTTGACTTTTCATTTATTTTACAACCAAGAAATGCAATGCAGCACTGTAGGCTGTCTTCGGGCTGTTTACACGAAAGCAGAGCTGGCTCGCTTACCGAGATAACCCGTTAAGCGAGAATCTCCCTAAGTAGTATATATTAATAAGTTTGAAAATTGGTAATACAGGCATTTATACATAAAAAAATGAAAGTTTTTCCGGATTTTTATAAAAATTATTTTGATAAGCTTTCGACTCGGTGCTTCGAGCCTTCATCGGAATGATATAGGAAGTTATATACAGTTGTTTTTATTTGTAGACGCTTAGAGCGTCTAATTGGATTAGTGGGTGGATTAATGTGACTGGTGCTCACTCTTTCATCGTGTTTCAAGTTCCTACTCGTTACAAGATATTTTTACTAAAAGGATGCAACATCCCACAACTTCATTGTAATAATGTGAGATATCAATGCATGCCGTTATGGATGCATGATTTACGTAATATTACATTTTGTTTCAAATAAGCGTTCATGACGTCAACTTGCAGCACATAGCTTCTATCAATCTTGTAACGTTTTACGCTTGCTATTCAAACAATATAGAAAGAGACTGTATTCTGAAGTTGCTATCTCAAGCGGAGAAGGGTCGAGTGGAGACATGCAAAACGATTCGAGATTATCTGACATATCTACTTTCAAAATCAATATAGTATATCTCTCCAATATCAACAATTAAAGTCTTTGCATGTTATCTGACTAGTTATAGAACTTGGTGTTTCAGTAATTGTAATTGTATCTTTTGACGCTATTTGTCTGAAAAATGTGCGTATTTAGGCCAGGGGGGGGGGCACTGGCATGATGGGCAGATAACTTGCTTCAGCCACCTGGGCAAAAATCACATGCCAAAAAATACATTCATTTAGCATATAACATTGCTAATAATTTATTATATAGCATGCTTATGTATCAAAAAAGTGATACTGCCTGGTTATTTTAGTCATTGTTTAGGGAAGCTATCATTCACACATCACATGTGATCCATACCTTGCTCTTCAAAAATAATGTTCGACCCAATGGATTCTGAAGAAAAAATTAACATAGAAAGTCTGTCTGCATGTGAAAGCATATGAAATTAACATAGAAAGTCTGTCTGCATGTCTGCATGTGAAAGCAAAGTAGTAAGTTTGAAAAACCCTAACAACTTATTCATCACAAGCATTTTCTCAGATTAATAAGCACAGGCTCATTAATAAAACATCCATCAATGAATTCCAACTTACTGTGCAGCAACATTAATCATATGAAAATACATTTAAACTAATCACATTGGCAAACATCACCGACTCACAAAGCACAACATTGACTGGGACTTGGCAAAATGCATTACTTACAGTACTGACTATAGACAATGGCTTACATTAGAAAGTTGGTATACCAACTTCAAACATTCCCCCCTGAACAGATCACAGCAATTACTGGCATCTTACAAATGACTTATTCACAATACAAACAAACAATCAACTAAAAACATTACACTTCACGCTAATCCACAATGACAATACACAATTGACACCCACATATTTCCTGTACACACAATACAATGACGTAAGAACCAGATAACAAATACGGCTAACCTGATTTTACTCCTCATTTGACTCTGAAGATGACTACCACTTAGGTTGTCGAAACGTCAGTCAACAACAAAAAAAACAGTCCTTCTCTGGACTCTACTAACCTGGACGATCTACATCTACAAATATGTAATGATACTCCCGGGTTCAAACCATTTACTTTAATACATTTAGACATTAGTCTTAATTCTTCAAGTCCATTATTCTTAATTCAAACATTAGTAATAATGTTATCTTTCAATAAAACTCTTTTCCCAAGATTTCACACCAACTTCATCTATATGATGTTTAACTAATAAAAAGCACATGAGTTGAAGCTAACAGCCTACCCTTATAATTTCCAGTGAAAACCATTTGGTCAATCTGCATTGCAGGTTCATCCGTATCAATGCCCTGAGAATTAATGTAAGACTTGAATCCATAAAAGTTTATGTAATACAAATAGGCCCCCATATCATGTTTTGCATTGACACCTCAAAAATTCACATAGCTTATACTAAAAAAGAAATTTTTATTCCTTATATTTCCACCATTTTTTGGCCATCACATGAATTTATTAATGAAGAAATACAAAACATTTTCTCAGTTTTTAAAGAGTAACAGAATGGAAATACGGGTTTTTCCAGCATTCCCTGTTTTTAAAACCTGTATTATAAAAGCTGTTTTATAATACTATGTAGATTATTATATGTGTACAATTCAAGGACAAAAATGGCTGCACAAAATTTAACAATCTTTTCCATTGCACTGCATATAAACAAAAAAACCCATGTAATCCTTTTACAGGTCAGAAAAGAAAGCCTGTTCAGTTTCAATATTTTCAACAAACAAGTGTACAAATAGTGACATAATGCAGACAAATGAAATACAGAAACAATCTAGGTGAATCATATGCAAAGTTTTTCCAGTTATTAAAACCATCCTTGAGAAATGAAAATGCTTTTATTCTAATAAACTTACCAGAATTTTACAATTGGATGGGTCACACTTTTTTAAATAATCTGTATCAATGATTCCTGAGAGATGAACCACAACCAACTGTTCCTTTTTCAAAAGAAATGTGCAATGTTTAGTTTATTTAGTAAGTACAATCCTTCTCCAAAATTGTGTTGAGTCATCAAAAGGAGAGAGGGAAAGCATTTTTAACAGTATTTTCAAGACTATAGACTATGTAAAATGAAACAAAACTAAGGAATATATTCCAGGGCCATCTCAAGGGGAGGAAGTTTTGCTTGCTAAAAAAACTTTGCCAGCCCCACTGCTAAGTGCATGATATGCAGTGTGAAGGGAATTTCACAACAAAGGTGAATAAAGGGCAAATTCTGCTAATGAAGAGAGAACAGGACACCTACGTACTGTAAATGTGATACTCCGTGTAGTACGCTATACCTACCTCTTCTTTCCAAGCCTCGTCAATTTCTTCCACATCAACATCCATCAATAACTTTCAGCGTTTAACCAAAAACGTTTAGAACAGCGTTTGAACCTTTAAATCAGCGTGCAAAACAGTATTGGAGCAATGGAAGAACTTCCTACAAATAACTTCTTACTGGAACTTCTCACTGTTGGTCTGTACTGATGGGATACGGGCAGACCTCTTAATTCAGATATTTTGACATCGCAAATAAAACAGTCGAGTCGAGTTTCTAATGATTTCAATAATCGATGAACATAATAAATCGTTTTCATTCCATAATTAAATACAAATAATTTCAAAATTTCAAGAACAGAAAGTTCAAACGTTCAGGAAGTTCTCGAGTTGACAATGTTGACAACCTAGGCAGAAGATTCTCTGATTGGTCCATGTCCGTGTTCGTGTTTTGTGCGTTTTAGCTGTCGCTTTATTCCCGCGTGTTTTGATAACTGTTTAATATTAATTTGTGAACTAGAATCATTTAAGTTATAATGAATTGATACAATTAATTGTTATAATAGACAGCGAATCGCTATATTTCATTTAGTGCAAAGTTTCGAACCCATCTTGATATAGAAAAGGTCCATTATCGAGAAATGTATCGTGGCACTGGCACATCGGTAAGGTGAATCGAACGTAATTTTTGAGATGCAGTTATATGATTATTTATTTGTTTGTAGTACGCAATTTAGTAGTCATTTACCACAAGTTACAGAGATTAGACGTTTGGTTATTGATTTAGAAATCGATTAACATTTTTTTCCCATTGACAGCTACAATTATCTGACGAACTGGTGACAATTATGAATTATATAGTATAAAATTGTCGTTGCTAAACGTCTAGAATGAAAAGTTTTTAAAAACATGCAACAACTTCCTGGAGAAAGCACTGCAAGTCTAGATAACTAAGTCAGCTTCCCACATATATACAAATTGTATGGAAATATTGTTTTCATATATATAAAATATATATTTTATCTAATATTACTGCAATGGTTTTGCTGAACTTTTACATCGTACCAAGTTATGCAGATAAAACAAAACAAACATTTCTCTGCTTTCTTAAACAATTACTTGTTTCCTTGCTATGTATATGACCACATAACCTGTTGTCACACACACTGGCCACCTTACAATTTGAAGTGATTTGTCTTCCTCTGTGGTTGCCTTTTTAACTGAACAAAATTTTCTCCCTTAAGTTTTTTAAAGCTCAGTAAAGACATTAAACAAGTTGAGCCAATTGAATATAAAACATGTTTTGCAAATAATCAAGTTTTTTGCATGAGTTATTAGCTTTCACTTATTTTATACAAACTTAAATTCGGCTTTGCCAATGTGCATGGAATACATTCTATTGAGTTGACATTACTAATAAAATTTAATAACAGTCTGTGTGTTGCTTGATTTGAATCGAAACATGTTTGTGTTTATTGAATTTAAGAAGTATTTGTTGTCATGTGGAATCACCATGTGCAATCATAATCTCTTTACTAAAGAACAGACAGTTTTCATTCCTAGTTTAATGTATGTTAAAAAATAAATCAAGCTAGGTTCTATTGACTAAAATATGGCAAACAAACATTGACATTCTAGAACAAAATCAGCAATTGCTGTTTATAACTAGAAAATTAATGGGGGAAGGGGGGGGGGTAGCATTATTAAGATATCTAGTTTCTTCGGAAAAAGGAAAAATCACTTTCATTTTCAAAAGAAAGCAGTTGGACTCAATTTAATATATAAAGAACCTTCCCCTTATATAATGTTCTTTAGACTGCCGTGCTTATTTTATTAGTTTCTTTTTAATCATTGCAACATTAAAAAATATAATTATGTTAGGGTGGTCAATATTCAGACATGGATTATGGACATAATTCAGATGGTCACACAAGAGTACACTACACCCAAAATCCAACATTTATCAATAAAATAGGTAGCAGTATTTGGGCTGCTGTATTTGGAATCTGTATTGTTCTTGCAGCATTTCCGACAATTTACTGGAATGAGGTAGGAAAATTATCCAGCACTTAATTGACTTAAAATCACTTACAATAAGGATATTAAATCACAGGCGTACGGAAGCTATCATTTCTGGAGGCAGTGAATATTTTCCCCAATTTACAAAGATGGTTCCTCTGTGTTTTCTCTGGACTAATGTTTAAAATTTGCCCAACTTTTTCATCTTTAAACTTTCTTGGGTGGGGAGGGAGGGGGGGGGCAGCTGCTCCTCCCGTCCTATATGCCTATGCATTAAATAACAAATTAAGAACTTGTACTTTAATGATTATCAAATCTTTGTGGTAATTAGTCATCAATAGAAGTAAAGTAGACTTTGTTCTAAACAACTGACCATATGTGATGAATGCACTATTCATCACATATGTTATTTGGGGTATGTTTTACATGGTTTTCACACAAACATTGAAAACATTCTTTTAATTGTGGGATTTTATTGAAATATACTTTTATTTAAATATGATTTTATTGAAATATAATTTTATGGATTTTATTGAGATGTATTTTGTTGCAGTGACACTGAAATGGCGTAAACGTTTCTATTTACTATTTTGTGTTTCAGGGTCGTGCTGTAAAAATGGCAGCAGCTCTTGACGAAGGTTTGAAGTATATAATTGACATCAAAAATCCCAGACAGATCAGTAGATCAGAGGATGGAATGTTGGTTCATGTAACTGGAGTGCTACAGACTGATGAGGTTAGTCAATTAAGTTGCGAAGTCATAGTTTTGATTGGAAAGCATACCTCCACAGAGTTTGATTGCTCATCCATTAAAGTTCAAAATTTTATCAATTTTTTTGTGATTTGTCTTAAATGCAAGGGTGCAACTTGGGTCTCAAGACAAGATTGGGGTGATGAGGGCTTAATTTACCTGAGAATAGGGTGTGGCATTTATTTTGCCCACCAAATAATTGCACTACTTAATTTGCTTGCTCAATAAAAAGGCGTAGTTTATATTTTTTGTACATTATCACTGACTAAACACTTTTTTCACAAACCATTTTGTTGAAAATTTCACAGGTATTTATGTCGTACATTTATATTTCCAAAAAATTCAAAGCTCTTAAAACACTTTCTTGTTCTGCTACTAAAACTTACTAAGTTTGGTAACTAAGTTCTGACTTACACCTGAATAAATAAGTTGTCAATTCTTTTTGATTGCAAAGTTTTAAAAAGACCGAAGCAATATTATTCATCCCTGACAACGTATTCTGCCTACCTAGGTTGTCTCTGACCCTGGGTACATGGTTGCAGTCAAGGCTGTTAAACTGAAGAGACAGGTGGAAATGTATCAATGGGTTGAACATAAGAGTGAAAGGTTGTGTAAAAGCAGTACTTCAAAATTTAAAAAGCTATAACTTTAGTTTTTGAGAAATTCTTGAAAAATGTACGTAAAAGTCAATATGATATTATTTTTATTCCCGCAGAAAATTTGATGAGGGTGGAAAGACAAGAGTGGAAACCAAGTTTACTTACAGTGAGTGACTTTGTAAAGTAGGTATTAGTTTCATAAAATGAGCGGTTCGCTGTTGAGAGTGAATTGGGAAACTCATTTCATATGTTTTAGAACAATTGGGCAGATAAGACTAAAGCCTGTTTTTCACTCATTTTATTATTTTTCGATTTCCTGTCAACATTTTGCCTGCTACTCTCTTTTTAAAGCGTACCATGAAACAAGTTTGGACTTTGCTGTTTTAGACAGAGGGGGACAACTTGTTAAAATTTTATGTGTAGTATTAGTGATATGTAGTAGAATTGAAATTTTGTTGTTGAGTGGTTGAAATTTTAGCGATATACCTCTGATTTTATCATTTTGGCACATCCGTGCTTCGTGCAGCCTGCCCCTGACCGAAACAGGGCCGGCGCTAGAACGTTGAAGGAAATCTATCGAGCTTAACTTCATTTATGAATATGCAACCAATGACCCCCCCACCACCACCAATCAACGTTACAGCGATGGCCTTTTCCCGAATGATAAACTTATGTACTTGATTAATGCTATTCAGCTACTGAAGTCGTTCGGTCGACTACATCTTAATCAGGATTTTATAGCCAATCAGGTTTTGCTGAAAAAGTTGTTCGTGCTTTTAGGTAAAGAATGGCGATCAGGCTTAATAAACAGTGCTCAATTCGAAAGGAGCGGTGCGCATCAAAATCCAAGGTTTGTTAGGCAGTAATCGAGATTTCAAAAATATGCTTTGTGCTCACTTTTCTGTCTAATGACCCAGTAACTTTGGTCTTTCACAATCCATTTTTTTATTTGCGGAACGCCCTCGCGTAGATTGCATGTCACGTGAGCGTGCTCAAATCATAGATGGGGAAGTCCTTCCAATTTCTTGCAAATTTCAATGACAAGTTAAATGTCATTGTGACATTGAAAACTATTTTTACTGTTAATACTGTATAGTCCCCAAATGTCTGTATGAGATGCCTTATTACTCAAGCGATAAATCAAAACGCATGCGACTTGTGCTCAGCAGTGTAGCCAGATTTCCACAAGTTTTGGTCCTGCTATTATTTATATAATCATCAATCAGGCTTTTACAGATTGCATAATAGTTTGAGGACAATTACAAGTACAATAAAAAAGAGCTGATCAGTGCAAGCCCAAGACCAAAGGTCGAAAGTTGCATCTTCTTGAGAGTTCTTACAAACGTCTCCGAGGTTTGCACAAGTCAATGCAAACACGAAAAACATCTTTTATTTCTTTTATAAAATAACAATATTGGGAAACAGATAAATTTGAAGCAAAGGTCTTAACATTCCTTCTAACGCGTATTCATGATTGATTTGCAAGTTCTCTTTGATTGACTGATTGATTTGAAATCGTGGCCAGAGATTTGCCAGGCGGAAAGCGAATTTTCAATATGAACATAATAGCCCAACATAAGACTTTTAAAAAAGCCATCACAATAATAAAATAGAGAAAGATTTATTAATAACGTTTCGTCTTTAACTTTTTTCGTTCTTCCAGGCGTCTCTCCTCTTTCTTTCTATTTAAAGATAGGGTTTCCAAGCTCCTGAGATCCGGTGTTGTATACTCGTTTAAGTGTCGATGCTGCTCTGCATCGTATGTGGGTCAAACCACGCGTCATTTACACACCAGAATATCGGAACACTTGGGAATCTCTCCCTTAACAGGGAAACCTTCCTTATGTCCACCACCATCTGCAGTTCTTTCTCATATAAGAAATAAATCTCACTCTGCCGATTTTAATTAGTTCTCAAATCTCTCTTCCTCTTCCGACAATTACGACCTTATGATTCATGAAACCCTTCTTATATCCAAACTTAAACCCTCTTTTAAAGCCCGCCGCACACTGGTGAACTTGCCGCGCGTACTTACGAATTACAAGTACGCGCGGCAAGTTCACCAGTGTGCGGCGGGCTTAACACCCAAGGCAACTCAATCCCCCTTCACCTTCTTTAATATACCGCCATTCTCACTTAATTCCGTCATCTAAACTTCCTACTCCCCTCACATGTAATTTAACATCCTGTAATATATGCTTGTATTTGAAGCCTCATGTATATAATTTATCTCAAATAATCTGAAGATGTCTTAAGTTAAAGACGAAACGTTATTAATAAATCTTTCTTTATTTTATTATTGTGATGGCTTTTTTAAAAGTCTTATGATTGATTTGATTGGTTGAGCTCAGATCGCTTTGCACAGGCTAATGCAAACACAGCTATAGACCAAGCAGCGCACGCGTTTTATTGCTTTTTCTTTTATAATACATTGTACTTCATGTATTCTATATATTATACAGTTTGCTTTATTGTTTCACTCTTACAGCACAATGGTAATAACATCGAAATACTACGAAGTTGATCATGTTTATATCGGAGCGTACGAACTTTCTGAAGGTACAGTAAAGACTTATTTCTCTCGAGTCCAGTGCCCAGTCTCTCGATTTTCGTCAACAATCATTGAAACAGGGTTAGAAAATCTTTTCTTTACAATTAGATTTAGCTTAGAGAATATAGTTAAATTTAGAATCACATTTAGATTATTCTATGTTTTCTAATTCTCTGAACTAACAATGAATAAGGTCTTACCAACATTGAAAAAACTACCATCTGATAATGAATAGGGTTCGATAACAGAAAGTTTTACCGGTTTCTTGTTTTCATCACTTATAACATCAAATTTTATTCTTGCAAACCTTAGAATTAAAAATTGTGTAATTTTAATCAATCGTAAACAAGAGCTGAATAACTTTAATATTATGTCAGACAACATAATATTATAATCATGAATTAATTGAATTAATCTCTGGAAAACTTTGCCGAATTTTAGTTTGCTTCCCGAACCTTGTTGTTTAAAATTAGTTCAGTTGACTTTTGCCATGATCATCTTTTCCCGGCACTCGTGACTGTAAACGTAACAAAATTTAGGAAATAAGTGAAATACCTGATATTTACGATAACATGTACAAAACTCTTCCCGTATCAGAATAAATAATGTTTCTATTTTATGTAGTCAACTTCACTCTGGTTTTGAGATCTTTTTTTAGAATAATCTTTTATATGTACAATTGTACATTGTGAACGGTTTTATGCATATTTGCACTCACTATATCCATACAACCTGTCACAATTAGTGCTTATTGTATCTCATATCTCCTTAGGTCTCAAAAACAAAGTTAGCAACTTCAAGCCCCTTTCATTGACCGATATTCCAGCTGCGCATGATTCGAGTCTTCTGCCACCGGAATTGCATGATGGGATACTATACCACACGCGTAATCTTGCTAAACCCCAGGTACATGAAACATTTCGGAAAAAACCTTGCTGTTTTTTTGACATTAAATCGCCTCATGTGCTACAAATGCTCATCTACTGATTCTCTTACGATGGCTTTGGAATAATGCTTGTTAGCACCAGCAATTAATCCAATTCATGTTTTAATCCTAAAAATAAACTATTTGTTTCTTTGCATCGTAAAACAAATGATGTGGGATAACTTGTTCGTGTTATGCTTCTCTTCATGACATCACGATGAGAAAACACCAAAGTAATTTATCGAGCAATTTAAGAAATATTGAACCGGTTTCTGAACACGCTCGCATTACCGAATGAAGGTTGATGTTGACTTTTCTACTTACCAGATCGGTGATGTTCGTGTGAGCTTCAGTTATGCTGGTTATTGTGGCAAACGCGAAACTCCTTTAGGTGAACCGCTGACGGTAAGATCATAGCGAATTGTAGGCCTGCATAAATGATAAGTCCTATAAAATATGCTTTCTAGATTTGGATGCGTATTTTCATAAATTTCATCATTAGAACGAAACTGTTTAGCTTTATGCCTAGACTGTCTGAATTGGACTCGTTACAAACAAGGCAAGCTCTCCTTGCAGTCATGAAAACCCTGCATGTTGCACACTATGCCTTCAGAATTGTATTCCATTCAACATTTAAAGATGTGCTATTTTTCTAACAAGGTTAGCATCGTCGCCAAGCAGTCTGGAAACATGTTGGGTGAATACGAAACGGATTCTGGCTATTCCTTGGAATTCCTATACTACGGGAAATTGTCCGCCAAGGTAAAGGGAAAATATCTCGTTCGAGTAAATGTCAAAATTAAACAAATCTCAAGATTATACTTTTTTAGGCGATATTTGAAGCAGAGCACGCTTCTAACGTGATGCTCACGTGGGCACTCCGTGGCGTTGGTTGGCTTATGTTTTTCATAGGTTTCTTGATGATGACGAGTATTTTAACAACATTAGGTTAGTGTTCAGGCTATACTCACGTGTGTTCCCTAAATATTTCCGTTAATATGGTGGATATGTATAAAGGTACATGAATAATCACTTAAAATTCTTCAAAATTCCAGTTTCTTGGATTCCCATCGTTCGTGATCTTGTTGGACTCGGGGTGACCTTGGCTTGTATTGCTTTGGCAACGTCTTTCTCATTGGTCACCATCGCTATCGGTTGGTTACGATTCCGACCTCTGATTGGTTGTGCTTTACTTGCGGCGTCCATGATACCTTTTGCATTGTCTAAACTTAAAACCAGCTCGGAAATAAAAACATCGAAATATTGAAAGTATCATTTATTGAACACTTTAGCAACGATGTGTATAAATTCAAATCTCGATTCTTCTTGCAGAATTTTTAAATATTTCATTTTTGTACCGAAGGTTAATTTATTTAATAGTCTAGTAAATTAGTGTTCACTTGATAAGAACCAGATTTTGGCCGATGGCAGAGCTTTTTTCTGCGTTCGTTTTTGAGTTCATGTTAAGTGGCATCTGACATTTAGCTTTGACTTGTCAATTTTACTTACGAATTTGGAACAACACTACTATTTAGAATATTGAAAGAGTTAATGCAATGCGCATGCAATCAGTTTCACAACTAACGCGTTATCGCTTCAGTTTGCGGTGGCTGCCCCTCATAAGCGTCTTTAACCACTGCGTTTGAAAGAGTATGTTGCAATAGCTTGCTCTATCCTTCTTAATCCTCGGTAATGGTCGGATGTACGAACGATGACGAAAAATAACCGTTTTGAGCGTTCGCCGGTTTCTCCGGAAAATATCGCAGGTTATTTTGCTAAAGATATCTTTTTTCGTTTGCTCAATTGATTGCAAACGGAACTTTCGTGAGACAAACCAGATCTGCGAGCTAAAGTGAATTGAAGTACAATTTTATTATTCAAGTAATTAAGCTTGTTGTATTTTGGTAAATTTGGTATCTCGATTGCTCATTTGTGCATTGCGATTGAAAGTTGCTGCATTTAGAGTAGTATTACGACATAATGTTAGGGTGTCAATGCATTCAAGCCAAGCGCATGATAAATGAGTTAAGATTCCGTCCGCGTTCAAAAATCAAACAGTGTATTTGCAATCGACAAAGAATCTTCGCATGCATAATCTTATGACCATGTTTTCGAGAAATGTCAACTAACGGAAATATTGGTTGGGCAAGCGAATTACCATAATCATGGAACGAACTTCTTGCAACTTGTACCTAGTACGACAAACTCTACTGTTTTCAGTTGCAAACGCTACGTCTCTGCGTATTGTACAACACCAATAATGACATCGCAGACTCGGTGAAAGCATTTAAGGCATGCGCGAGTCTATGAAAGTGCATGATGACGAGTTTGATCGTTGTGTAGAATGGACAGACAAAAATAGTAGTCGACTTAAAAACAAAAACAAATGTTGTAAAAACAAATTTTTTTTGGATTTCTCACTTCATTACATACCTCATGTACAACTTTCAAAGTTTTTAGAAAACAACACAAAGATACAAAGAGAAATATAAAATTACATCTTTGCAATTTATACGGTGATTCAAAATATGAGAAGGTGGTATGGTGTTGGACATGGCACGCAAGTCGTGGATGTAAAGAGTTCTTTAGAGTCGCAAATCTCCAAGCTCGTGTAATGAAATGTGGCTTCGCTCCAGTATTGTGTGAAAATAGATGTGGTCAGGACAAACAGGAGAGACAAAACGCTCCATGAAAATGCACTCTGCGAATTCAGAAAGAGGTGACGATTGTGCAACTTAGCGAGAAGGCGTCGACGAAATGAATGTTGCAATCAGGCAAATGTTTCACACGATGAATGACACAAATCAAGTCGCTCTCAAACTGTCATCTCTAATTGAGGGAATGCTGAACTCCGAAAAAGATGATATTTTGATTGAATGTGGCGAAGCTGTAAAGAATAAGTTTTTAGAAGGAACAACCACAAGTGAAATGTAACATGCCAAAATGTATGTAACATGCCTGAACCACGATAGTATGGTGTCAAGATTTTTGAAAATAAAATTTTGATTTTTGAGGGTCAAAGTGATGAATCCTATGCTTTATCCGAGGTTTTAGATTTTGAACTAAAAATGAAAAAATTTTTGAGCAGACCGTCAGTGCCTCGTGGTCTAAGTGCAATGGCAACGGTTCGCTGGAGGGATCAAGTCATTCTTGGAGGTTGTAATGATCAATCTGTAGTGCTGAACAGTGTTATCATGTATGACTGTAAGTCGGGTAAGATTACACTTTTGCCATCCATGTTAGAAAACAAATCTGGGAGCTGTGCAGTTCTTAGAGGAGATACTATCGTTGTCTTGAGAGGAAAAGTTAACAAAGAAGAAATCCTTGATTCTGTGGAGTGTTTGGACGAAGCTCCACATGGCAATACCTTCCGGCGATTTTTTTACCAAAGATAAGAGCTATTTCTATCATTTTTACCATTCATTTTGGACAATCACGTTGAATTACAAAAATAACTCTTATCAAATGGTTTAAGAATATCATTTGCCTCAAACACCTACGTGATGCTTTCATTGTTGCACATGTTTCCTAGTTGTAGCATCCTACACAAATTACTGCATTCCGGTAACTGTGTCCCTTATTTAGCATTAACATAGCTCACTCTAAATATACAAGCTCGAATGACGGAAAATGTTTTAAAAATAGAATATGTGGGAAGGGCGTGACTAATGTGGGTCATAAATGTTCCGAAATGCACTTAAACTTAGATTTCATGGAACTTTTTTTAAGTTACACATTAATAAATTACCATAGCAAAGAAACATTGACGCAAAAAACTTCAAAAGAATTTCACATTTGTAATTATGTATACTCAATTATCTTTACAAAATATACACAATGAAACGCGTGCGCTGATTGGTCTAGAGCTGAGTTTGCATTAGCCAGTGAAAAACACATCTGAGCTCCACCAATCAAATCAATCTAAACAATCAATCAAAGAGAATTTGCAAATCGATCAGGAATACATTTTAGATGAAAAATTAAAATGCTTGTGTTTTTCGCATTATTGTTTATTTATAAAAGAAATAAGAGATGTTTTTCGTGTTTGCACTGGCTTATGCAAACCTTGGAGACGTTTGTGAGAACTCTCGAGCATGTGAAAGCTGCTTGCACTGATCTGCTCTCGAGTTCTCCCAAGAGTCTCCTCGGTTTGCATAAGCCTGTGCAAACACACTAAACATCTTTTATTTCTTAAATATAACGCTACTATCCTTGCACACATGATCGAAAGGATGAAGAACTTAGTGCTTCCTTGCTAATACAACAACAATTTGGTTTTCTTGAACGTAACTGCTTGCTGCAAAATATAGAGTTAGGGGAGGGATTTACAGCAAAGGTAAAACGCGCCATGAAAACAAATTTCTTTTGTTTGAATGTACAATAATTATACAATCTTCACCATTATATGAAAGTTATTTTGACATTACAAGCAAAACATACCTTATCATGCAAATGACATGGAATTTCCTGGAGGATTTGGAACTCGCCTGACGAAGAGATATAATTCTCTGAACTTCTTCGAGAATTGATACTCGCAATACTAGGGCAGACTTTAGGTAGCAACTGATCAGAATCAATAACTGGATAGAACATATTTGCAAAATTTGAATTATTTACAGTTGGAGGTTAGGATGTGTTTGGTTGTCACAGAACCCATTGAGCCCTTGTCCACATCAGGGCAGGATCTAGAGTGGGGGAAGGTGCATTCTAGTTCGGATTGGATTTCGGTGGCTACTATGTGCATCTTTCCGAACAGTTATATTAGTTTTTCTTACCATGCTTGGGACTTGGGGAGTATTTTTATAGAATGTTTTGAACACAAACAATTGCTTTGGCTTAATTTCTTCGTATATAAATATTTTTCAGAAGAAATTGGCAAGCCTACATCATCCCTTCTCCCCAACACTATGAAATTGGCACTCCTCCCCCCCAGGTAAATCTCTTCCAGGTACACGTATTCGATGAGCTATTCAGTGGTCAAATCTGACGTAAAAATTTAAGAGACTAATCACTCAAACGACGCTAATCCGTTTTGAAGTAGTTTGCGAACTTTCTCTTGTTCGTGGTCTACCGTCCACAATGGCGGCAAATATTTTGGCTTCATGCTCTCCACAAAATGTTCACGCCACATTTTTTCAAAAGCTAGCAGCTCGCCCATTTCTTTCACTCTCCGCACGACCTCGCGGCCATGCGAAACGAAATTGCAATTTTCTCGTCGTGTTTCGAGTTTAGACGCATCAAGCATCATTTCACGCGTTGGACTCACAGTTTTGAAGTATTCCTGGACTGTTGAAAGCAGCTCTCTTCTTCTTCCTTCTGGAATTTTATCGCCTGCGTTTAGAATGGCTTTCGCCGCGCATTTTACTTTCTTCAACTCTGGATCTTCAACTAATCTTGCTACTTGCGCCGATGCTATATAAAACAAAGAGAAAGTCTTGATAACAAAACTATCATCCTGCTAACAATACCGCTGGCAAATACTTAGTGCAATCAGGCAAAAAGCTTTTTGGTTGACTGATTTGTCAATAAACAGCACAGTCCGCGCATTGTGTATCGGCACTAGATTGCCCAATAGCTAATATTCTTCGTCTAGAATTTGACCATTTTGTCAATGACTAAAAGCAAATGCATTCAGTGATAAAATTCTCATTTAACATTTTGCATAAAAACCTGATTAATAGTGCACACGAGTAAAAAGCGCACTACCTTGGTTACCTAATGGCGCTTGATATTTCTGAGCCAAAGATTTCCGTAACACGTCGTCGTGATAAGTGGAGATCATGTGACACGACGGACAGAGTAAGAGCACGTCGTGAGAATGGTGTTCTTTCATGCACACGGGAAAATGTTTCCTATAATCATGAGGAATGATGTTTTTCCTCATGTAGGAATCGTCTCGGCCACAAACAACACATACGTTCTTTTTAAACGTGAGGTAATAGTTGTGTTCTGGGTTAAATGGACGTCCAGATGGTTCGAATTTTAGTCGAACCGTGTATGGTTCATTTTTAACGACGTTCGCTGAAATTAGATAAAAAAGTGTAAAGACAATGAAACACAACGCAATGCAACACATGACTTATTACGTTCACTGCAATATACGTATTATTGACAAAAATCAGGAAATCTCGTTAATCACCCATTTTCTCATTGACCTCTTATACACCAAAGAAATTTTATTGAAGCGTTCTGTCATAACAATTCGTTTTCTTTGAAAAAGACTACAATACTTGTTTTATTTTTCGCCATGCAAATGAAAACTTAAGAACATAGATTGACTAAAGAAAAATCCGTCATCCCTTTGAGCTTTCTCTTTCAACACGAAAAAAACTGCTCAAGCATGTTCGAGCTTGATGACCCAATTCTACCATCTTCCTTAGGAAGTAAGAGAGAGCAAATCCCTTTCTTCTTTTCAAGCAAAAAAGCATACGTTGATAATTAGAACTATATCATATATGCGTGTATAAGACTTAACCTTAATTACACATTTTCATATCCCAAAATAGTATTTCATGGAAATCAGTTTCGTAAAAATCAGTGTTTGTTGACAATGTTAGCAAGTTCGCATAAAATTATTTATCTATTTATCATTAAGCGATGGAATTATTTTTCCAAAGTTGTCGAGGGAAAACTTTTATGCTTCAACCATAAACTGTTTTACGCTACTTACACTCTTACCCAGTCCTTTGTTGATGTACCATTTGGTTTTCTTTTTGTCACACGTGCTCAACATTTCACCATCAGGAGCTTCAATGACACAATTCTGATACAGAGGAGCTCGACGCGGCTGTAACCCCGACTTCTTTTCTGCACGACGCGACGATACGCCAGTCTTTTCTTTATCACTTTTCTCTCCTTCACGTCTCCCGTTGTGTTTTGCTTTCGCCTTATACGGAACGTTGACAATGCCGCGACACAGCGGGGCCAAGCAGGTCCAAAACTCCGCAGACCTCAACAATTCTTCATTGACATGTAAATCTTTAAAACTATCGTATTGCTCATAGTTTCTTCCAGGTTGTTTTTCATTGGAATGCATTTCTGTAACTTTAGATGTAGAAAGCATTGATCCCAATGTTGATTTTATATTCGACGCAAATGTAGTTATTTTTCCGTCATTAGCACTTGAATGTTCCAAAGTATTCGAAGATGTACCATCGCTATCCGAGGTGGATGGTAAAGACTGGTGAGAATTTTTATTAGCCTTACTTACAATCACAGGTGAATTATTCCGTTCAACAAAAGTAGATACTTGATTTTCAAACGTATCTTCAGCAGTCACAAACTCAGTTTGACTTGAGGCAATGCGATTGTTTTTTAAAGACTTTAAATCGCTGCAACACAATTGATCGACGCCTTCATCATGACAAGTTTCTGTTTTTCCAGAAATTTTAACTTCTTTACTTTTCACACTCGCAGAATTTTGAATTTGAAAAGCCGAAAAACTTTGACCGTCGTTACTATCTCTTATATCACCACCAGCGTTCTTTGTTGTAGCAGTTTCAAGATCTGAAGAGCTGCTATCATCTTCCACAGCTTCGATCCTATTTTTTCGTTCGTTTATTTTAGACGCCATCAATTTAAAGAAAATTTCCACTGCCACAACGGCATCGTTCGCAGCATAGTGTATCTGACGTTCGGAAAGCAATTCTGATTCCCAGTTACTGCAACGAATCTTCCAATCCTTATCCATGGTCAGCCCAAGTATTTGTTGCGACAGAGCCGATAAACTCATGTTATTCCTAAATAATCAGAATGTTTGCACAAAAAAAAATAGACAATATACATAGATAATAGTATAGTATCAAGTGCAATTCAGCGACAGCGAATTGGGGTAATCGTATTAAGTTGATTTGAAATCCATTGTTTTCTACTGATTATAACATGCATGTATGAATATGAGCCCCCCCTCCAATTATCAATCCTTTCACGGTCCCTGTAATCAGTGGCGTCGCCAGCCGTACTTGGACGTACTTTATTAATTTTTCTGAGTTCATCCACTGTTAAAACAACAGATTTTTAAAGAAATGAAGAAAGTTAATGATCTAAAATTTACATACGTAGCAGGACCAAAACTTGCGGACTGGCCCCGCCACTGCCTGCAATTACAGAGAATATGCAAGACTGCGACAAAATAGAGCGAGTCCGAATGACGAGTCGACTTTTGTCTCGCTTCATAGCTCTCTTTCGCTTCAGCAAGCTTTGTTGCGTGGCCCAACTTTTATAAACACACACCACAAAAACAGTGCTTGCTGTTGTGTTTTATTCTTTGCATTGTTTGTACAAGTTTTGATTTATACACAATTGCAATGAATCGAAAAGAAGCTTTTTGGCTTTCTCTGCTTTTCAGCCAATCAGGTTACAGAATTTACAATGCAATTACACATTTTCAAAGTGCAACTACAGCTTTTGTCTGGTGCAGTTACACGTTTTTCCAGTGCAATTATAGATAAACTGCACTACAATCAATAAATGACAGTCATAAAATATCTCAAGGTATGTTATACATCAATAATACTTCATCATATGTAGTCAGAGTTATTAAAGCAAAATACTAAAATTAATTTTTCACTAATTTTAATGTCTATTTTCAATACCACATCTTGCTAATGAATAACATGTTATGCCCATAACCAACTAAATAACTTGGGAAGTTGTTCAATGGTCAAATGCAGCACAAAACTGATAGATAAAATGAATCCCAAAATCATAAATGGCATATGGGAGTATGAAGGAGTAAGTGAAGATATTGCATCAAAGGATGGCAAATTCTTCAATTGGGACATGTCAAAAAAAGCATATTAAAATTGTGAAAAAAAGGAGGGAGGAGATTCTCCCCTTGCTCCTCCTGGCTATGCCCTTGGCTACCCCTACCTATAATCTTAAGCTCTATCACTAATGTACAATGTCCTCACAACAATCTTTGACTGACACTAAATCCATAATGCTGAATTGATAGATTATAAAAGATTACGTAAATTTACCAGTTTTTACTCTATTTTAACATAAAATTTAAGATACACCAAAGCTCTATTTAAACTAAATGAATTTTACCGGGATTGACATTCAGCATGGACCAGATCAACATTGTCACCTTTTAAACCAGTGGCGGATCCAGTGTATGTTAAAATAATTTTTAATTCAAATTACTTTCAGAAAAGCACAATTGGTTTTTAATTTCTAAAGAAGATAATTTTACCAATGGATTACCCTATAAGGTGTTTAGAAATGTAAATAAACCAAAATGCGCTGGAGTAATTTATTTTGACAAAGTCTAGATCCGCCACTGTTATAAACTGCTGTATGTGGAATTTTTGCTGGTAAAATATGCTTTGGGAGATTTGACTTTGCTAATAGCAGGTGACAAACTACCATAATTCATCTATAATCTAGCCATGCAGATACAAAGACAACACAAACAAGACCTCATGTAAAAATGGTTAACTCGTAAGTCAGACTTTTGTATTCTCACCTATTTCCTTGATCAGAAACACCATGTTCAATGTATGCCCGGCATCGTATGGCAACATGCCTTAAATCCACAAATCCTTGTATCACCAAACTATAACAAGAGTTCAACTTCTTCACGTCATCCGAAATGCCAACACCAGTCTTTAAAATGTGACTATCCTCCAGAACATCCTTCACTTTATGTGGGATTTTACCGTGCATTTTACATAAACGCACAAGAAAACATGTTTTATTGGGAAAAGCTATTTGTAGCAAAGCTACAGGGTGCTCAAGTCCTTCCTTTTTACCTTGCTTTTCCTGATTAACCCATTCACAATCCAAACCAAACACGACTTTTTCATATGAACATTTGTCAAGCTCTTGCAAAAATTTTTCATTGCAAGCATCTTCATCCTTGAACACAAATATATTTGAACTTAGCCTTATGCTATCACTCATTTTGCTAGAATCAATCTGTAATAAATGACACAAAACACGTGCACGGTGGAAATGAACCACCAATGAGTGGAAGCAGGTTAATCCGTGTTTATAAGTTGCTTTGCAATTTGCATAAATAAATTACGTCGCGGCAAATACTTTCCATAGTTTTTGTCGCGTGAAAATTGAATGACGTCATTTGAAGTACTTGATCGCTGATCTCGATATCATAGAATAGAGAATATATTCTCTATTCTATGTCGATATCGAGATGTATTAGTTTAGCTAACCCATTGAGCTAACCTGACAATGAATCTGAGTAATGGGGTATTGATTTAAGAATTTCTAGCTATGCTATTGCACATAATATGTTGGATGAATAAAACCATGAGAAAGATGTTCAGTAAATTTTGTCTCCAACAAGATAGACAACAGAGTATAGACGACTAAGTCATATGCATTGAGTTCTATAGAACTCAATGGAACTCAATATGGTCATATGGTAGGGTCTAGGGAATCCAATGATCTCGAACAATATATATTAAAGAAAATAAATTATGCAAAATTGAAAATATATTATGTTCAAAATATTACCATATTACAAAGAATAAGTGTGTTTATACTGCTCACTGCAGTTACTCGTTGTTTTTACAAAGCGACGCCATCGAAGCAAAGATCTGTATCAAAAGCAGTTCATCAAGCGTTTGCTGTTGATATGTCGAACAAAGTGGAAGAAATTATTGAATTTTGGTTTGGAGAAGGCCATTGTAAGTGGTTCGGGGGCGGACTGCAGACGGATAATTTGATTCGTGAGAAATATGGCGATGTGATCGAGATGGCATTTCAAGGTAAATTAGATGACTGGAAATCAGAACCGAAAGCGAGTTTGGCTTTGATTTTGATATGTGATCAATTCTGTCGGAACGTCCATCGCGGATCGAAGAAAATGTTTGGCCTCGATCACGTTGCACTAGAATTAGCTAAGAAATTTGTCGAAAGGAAGACACATAATCATTTGGAATTCCCTTTCTTTCAGCGGGTGTTTATGTATATGCCGTTTGAGCATGACGAAAATAGTACCAGCCAAGAACTCTCCGTACAATATACCGCGCAGTTATCCCTAATAGCAAAAACGGACGACGAGAAGAACGCTGCCGTGAATTTTTTGAAATATGCAAAGCTTCACAAGGAGGTCATCGATAAATTTGGCCGCTTTCCGCAACGGAATATGTTATTGCAACGCGAAAGTACTCCAGAAGAAGCGGAGTTCTTGGCCAATTTGCCATCAAAATATAAATGGTGACATTAACAAACGCCTCTCTTGAAGGATGAATTTGTTACACGTTGATCTCTATTAAACGCCCCATTTCTAATAAACGCCTTCCCTCATTACGATTGGGCCATTATTCAGTCGTTTGTCGATTGGGCTCAATAACCGTATGTTTAGTCTTCGCTTTGTTTTCATTTGTTCGTAATAAAGTGATAGTTATGATATAAAAACATCTCTCTATTAACGCCTTGTATCTATTGATGCCTCAAGAACTCCTAAAATTTATCAATCGCCTTGGACCTTTATTAGATTATGTTTTGTCATAAACCACACATATACGCACAGAATATGTTCTATCTATCGCATAAAAAATGGTATGTGCTTACATGTGGGTAACTTGGATGCGAAAGGTAAACACTGTTAATACATTATGTTTTAATTGTAATTATTTCATTGTAATATGTAATTGCCAATAGCTTGTTGTAATACAGATCACATGTTTTAAAAATGATTGTCAACTGCATACATTGCATTTGTTAAATATCTCAAGTACAATTAAATAAAAAACATGAAATACAAATAACATGCTTGGAAATGGGTAGTTTTTGCCACAACAAGTTTAAGCAAGAGACTAACCCCTTCAAGAAGACAGTTGAAAAATACTTGAAACGTGGCAAAGTAAAGAGATGAGCAATAGTTGAGATGAGCCATTCATAATACATAAAGTGTCTTTTCGCGCACAGCAAATTTACCATAAAATTGTATTGCAGAAAACTTTTGCCATGCGGAAAGATTCAATGTTTAATGAAACAGGTCGCTTGGCTCCAGGTTCTTATCACACATACCACACCTTGAAAATACGCTTTTGATAACAATCGAGTAAAAAATCCTGATCAGTAAAAGTTATCGTGAAGAAATATTACTTATTATACTCTTTTTTGAAGTGCCATACAGGCCAAATCCACCATTGTGTTGATCATGGTTTTTATTACTTTCTTATGCTTCAAATCAATGTGAAATGTTCTCTCCAAGTTGATACAAGAATAAAATTTTAATGTGCTTTTTACTTATTTTAATTAAAATTATTTAGCTGAACAATATCAGCCTTTGGTTAGAATTTCAAAGGAATTAATGATTACAACTTAATTGGCTATGCGACTTTCATGATACTAAATTTGACAACAGGTCTGCTTTTAACAAAGACTGCAGTGTGTTTCACATGCAAGATTCGAAGAAATCTCAGTATATACAATCCTTAAACTATTCCGCACCATGTGCAGTTGTTCTTTGTACCATAAAACCTGTTAGGCAAATGACTAAAAAGGTCAAACTCGAACACTATTTTACAACTTATGTTCCTTTGAAATCTTTATGGAAGTTCTTCTCCCCTCCCCACCTTTCATTGATATAAACGTTCAGTCATATTGGTCTACCCAAATTGCTTGATCTAATCCGCCATGTCGTTTTCCAGTATGAAAAGATACCTTTGAAGGCTCGTGTCGCTTATGAATAACCGTAAAAATCCGCAAACACCGACAAAATTGAACGCTTGAATGGAATTTAAAACAAACCAACCATCTTTCGCTGCTCCAATTTCTTCCACTTTGGCAGTTCATTGAATTCTTCTTTAGTCATTTTGAATACCTCCTACATGGGAAAGAAGCTATGTCAAACAGCTTTGAGAACTTGTGAATCAGTATCCTGTTGGTGTTCAAAGTTTGTACTTCATTCACTTTGATAACAAATATTTATAGCGTGCACTATAGGAGTGTTTACGATGTCGTATTATTCACGTAAATAGTTGATTCAAACGGAACGTTTATTTACTTCTTAGTTGTGCTTTATGCATTTTCCAACTGGCCTGTTACATAAATATTCATAAAACAACAACTATAAAATGCGTGCGCTGATTGGTCTAAAGCAGTGCTTGCATTAGCCTGTGCATGAAAACCGATTTGAGCACAGCCAATTAAATCAATTGATCAATCAAAGAGATCTCGAAAATCAATCGGGAATACATGTTCGAGGAAAACTAAAACGTTTGTTTTAAATTTGTCTGTCTCGCATTATTGTTATTTTATAAAAGAAATAAAAGATGTTTTTCTTGTTTGCATTGGCTTATGCAAACCTCGGTCTTAACCTTCGGTCTCGGGCTTGCACTAATCTGCTCTCGAGTTCTTCCAAAGGTCTCCTCGGTTTGCATAAGCTGAGCAAAAAGAGTAAACATCTTTTATTTCTCAAATATAAGTATGTCAATAAAACGATGACTGAGATGCATGCATTTAAGATTAAGTCGCAATACAACCAAAGTTAACGTACGTTACGTGATTCACAAACCTGGAATTCCTCATCTGACAAATACATTTCAATCTTCAATGGATCTACACCCTCGGGCAGAGGTCGAGCGCGAAGTTCCGCCAAGCTATAACGGTCTCTAAGTAACGCAAAGAAATAACATTTCCTGGTGAATATCAAAATAATACCCATTACTTCTTTTGAAAACACAACACTAGAAAACGCAAGAACACCTTGACAACTTGGACAGAAGCTCCGTCAGCAATTCTTTCTTTCCATCGATTTTTTTCGACTAAAGTAAAGATGAACAACTTGCAATGATAGTTTGGAGATACTCGAGCCACTACGCATAACTCCTTTATAGAAACACGTTATAACAACCAAAACTAGGAATCTGAAGATAGCGTTTAGTTACTATATCAACGGTGTCTTGGAGACATACTCGCCCGAAGATCTTCTGGCAATACATTGAAAAACAAAATATGTTTAACTTATTCAGTTCCTCAGAAATATGTTATCATTTCCATAAGGAATAATATAATGAAACTATATGTATTTCTTTTAGACTGTAACAACGACATGAAAGGTAACGTTGATAAAAACAGACATTCTGTCAGCATTTCAACACATCCAAAACACATTAAGTCATGTGATTGTTTGACTAAAGACCAAACAAAAATACGTTCTTTCATGTTCCATTTATGTGTTATGAAATTATTAAGTTTCATATCTTATCATGTCAAGACAAACTCATATGAATGATGAATTTCAGAGCCTTCAACGTCCTCTGGCATAATCTCTTTTAATTTTAGAACACAAAAAAACGAAAACTTTTTACCCCTAATTACCCCTATTACAACAAATACTGCACATTTTAAAACAGTTTAATCTTTCCTCGATGACCTATTCCGTGTTGCAGCGTGCGCAAAATATGTTTAACTGTGTTGATAAATATGTTTAACTGTGTTGATAAATATGTTTAACTAATTGATAACTGTGTTATCAATTACGTCATCGTTAGTCAGACAATTGAGTAAGACCCCAAATGGTGTCAAGTTGCTTAGTAACCTTCACCACAAATAGTAAATATTTAATTGATGTTCAAGGGATAATCTTACGTGCCAAATCATATCAATTGATTTACCTCCAAATTTCTTTTCATAGCCTCCCATTGGTCTTCCCAGAATGGGAAGAGGATGCGAAATTCTATGGGCTCTAGGCCAGCGTTCACGGCATAAGCTTTCGACATCTGACGACCAACACCTAAAAACATATGAAACTATGGTGACTACTCTTTATCAAATAAAATTGCTAAATCTAAACATTATTTGCAAAGTTCAGAAAGCGCAATCTACCCGCAAGTCAACAAGCGTTAGATTTGAAATTGAAATTCAATCGTAAAGACTTTGATGAGCAAATTACCGAAGTTTAATTTTGGCGAATGAAAAAGTTAAAGGATGAAAAGTTGAAAAAAATCAAGCGTTAACATCTACTATCAACACACGCTTACTATCAGCATACGACTGTATACTCTGCATGGCCAATTTTCTGTCTCGATGCCACCTAAATTCCGCTGACCCCGTTGTAGTCGCAAAGTCGGGTTCCTCCTCGTCAACACGCCACCAACCTTGCCACAGGTACATTGCACGGACGGTGTCGATGAAGAACAAAGCTGAAATCAATTCAGAAAAAACTTTTCCCATGAAGCCATAGTAGCTTTAACTCAAAAATGTCTAGCCTGCGAAAACTTGCCAATAAAGCAGAAAATATTTGAGTGCAATTTGCACTTGTATTTTTAGCTGTATTTGTAATACCCGCTACTTCACAATTTGTACAATGTAAATTGAACATGAACAAAAAATTTTCTGTATGCCCAAAAATTTGACAAAGAAAAGCTCGTCATAAGATAGTTGACTCTGCTGATGGAATTTAAAGAAGTGTCTTTCATACAATTTCGAAATTTAACGTCTTTTATTCTGATGTATTTCCCTTACCAGGTTGGGACGCCTCGTAAAGAACGGCTTGCGTGAACGGAAAAGCTGACAAGTTATCACCACGTGTAGGGTTCAGGATCTCTCGCGCGATGAACGGTCCTTCTGTGCTGAAGAAGGCAAACAGTCTCATAGGTTGATCACATTTCTCTTTTACTAAAAAGAAAAGAAATAGATTAGCAAATTAATGGCTTTGTGCGTTCAATTCTGTGTTGGGTAAAATATCTTTGGGTTAAATAGTCCCAGACAATTTAAGTAATGTGTTATATACATCTGACATTTTTCTATATTTAAAAGAATATGTTCATTTTCCGACTACTAATGTCAATACAAGAGCAACAGGATATGAATTCAAATACCCTCCAGGTGAGCGTAAAAGATTCAAAAGCAATTGGAAACAAAAAAACAACCCATACCGTCGATTAATGAACCGTAATCACATTCGCCATCCAAAGCTTCCCAAAACCACTTTCCTTCACGACCTTCATCCAACTCTACTATGTCTACTTTCTCCATGTTGAAGAGGTGCTGAAACCTATGATTATAGAAGCAGTGATAGTAAAGACGAGAATTTGCCGATCATTGGTATGTGGTTCACTTTTTGTTCGAAATTTCTCATAGAACAATTTGTGTGAATCAATTGACTCTCGTAAGAGCAAAATATTTTCAATTAGGAGGAATAGCTAAAACGACCACAAAACTCGATCAATTTCACAATCCGCTTAAAACTAAAACGTTGTCTAATTTAGAGAAACAATTCAGAATACCACGTGACAAGCCTTTTTGCTCCTCTTAATGCACCTCCCTTTTTGTGTTCAGTAGACTTTGCGCCATGCCAAATGCAAACTCCAATGGTCTTGTCAACGACGACGATTACAAAAGACGAACGCGATCTCAAATTGGAAGACCTAAAAAATTTTCATATCGCCATCCTCTAAGCAAAGTTCCTTAACTCATTTGTACAAACAGCGCGATACGCAACTGATAGAAAGATCTGGGATGACATATGGAAAAAATCTCTAATTTTCAAAAGTCCAGGCAAGGATCGCGTAAAACGTAAAGATAATACACAGAGAAAGGACAGCACTGATCACAAAGGTCAAGAGTAAACTTGTTTGCTTCATCGGTTATATTTTAAAATAACAAGCTCCGTACCTCGCTTCCACTTGCGACAGACATATTTCTCGCTCATCTTCGTTGTGTACGCAATACATGAAAACATTGTCGTTCCCTGAAGAAGAAGAAGAAGAGGAAGAAGAAAAAGAAGACAATATTTAAACCGCTATTGGCTACA